GAAAAGCGTGCCCGTGAAAAAGCCGCCGCCGCCGTCCCCATCACCACCTCCCAGCTATCCCCCCCACCTCCCGACCCTGTCATCTCCATTCTCATCACCTCCCAAATCGAGGACACACAGCCGCTCGTGCTGCGCATCCGCGCAAATCAGACGCTCAAGGCCGCACGCACGACGTGGTGCCAGCGGCAGGGCTTCACGGCCGACCAGGCCGCAGATATCTTCCTCACATGGAAGGGAAATAAGGTGTTTGACCACAACTCATGCCGTGGCGTGGGCATTCGACCGGTGGGTGGCGAGGAGAATGTGCATTTGGAGGCGGTGACGGCGGAGGGGTATGCGGCGATGGAGAGGGAGAGGGAAAGGAAGTATGCGCTGGCGGGCGGGGAGATGGAAGAGGAGATAGAGGAGGAGGTTGTGGAGAAGGAGGAGGTGGTAATGAGGCTGACGTTGAGGAGGAAGGGGGCGGAGGACTTTAAGATTAAAGTTAGACCGGTATGTGTTCTTCCTATACTCTAGGGTTACGTGGGTTGGTGGGAGTGGAGTGTTGACATGGTGTAGGAAACAAAAATATCCAAACTTATCGCGGCATACCGCATGGCGAATAAGGTCCCAGAGGAGAACGAGATACGCTTGGACTTTGACGGCGACGACCTGGACCCTGAAGAGACGGTGGGCGATACCGAGTTGGAAGATCTCTTTGGGATCGATGTTTATGTCAGTTAGTTCTTTCGCTGTTGGACCATTAATCACTAGCTTTATTTTAGTACAGACATTATCTTTGTTTTGTAGGCCCCTCCTCCTTTTCCGTTTCGCTTCTCTTTGGTATTTTTTGTATGTGCTCGGTGGTATGGCATGGGAGCGGGGCAGGGCGTTTTGTGAAGCATTCTTCTTTTCTTTTCATTTCTCTTTTTTAGCATATCTGTGGTGGGGGGATCTCTTTTTTTTACGCTCCCCGGTCGGGTTGGGTTGTGCATGCAATGCCATTCCATGCTATCTGTGCTTAGGCTTATTATATATTGGATTAGTTTGGTTGGAAATGATCAGTGAGGGGGTGTGCTTGGAGGTGTGCGTTATGGGTTATTACGCGGTGATAAGAAGCTGTGTTCGTATCTGCGGTCCTGCCGGGCCACTGTCGAGAGCTGGATAGTGATCGCCAGGCACCAATTACCCACGCCTATATGGATTAAGGTGATCACCACTTCCGTGCGAATCAGTGCCCTACATTTATGGTTCGGCGTAGTCAAAGTGAGCACGTGAAGAACTACATGTAGTACCGCCCAAATAGAGAACTCCAGGGCATCAGATAGGTCCCGATTCCCGAAAGTCCTGTCTTCGTTTATAGAGCTGTGGCCGCTTTTCGCAGATCGCACATATCTAGCCCTTGGTGTACATGTGTCCAATGTTCCCACCTGAGCAGTCAAGCCTTGGCACCCGAGTGATATCTTATGATCCACGCTACCATACCGAGTACCACAGCGCCCTTGGCAGCTGCTACATCCCAGTTCACACTTTATCCCACTTCATCCCACCAACAACCACCTCTCACTTCAACCCACAATTCACAGTCACCAACAAACCACACTACACACAGATGTTGAGTACGACCTGGGCATTGACCGAGGGCTCCGATGGTCGTAGTAGCTGTGGAAATTCGTTTACGAAGGTTCGGCCTTTGGTGCGACTATCGGGGTTGTGCTTGTGGGTTGTGGTTTGTTTGGTGGGGTGTGGGTAGTGGGGTGTGGGTAGTGGGGTGTGTGGTCTGGGTTCTGGGGGCTTGAGGTGAGAGATGGTGGGCGGTTGGTGATTTGCCTTGAAGGTGCTGGATTGGGAGTTTTTGGGGACTTGTTGATGGCTCCGTGGGTATAGTGTGTTTTATCGAGTGCTGACTATTTTCGTGTTTGATTAGGACTTGCCTAGGGTTTTTTTGGGATAGGCATATGCTAGTCTCGTGCCCAGCCTGTGTTTGCTTTGATTGTATCTGCACGTGGTGCGACAATAAAACAGTCTGGGAACGAGACTACATAGGTATATGCCAGACTCTCGACGTGGTGAGACATCTGTGGGTATGGGAGGTGGGGAAGGAGGAGTGGGGTAAGTATCTCTATCGCTGAGAAGTAACGTGTTTCACCGGGAAAGCGATCATCACCGGGAAAGCGATCATCACCGGGAAAGCAACCGAAGCTCACAGAAGGGCATTATGAGCACCAAAGCAATACGTATGAAGCCATACATGTATAGGAGAGTTCTTTTGGTGTTTTTGACTATTTCTTATGATCATAACGAGTATATAGCTGTGGGAGGGTCATCAGCTGTCATCAAGCCTTGATGATCCTCCCACAGCTATATACTCGCTACCTATTAGTCACGATCATCAGAAATATTCGAAAGATATCTCAAAATGACTTTAGTGTATTTAGTTCTGTAATTCTGGGTGATTTTGAATTTTCACAGCAACTCGCGATCCCGTTCATGTCATGCTTGATTGCTTTCCCGGTGACGATTGCGTTCCCGGTGAAACACGTTATACCCCGCGCAACAGAAGGGAAAGGAAGGCTTAGAGAAAAAGGCTAGAGAAGATAAGGGTGATAAAGTGAGCGGCCTCAGCAAAAGCACGAAGCCTAAAAACATTTGACCGCAAAGGAAAACCCTTATGTATGTGCCTCGCAAATAGAAAGTGTTCAAACCTCTCGCCGGGGGATCCGGGACGCGAAAAGCGTGAAATACGGAGGAGACCTAAATCGGTACAACTACAATACCTGTACTCACCCGGAACAAAACATCTGTCCTCCGGACCAGACCGGACCGTAACTTTAGAGCGTAGTCTACATGTGCAATGCCCAAATCTAGCGAACCGTTCTACTCGAATAACGCACATCGTGTGGAAATATTCTTACTGTGTTTACAGGTATTATCTCAAGGGATAACCGACCTTTTTCTGCCCATGTTGGTATCGAGTGATAGTTCATGAACCACTAATAAATCTATTCCTCGGCCTCCCTCATGAACCAAAGAGACCAGATCTCTCTCCTATTTACGCGGTAATACCAGAAAATACCCAACCGGGTGGACAGAGTTACGCCGGACCTCCAATATCATATTGGCCCGGGTCTAAGCTTAAAAGCTTTCGAATGCGGGATTACCCACAGCGGACCCTGGCAGAACTTGCGCATTTACGCGGAGAGAGCAAAACAGATCTCTCTAAGGCCCTCGGACAGTACCCAAGAGCTCACAGGAGTCCATATCTCTCGGCCCACAGTAAAACGGGAGAAGAGTCTCTGTCAACCCCTCGGACAGAACCCAAGAGCGGACAGAAACCTTCTCACCAACGCTGCTAGCTGGAGCAGAAGGACAGCCAAATGACCTAACGCAAAAAAGGCTCCTCCTAGTCCCCGGGCCGGAGCCCAAGGGCCAGGAGAGGCCTTTTGAATTTTTAGCTGCTCCCCCTTGCGGGGGGTCGGGGGAGCAGAGGTGCGGTCACCGTCGAGGTGACCGAACGTAATTTGCGCCCCTCTCAGTCCCTACAGGGACCGAGAGAGGCCATTTCTCCCTCCCGCTCACGCCATAACGATGAGTGAGCGAGGGAGTGGAGTGGGGCTAGACACCCCGTGGTCTCTCGGGTAAAGTGCCCAGCGAGAGGCCAGGAGGGGGTGCTAACCACACCCCTCTGTTACGACATCCCTCTCCACTACGGAGAGAGAGGGCAGCAGGAGAGGCGGGCGGCGGGGCCATGGGGGAGGGGCGCCATGGGGGGAGGGGGGGGGGGAGGGAGGGCCCCAAGAGAGAGCTATGGGGGAGGGAGCAGGCTCCTCATGCCCAGCACAAGGGCCACGGAAAAGCTGTCTGCTCCCTGAGGAAAAAACGGAAAGATTCTGAGAGGAAGAGAAAAGTGCTTATAAAGAAACCTATCTGATGCCAAGCCTGAATTTTCGCCGACTGACTATATTGCGAGGTAGGGCTAGTTCACCGTAATCTAGGAGAAAGAGGGGGGGGGGGGAGTAAGGGCGCCACTGTTGCTATCGTAGTAGCATGGTTGGGGGCACCTTTAGCCTGGCAGCCTACGGCATTCTCCAGTCAATCAACATATGCAAATAATACGTTTTCCCGCTGCTGTACATCTTTACATTTGTGTAAAATCGGGACGGAAACAGAAACCACCATTTAGAGGTATGTCAGACCGCCCTCGTGGGCATTAAGGATGCAATGGCATCGACGCCGAAGGGTAGAGGAGACAGGTGTTGGTGGTGAAGGGTATTTACCGGCCATGGGAAAGAGCCAGAGGACGGGTTGGCTCTTCGCTGCATGTAGCTTTTATATTAATCCAGGCTTGATAGCTGGTACGGTCACTACCTGTTGATCTAAAAGGGTTGGTTTCGATATCTGTCTACGTTACCTTAGTATAGTTAGCCTTACAATTAGAGGGACCCTGACGTGACTCTATAAGTATACGTAGATGAAAACTGAAAATCTCCGTTCCTCGAGTTGATTTTTTGTATGGGGTTAACTATATATATGGCACGAGTGGTTTTGTTTGACAAGGGTCATTCTCCATGGTTACTTAGCATGATGATCTAGAAATTTCCTTATATACATGTGGCTCTATTGTTTGCCCATTTTGTAATAAAATCGAGAAAATAGTGATTTTGTCAGCACCGAACAACGTCCTTCCTCGGTACGAGTGATATTACATGACGCCATGGCGCCACGAATGACAAGCTTAATTAAGGACAGCATGCACCGCAGAACAACCAAACACAAAGTTCTAGAGTCACATAACAATGCCTCTAGCTCTAACCACGTCACATTCTCTAACAACCGCTGTATAAATGTCGGTTGCCATAGAAATATCTGCCTTTTCAACCCTCCGCCTTCGATCCTCGTCACCACCAATTGGGGCTGCTTAGTTTATAGACCTTGATTCAGAGCTACAGATTTTGGACTGTTAGGTTTTGACTGTGGATCCTCTGGACCCTCACGACCCGTATTCCTACCTACCAATAGAGATGTCAAGAAAATTCATGTCAAAGCCCCCAGACCGAGAGAGGCTCAGGAGCGGCTTTATAATTCCCACCTACGAGGAAGACATGCTCCCGTTAAAGCCCCCAAGAAAAAAGAAGCTCAGGCAAAGCTTTATAACGGATTTTGTCATAGAGGAAGGCACAGGTGCCATAAAGGCTGTTCAACTTGCCGAAATTCTACCCTATCAATACCAGCCGGTAACAAGCAGAGAGAGCCACCCCGACCCTCCTCAAAAAGGTACAAAAAGAGCTAGAAAGCATATGACAGATCGTGATATTGAGAAGCGTCTGAGCAATGATATGTTGCTGTCGGCAAGCAACCTTGCGGAGTGTGAGAGCGCTAGGAAACGTGGTGATAAGGTTTTTACTCAGACGTGTGGCGAAAAATGTAATATCCATCGATCGACGATTTAGTGAGTATTAGAGTTAACTCACTTATTTTAGGCCACGTGGTTGAGGTTTTCTTTGAGGTCGACTTGGACAGTATGCCCTCCAAGCAGAAACCCAAATTCCACACTGATCACTATCCAACGATCGAAATCCCTGCTGGGGCGGTCTATACCGCGTTGGACTGTAACCTCCGCCGCATTTTCGTCTACTTCAACAAGGGCATAGAGACCGTATACGGTGCTCAGATCAGCCAGCGGGTGTTGGACGACACCACATGGAATATTAAAGAATACACTCATATCAATCCCCCCGAGTTCCCGAAGGACCCGAACCCCAATATCGACTGGGGTGCCTTCATCCTCTCCGATCCCTGGGATTGCTTGTCGCGAGGGGATATATCAGGGGTATATCATTGGGGCTGCTGGAGGGAATCAGAGGAGGATTTTTGCCTTACAACAGACTCCATAATGGTTCCTGACTGCGTTAAGCCAGTGTTGGATGACTTCACAAAAACACTTGGCAATATGACACGGGCACACAGGATACTGTTGGGCGCGGTAGATAAGGACTATAGAGACAAGGGTGAGAGAATGATTACGGGTATGAGGATGGGGTTGAAGTTTCCGTGGGTTACGGATGATAATGATTGCTTCTCGCTGCGCACATGCATGGTAAATGCGCAAGTTGATCAATATTACGGGGATGCCTTTTCAAATGATGAGGATGCATGGCTCATGATGACACCACTGGGGGTATTTAAGGGTGGAGAGCTGTGTGTGAAGGAGCTTGGGAGGAAGTTTCCTCATTCCCACGGTACGGTTGGGTTCATCAGAGCGGCTAAACTGGAATTTTTTACAGCTCGATGGACTGGCGAAAGGTACAGTTTGGAATGCTTGCAGAGTATGCAAATCCCAGAGTGGGCAAAGATTAGGATACGCCGTCCGAATCGGCGAGTAACATTAGTAGGGGAAGAGAATTATGATGTATATGATATTGATGAGGATGGGGAAGAATTTGTGTGGATGGATGATTCCTTAGTTGTGTAGTTGGAAAAACCACGAACTGTTCTTTCTATGCGATCCATGTGAGAATTCATTGAGGTAGCTGCAGTGATTGTGGAGGTGGGGGGTTTTTTTTTTTTTTGCGATTTGACCCGGGTCATACTTAAAAACTGTTTGACTCGGTTTTTAGAGTTGTTATATACTGCTGTGCTTCCCTCTCCCCCTCTTCCTCTCTCATGTTATTTCCTTATTCTTCCACACTAATTATCAACTATGTATTATACTGATTTCATCTTTCGATTGCCTGCCCTTCTCCCTGGCGTGTACTCGCCGTATATATATACTACGTACCTCGGGTGGCAGAAACATTGTATACTGGTAGCTTAAACCCTAAACCCTATCATATAGTGTTCTTGGTTACGGTGCTCCTTCTACCCCCTTTAGGACGAGGGGTAAAGTCTTCACGAGAGAATCCAACGGAGGAAAGAATGTACCGAATTATCTTCTCCTCACGGTAGATACGCCGTGAGCGCCTACGAGAGATGCATGCACACCGAGATAAAGCACGACCAGCCTACGTGCTGGATCACGACGGGCGGTTGGCTGCTTCGGAAAACGTGAATACACGCCAGTCGGTGGCGGTTGATCCCCTTGTAGGCTATAGGCGTCTTGAAACTTTCTGGCTCCTAAGCCTGTGTTTTCCCGCGGGAGTAATTGTCCGTTCTGTTAAGTTGTAATGCATTCTTCCTATCTATTACAATACCTTAGCTATAGGTTGATTCTCGGTCTGGATTGTTGAAGTGGATGTCCAGGTCTGGGCAGGAGTAGGTAGAAAACATCATGACGCTGTTGCATCTACTGTAGAATCGTTATATTTACGCAAAAAAGGGGGGAAAGAAGCACATGTAGTCGATCAAGAGGTGTTGTCGATGTGCATCGATGTTCGATGTTCGATGTTCGATGTTCGATGTTCTTGTGCCAAGCTAGTGTCTTGGCGCGAGTGACACCCCATGATGCGACCTGGCTATGCTGCCCAACACTGTCCAGCCGCGTATAAACAACTCAAGCCCCTTTGACAACACCGTGGCATAGTCGAGGGGTAACAGCCTCTGCTATGTTGCATGACATCGCCGGTTCAACCCGGGATGGAAGCAGTGATGAGAATGCCCAACATGGTAGCGACGCTCTTGAGGGATGATACTCATCACATAAGTCTTTTGTCCCTCAGTATTTCCTTTTTATTCAGCCTTAGTACGCCACATTATCGCCAGTACTGTAGTGATTATTGGTAATGTTTTTCGAAGCAGTAAGTTTTCAATCTCATCTTGTTCTTTTACTCTCCGTTCTCTATTATTACCCGTTCCACTCGATGCAGTGCCCCCATCCTGAGCTTACACCTATTGGGACTTTAGTATCGCCGAGGGCTTAAGGAGAGGAAGGAAGCAAAGGTTATTTTTTTTATTTTTCTATATTCTTACACTACCATGGGTGCAACGCTCTCGGATCTTACCACCCACTATCTCTTTTGTTAAAAGACAAATTTTGTGTATTCAATATTAGAGAGACTCTATTAATTCTCAACGTCCCCTGAATACAAACCTATCTTGTTCTCAAGGCATGAGTTCGGTACCTTTGTTCTTGTTCATACCCGTGTTTTATTCTTAGCTCTTTTTCCCCCTCGTTTTTATTATCTTTTGGTTGCATTTATCGATTTATTCGGTGGTGGGAGAAAAATTGCATGTAAGGCAAGGGTTCTTGAAAATTTCGTTCTTTTGTTTCGTTCTTTTGTGTCTATAAATGTAGGTTTCAGCTCAGCACAAAGGCTCGAGGAATGGCCCACAGCCCCTGGCGTGCCGTGAAAATAGCAATTGCAGAAGAAACCCTTAGCCAGTGCAGGGCTATTGATGTTCTGCCCTACCCAGTTCTGTCGGCGAAAATGAAAAAACTGGTCTTGGCACTAGTTCCAACCCTTTTCTTTATAAACCACGGTTTTCCCTCACCCTACCTTTTTCCTCAGGCTATTCGACTGCAACCGCATTCCTCCCCTGTCTAAAGCCAGCGGGGGGTTTGCAAACCTGCCATCTGCCCCTCGGGGCAGCGCAGTTAATTGCCTCCTCTGGCACCCACTGGGCATAATGCCCGAGGGTCCAGAGGGGGCTAATTTGCGTTAGGTCGTTTTTTCGGTGTTTTTTTCTTCTTTTCTTTCCTTTTTGCCCTTCTCCCCCCAGTTTTCCCTTTCCCTTTCCTTCCTCTTCGTTTCTGGCCTCTCCTGGTCTCTGGGCTTTTTGTCCGGGGATCAGAAGGGGCCTAAATTAAGCTAGGTCTGTCCCTCCTCTGCTCCCCCCCGCTTTATCCTTTCGGTTTTTGTGCCTTCTGCTTGCCGGGGAGTCTAGTCTCACTCCACCTTTGGGCGTAGTCCGAGGGGTTGGGTGAGAGGATGACTCAAACTTGAGGGCCAAGGAGAGAAATTTCAAGCAAATACCAGAAGGAACGCCGAATAAACGCCTAAAAAGAGTCACATAACCCATAGCCCCATTGATAAGCTTCCCTAGTTTCCTCTTTCCCGCTTTTTACCTGAATCTCTCTACTTAGATCCGCTGAAAAGAGAACAGCTTGTAATAGAGTAACATTCGAACTTTCTTTGTGTGAATGTTTTTTGATCTTTTTTGACTAATAAAAGCCTAACACTTCCGTCGCAAATTGTCTGGTGAGAAGATCTGTAATTTCTTCCGCTTATATGAGCTGTATTTTAATTTCTCTGGAACGCAAAAAAATCACCTCCTGGGCATTTCTGTTTCCGTAGTCTGGTCCACGAGATAGGCAGAGGCAAGTGCCTTGAGTCCTCCGCCTTGTATCGCCTATGCCTTTGCTTGCTGGCGCAAACAGAGGTGATGCCTCGAGGTGCTCGAGCTCACCCGAGGCGGATAACTACTATTTAGATCTGTCAATTACATTTCACTGCAATCCTGGTATGTAAATGTAGGAATACTTCCAATATTACTATCGACGCAATCAACCCTACCGAACGTATGTCACTGATACTACAAGGACCCAAACCTTGAGCAGCTCGAGGCCAGCAAGAGTTCGCCTCATCGACCCCGGTTCTTGAGTTCTCTGCCATGAGGTAAGTCCTCGAACCCAATTTTTCGTAAAACACACTATCATTCCCCTTCTCAGGAGCGTAATTTTGAGTTGAGAGCGTGGCCTTGACTGGACACCTCTATCTGGAGGTATCTAAGTCACTAGCTAGACCCTGGTAGGAAAGGTGTTATTCGTGCCACATCGACGGTGAAAAACGGACCTATACCAACTTTACCTAGACAACCCTTCACTCCAGTTTCTACAGCTCGCACCGCATGAGTAAATACCGCTAATAGTTTATTTAGACCACGTACACACCATCAGAACCCAATCTTTATCGCGTAGTTCGGAGTTAAGACTTCATATCAGTCATTACACGCGTACGTTCATGACTGCTAGTTCAGATGATGATATAGAAGCATGTAATGTTAAGGAGATCATAGGTTGGGTGCCGAAGAATGGCAAGAGAGTGCGTATGCGGCCCATCTAGAGACATCAAACCTCATGAACTCATACTAATGGAAATCAACCACGTGGGGACTTCAAGCCACAATAGTTCCGATATCATGATATCACTAGCCCCCCCCCCCCCATATCCCAAGCTAGTCTGAACGGGGTTGTTTCAGGCTTTGTCGTTCCCCAGTTCTATGTTGTGCGAGTGATAGTTTATGACTGTTCGTCAACCCACACAACACATGCCACACCAAACAGACGCTAGTCGTGCACCAATCAAACACATTGGAAAACACAGTACTGTGCAAAACATAAAATGGCTGCTAGTTACATTGATCAAAGCACCCACCACCAACCAGACACCATCAACACATCTCATTACAAAAAGTAACAGATAAACAAATTCTCACTACATATATTGCAATAAGTCAACTTTCCCCATTATTATCTCGCTTAAGATGAGTACTATTGTTAACTCATTCTTTACTCCCTCTCTCTCGAGCTCTCTCCATATGTCCTTCTACACCATAATCCCTCTCACTTCCTCGTCATATTTCTTCTAGCTCGTCATCTCTTTAATGGATAGAAGAACCAATGCCCTTATATGCAACCTGGCCACAGACTACCTATTGGGTGTCTGTTTCGCTGTTGGTCTCCCACCGGGCCACAGATTACCTTCTGGGTATCTGCTCCGCGTCCCGGTGGGCCACTGGAACTTAGACTACCTACTGGGTGTCTGCTCTGCTTCCAGTGGCCTATTTAACCTCAGAATACCTACCGGGTACCTGTTGACTAAATGGCGGGGCATTGGTTAACTGAATTTTCTTTCGATGTGGTAGGGCCACCAACAGGGGGAATTCTTACTCACTCGACGGAGTACCTGCTAGCCTACCGATAAAGGAGAGAGGGTGGGCGACTCTTCGCTCCCTTCATCACCGTTATCTATAGGCTATTATGACAGCAATCTGTCTCTTCCTCAACGTGACTGCTGACAATCATTATCTACATGGTCAGTCTCTCAAGTAAGATGTATGTTCGGGGGCAGTTTGTTCTAATTAATTTTAAAAAATTCGTTGAGGTATAGGATACCCATGCCGGCTGTAAACCTGCTGATGGAGATAGGCTTAGAGGAAGGTTTCTGTTGCGATGGACTTAAGGAAGAAAATCTCACGAAAACTCACCTCCTCAAATTGCACTTTTTAAACGCCACAATCAACCTTCATATAACCATAATATCGTTCTAGTATATAATACTTGTTAAAACCAATAGCAGTATAATTTAATGTCGGTAACTAGAAATAAATGTGAGATTTCGGACCTTCGTCTATTGAATGATGTCTTTCACTTCTTATTAGCATATAATACCTTTTTACTATCGGCCCCAGGTACCACACATGAACGCAGGGCATATCTGAATACAGCTTGGGCGAAAAGAGATGGAGGGCAAAGATAAGCCCCCTCAAATTCTTGACTAGAAACAACATGTATAATACCCTATAGTTATCGGTATCTCAAGAGACAAAATAAAGCACTCGTAGCCGTAAGAAGCCGACCGTAAATACCTATCTATATTAACGAGGTCGGGCTAGTATTATCCGCCCGCCAAACAGCTCCCAATAACTCAAATATAAACAGATGTACCGATATATAGAGATTAGAGTCTTACATCTCCGAACCCACGGAATAAAATTTGATTGGAGTGGTGATCGATGGCGAGTGATGTTCTATGATGCAGGTTTTTGGCGTCACTTTTTCTGATGTCACCCTAGACTTAGCTCAATAAAAGAGGGGGGGGGGGTTCATAGGAGTTGTGCTCATTACTTTGGGATCTGGTGACGTTATATAAAGAGTCATTAATAGTTTCAGAAGGGCAGAAGGGTGGTTACATTAGTAGCGGATGAATAAGGGAAATAATACAAGCACCAGATTTCAAACCCAGTACACTGTATCGAGAGTATTTTTACTTTCAATCTTCTCCAGATGGCTAGGCCAAGCGAATTTTCTCAATTGATATCGCAGGAAAATCATACCATTTAGATATCTTTGCTTCATGAATGAGGGTACTCCTGCCCGTGCTAAGTTACCTCAATTACATGTAAATCGGCTATTGTAGGTACATGTGTGTTTATATATTCTTTGTTAAAGAAATCATTAGTGGCGAGAGTAGTGGAATGTAGGTACCAGATAATACATGTGTCATGAAATACACTCGAAGAAATCTAATGATATATGTTATATAGTCGTTAGATATGTGTCTAGTAGATTTTATATGCTAAGAGGGGCTGACTTTACCACGTCTATCAACACCAGTACGAAATATTTTGTCTCGATGGGCCTTCTTCTTCCATTGCTATCCGAAAGACAAAACCATCCTATACATTTATGAGAAACTCAAAGATTTTCCATTTCAGCATTTGTATGTAAGTCATCCCGGTCGGCTCTGATGACTTGCAACTACAACATAGTGCAGATCCCCTTTTGTGAAATTTCAGAAATTTCAACAATTATTTGAAAAGCTTTCATGTGTTTTCCCTCCATAAATGGTTTACCGTACCATCACCCTGTGCCGGAAACTCAAAACATAGCTAAGAGCATTTCAAACTACAGCGAGTTTCCTGCTATTCACCCATCGAAACCCTCAGGAATTACCACCGATAAGAATATTTACTACCGAGGGTAAGTGTTAGTAAATCCAGATTACTAGGTTCAAAAAGAACATACGAACCGCTTCTATGAGCCTTCACACTAATGCAATTCAAACATACATGGTACCTACTTGATACCGAGAAACCTATAACGCACATTTATCAGCTTATTTTCTTTAATTTAATACGGGAGGGCAAAAATAGGAGTTATACATACCGCAAGTAGCTATATATCACTGGTTAAATCTCCCTATTGACCCAGAAATACCGACTGATTATTTATACTAGCAGGAGTACATTCCAGTCAATCATTAGACTGACCCATTCCTAACAACCTATTTACGGGTGTTCTTCTTGACAGCTGATCTGCTGGGTTTGATGGTTGCTGGCTTAGGGATGCCGCCCTTTTTTGCTGATCTCAGATCATAAGTTTTGTTGCTTGACCTGAGGTTATAAGAGTGGCCGGTAGATTGGGGGGCCTTCTTCGGAGTCTTTGGTGTAGCGACCTTAGGTGGTTGTGCCTTCTTGCCGGTCTGTTTTAGGTTGTTTTTAGCGGTAGTTCCGAGGGTCTCGATCTGGGCATCTGCAGTTTGAATCGTCTCGGGTATGGCGTCCGCAGATTCGTGCGAGGAGGTCCCGGTTTGAACATGCGGAACTTGAGCTTTCTTGACTGCGGCGTGTGCAGGTTTACGAGAGCGGGTTCCAGTCTTGGCCTGTGGGTTTACGGGTTTAGGATATGCAGATTTAAGAGGGCGGATTTAGGTCTTTACCTTCGGACTTTGGACTTTCTTGATTCTCGTATTCGAAGATTTTGGAATTCGGGACGGTTGGACTTTGTCAGATTTGGTGCGTCTAGAGCGTCTGGTGGTAGCTCCCGTAACTGGAATTTCGGGGACTAAATCCCCCTCAGGGCCAAAAGGCGTAGCAAAATATGCCGCAGCGATATTACATGTCTCTGCAGCAGCGACATTACATGTCTCTGCAGCAGCGACACAAATATCAACTACTGGAATCCCGGCAGAAAGAATTGCAGTAGCAGCAGATTGACATGCGTTACCCGCTGGAATACCGGCTTCCATAATTGCAGCTGCAGCTGCGTAGCATGTAGCAGCAGCGTTAGTAAACTCTGCTGCAGATGCATGACATGCTGCAATAGCAGCAGCCACGGTGGGATTCACGGCCACGCCTTCTGGTTCAACTCCAGCATTCTGATAGTCTGGCTGGTACCAGAGAACATCACGCAAAGCAAGATGAGTGAAAGGCGGGTCCAGCTCCGGAGGAGCATCAGGCCATTGAGATGGAGAACCCATCGGTCCGTGCATCGGATTGATGTCTTCTTGCAATTGAAGGGGATGGTAATGAGTAGGAGCGGCCATGTTATAGTCCTGAGCTTGACTAGTATACTCAGGCATCTGCAGGTGTGTATTGGATGGACTTATATTTATCTGATCGGGGTTTGTGTACATTTGGTTGTACTCATTCGAAAGTTGGTCATGTGAGGAGGATGGTTGGTGGTTGAATTCCATACTTTTTTCTTGAAAAATGAGATAGGACCGAAGAGAGAACGTACTATCTCTTCACCTATGGTAATTGTTGCAGATTGATGAAGAGGTAATGGATGGCAGGAAAGTAGTGAAGGTAGTGAAGGTAGTGAAGGTAGTGAAGGTAGTGAGGGTAGTGATGGTAAAGGATGGTAGGGATGGGGGGGGGGGGGGCAGTAGCGGTGATTATTTCAGCCGTCAGAAACCAAGTGCGGGAGGGGGTCGAGGGGTGTATGCCCTATATTGATAACAGCTTTTTAAGTCTAAACCCCTTCCGAAATTGTAGTCCGGAAATACAATTAATCTCATCCTATTGCAGGATTTTCAATATCTACGGTAATTTTACATATGTGTAATCTGACTGCGTCGACTATTCTTTAGCAGTAAATCCTTCTGCTATCAGCCTTTTATCAGGGCGCCCCTGCTTCTCAGAGACTTGTGTTGTTCATGCAAGAGGTGCTCGAGAGCCAGAAGATAAAGTATTAATGGGAATGATAGATATTACCAGATTTAAATTCTCTACTGACTAAGCAAATAGACGACATGGGTATAAGGACTCTAAACTTAACTCGGAACCACATTCTACTTCTATGTTTCTAGGTTAGTATTCAAATTTTTAAATAAACCAGTCGGCTCCGCTTCGCAAGAGTGTATAAGGTTAGACAAAAATTCAAATTGGCAGTACACCGTGACCCCTGTACTCTCTAGCTATATATCTGGCAACACTTATAAAAACCACGTACTTGAATTTCTAGACAACAAGTTTATTTTTTTATATTTAAGCATGGTAATTCCATCCAAGATGTAGATACTCAAAATATGAGCTTAGTCTGAGAAGGTTCTGTTTATTTTAACAAGTACCCATTATTAGAGCACAACTTATTTTATGATTTATACGGCGTCCTACTCTCAGAAATCAACATGGTATCCCATGTTTTCTCCTCAATCTATTTGATTTCCTCTTCACTTTTATTAAATGTTTAGTTAACTCGAATGATGTCCTCTCTCATATGTAGCCTTCTACGCGAACATTTCCTGCTGCCTTCTCCAGTATCAAAAAGTCTCTGCGCCGCCGGAGGAAGTGGTGTTTCCCCTAGAGTCGACATCAGCGAGCCTTTACCATATCTCAGCTGAAAACACTCTTAGCTCCTTCATATACAGGCTGCTTAACGAATTGGCATATATCCTTCTTTGGTATATAGCGGAAAGAAGAATACCTCCCCCCGGATATGCCTCCAGATTCTTTATAACTCGCTACTATCAACCATAGCCACCACGTATCTATCTCTAGGGCTATTATGCCATATTCCCAGGTTCTATTGTGAGACAATACCCGAGTTTCACCCTTTACTAAGTAGTAGCCTTCGAGTAAAGTCCCCAGGTTCCCTAGCTAAAATATAAATTAATCTTCTAAGCAAGGTATCTCAGTAATTTATATGTCAACATATACCCTTTTCGTAACCTGTAAACTAACGAAATGACGATTTTCCCCGCTGTCCGGAAAATAGGTACGAGCTCTATATTTGAATAGCCTCTACTCATCATCCTTTCCACGTACTCCCACCAGATGAACTGGCCTCTCATGACGGATCCGTCATCATCTCTTCTATATCTAACCACATCAACGGTAGGTATATCGATCGTAATCATCTAGTCCATTGGTTAACAGGTGATCTTCCATTCAGGCAACGCAAATAGCGGTTTATAACAGTAGCTATTAGACCGCAATCTCACCCTCAAACTATTAAAACAGAAAGAGTATTACCTTGAAAAGTGGACATAAACCGGCCGACCCACTGCCGGCCACGGGTAGCTGATTCTGACGCCAATGGGGACTGGAAATGTGTTTAACGGTGTGGCTATTATATTAGTAAATGGGGTAGCGTATGCTGATGCTTCGATGATTTTTTCACACGGCGGCACATGGAGGTATTTAAGGATACTGTAGCGTGAGCTCGAGGGAGATGAGTGGAACGCGTGTGGACAGAGCCGCTGGGCTCTGCGCGCTAGTCATGAGGTATACCACATGTGAACTTAACCTCACGGTCCAAGCACCAAACTACACCACATCTTCTCACTCCGCCATCGACTCAATCAACGAATTATCAATAAACCAATCAATCACTCCACTATCTTCCCCTACCACACAAACCACAATTAATCACTATGAACAAACTCCCCAACTCCCGGCCCATCTGACTACGTCGCCTTGACGTCCAACACCCATCGCGGCGCATCAAGTCAGCCATAATTGCTTCCAAGGCGAGGAGAAACCTAAAAAGCTAGCAGCGAGTTTTTTTCTTTTACTCGATCTCTCTACGACTTCCTCACCACCAGACATTCAATGAACCCCAAGGACCATTCCACGCAGAAATTCCCCGAGTGGTATATATCTAGACAGCCCCTCCATTATGGTGGAGAAACCACAAAGTCTTAGAACATCATAACCCCCCAGCCACAACCAAGCCAACGTCTCCACAATTCCAAGAAGCAACAACAAGCACCGCTCTTCCATGAGCTACAGCGGGGGAGACTATAATTACACCCAGTACCAAAGAAGGGTTCTAATTAGAAGCAGGATATCTCTAGGTGGATATCAAACGAACTCACATCCGACCCTACGGCTAGCGGAAGAATTATTTCTGCCTAAGATAGCCCACGTCTGCCCCGCATGAAGAGAAAAGCCGCAATCTATACAAGCGTAGCGACAACGGGTGTGTACTTTTCTATCAGCCTGCGATTCAATCATTCAAACCATATACAGAGTGTTGCAGAAAGCCCTACGTCTCTCAACGCCCTGAAGCCAACCCCGCGGGCGCGCTGCACCGATAACACCCCCATTGCTTTCCGAAGTTCCACATACCAGATAAAATACGCGCCCTTACGCCTACAAGAAATTACAGTCACTATTTTATCGCTCCTTCGTTCAAATTATAACTTGAGCTGGGAGCTTACTCAGCGAGTGATACTTCATGACCAGTACGCCGATTACACAATCACCCTACATTTCACTAAAGGAGTAAGATTGAATATTTCATATACTTCTCCTCCAATCGTAGACGTCTTACCGCCCAGCGTAAACCACCAACCAGCCACTCCCATAGAATCTCACTGCAGAGCTTGGCATGCAATCACAATTCATCACTCGCACTAATGCCCACCCTGGCGCTCGCCGCGTCGGAAATACCAGCATCCGCTCCGAACCGACAGGCATCAACACCCAAGCTGACCAAGACCGCATACATCAATGTTTACGATATACTCGACCCTTCCCACTTGCACACTTCACTTTCACATTTCACACCTCACGCTTCACATCGAAATTGTGTTTTTTTTTCTTTCTTTCTTCATGCACATGTCAATTCCCCCCACACGTTAACCTTAACCCAACTAATAAAATATAGCTAGCTCATGCAATCATCAAGAGTAGAGAGTATATCACAACAAAATAGCGACGCAAAAAGCGAGCGCAAAAAAGAAAGAAAAAGGACAGAGTAGAGTAGAGCACAAATCTATCTCCCCCCTTCTTCCCCTTCCCCTTCCCCATGCACATGTCTAAGACAGAAAAGAAAGAGAGAGAAAAGAAAAAAGCTAATGATCAAGCTCTATCGTCACACCCATTACATTACCGCCATTAAAAAGAGTCCCTAAGAGAAAAGCAGAAGAAAAGCTCATCATAAACGCCAGGGGAAAAAAAAAGCCCACACTTCTACCACACCAAGGAAAACAAAGAGAACGAATGAAAGAGGGGTGTCTAAGCAGCCACTCCCATCTCAATCTTCTTTCCCTTAACACTGACCCACTCCATTCCTAGACTTCCCAAGAAGCCCAAGCACGCCATAGCCACACTGGGGTAGAAGCACTGTGTAAGTGCGTTGTTGTATGCCTCGAGGATCATTGGCAGCTGCTCTGCGGAGAACATTGTCTGCAGACTTGTTGCACCGGTCGACAACACGATCGCGGGGTTGAAGTCGGGCATGGATGCGGTGAGGCCCTCGATCAGCTTTGATGTGAAGACGTTTTGGCCACTGTTATGCTTGTTAGCCTTCTATCTATAGAAGGAGAAGAGAAGAGAAGTGGGAGACTTACACAGAGATAAACAGCGCACCTCCCAGAGTCTGGAAGAAGATGACACATGAGGTACCAGTAGGAACATCTTCGAGCTTCAGAACGGTCTGAGCGGCGATCATAGGTTGCTGCATGACGAGACCGATTCCGGCTCCGCAAAGAACCTGGTATCCGATCCACATTGGCGAGGCAGTGTCAACCTCGAAGGTTGTAAGGAGCCCAGCACCAATAGCGCTCATAGCCGCACCGACAAGCATGAAGGGGGTATAGTAGCCAAAGATGGTGGTTCCTGCACCTGCTAAGATCGAGCAGACAGTGACTCCTAGGATCAATGGGAGATTGCGGATACCCGACTGGGTGGCAGTAACGCCTTTGATGGCCTGGAACCAGATGGGAAGGTAGAAAACGAGAAGCATGAAGCAGGATCCAATAGAGAAAGAGACGATGCAACTGGACATGATGGAGCGCTGCCTCAAGATACGTGGGGGAATGGTGGCCTTCTCACCACGCCAGATCTGAACGCCGACAAAGCCGGCGAGGAGCACACCGGCGGTCACGAGCAAGCCAATGATCTTTGGGTTGGACCACTGGTACTTTGAGCCTCCCCATTGCAGCGCAAGAAGAAGACAGACAATACCAGGAAGGAGAACGGCGGTTCCGGCAAGATCGAGCTCCTTGAGCTTCTCCATACCAGTAAGCTTATCAGCCTTAACACGGGCTGGTGGGGTAAAGAAAACAATGATGGCAATGATCACGACGGCACCGATGGGAAGATTGATGTAGAAGCACCATCTCCATGTCAAGTGGTCTGTGAATGCACCACCCATAAGGGGACCAGCAACAGATGCAATTCCGAACATGGCGCCGATGAGACCTGAGTAAATTGGACGCTTGCGGAGTGGTACCGAGTGTGCGAGGATAATGAGGGCACCGGAGAAGATACCGGCACATCCGAGACCGGCAATGGCACGACCAACGATGAGAGCTTCACTGGTAGGCGCAGCACCGCAGATGAGAGAGCCGAGTTCGAAGATACAGATTGCCGCGAGGAAACACCATTTGAGACTGAAGTAGCTGTAAAGTTTACCATAGATCAATTGGAAGGAGCACATCTGTCCCAATTAGTACATTGCTCCGGCCGCGGGGTTAAAAAGAACGTGGGAAACGTGGGGAAAAAACGTGGGAATCAACTAACCGTCAACATGTACCCGGACCCATACCAGCCCACGTCGTCAAGAGCACCAAACTGGTCCGTGATCTTGGGAATGGCCGTTGCAATGATCGTTTGGTCCTACATAGGAAACACTCGTTAGCACACATAAACTCAGGCATGAGACAAGAATTCCCAAACGCACCAGAGCAACTAAAAACACAGCTAAACACAGTGCCAGTGTGATCAAACCCAACGCAACTGGTCCCGGATATTTCTGTCCATCCTCCATGTATTCACCATCGTCCCCCTTCTCCCCGCCCTCTCCCTCCTTGGCCTTGTCTTCAACCTCAATGTCATCCATCTTCTCGCCATCAGTGGGTGAGGCAGCCCGTGAGTTGCTCAAGCTCTTCTCATTCAAATTATCGAATGTACTTGGAGCGAGCGTTGATGAGTCCGTCATTGTGAGGGACGAGTGGTTCTTCTTTAGATCTGCCTGGCTTGGTGGCTCGAGGCCTTCGGGCTGAACGGTCATTAGTGATGGGTTAGGTTGTGTAATTTGTGCTGTTTGCTGATGCAGTGGCGTGATAGTAGTATATTAATCGTAGTCTGAAGTCGACGGGTGACTACTGGTGATTGGAACTTATCTATGTACGACCAGGGAAAGGCTACCAAGATGTAGCTAGCTATGCCTGATGTTGAAGAGTTGTAATGTTGGAGAAGCACACGATGGAGGGGACACGATGGTAGATATTTATTTATCCTGCACTCCCTCCCTCCTGTCCCTCCTCCCTCTTCCCCCCCCCCCCCCCCCCCGGCTGTAGACAATTTGTGTAATAAAGGTAATCAGCCACCCACACGCCATGCCCCTACTACTCTACCTCAACCAGCAGCAGCAGGATCACCCAGATCCCTGTGCATTTTCCAGCTTTTTCTACAAACTAGGAAACTCCAGATAGAGTATGCCAGGGCCTCCCCCCTCAGCAAATGGAAGTCTAAGCGAAAGGAAAAAATCCGTCTCGGCCAAGGCCATGTCGGAGCTTCTTTCGCCCGCCAAATATGACAATTGCAGTTGCAGTTGCTTGTTTGGCTGCCACCCGCCAAGCACTCCCCCGGAAGAAAAATCCCCCGGGCTCTCCCAGTCTTCTTAATTCTGCTTTCCCGCGCATGCAAACTCTAAAATTTTAATTATTACCCCTGTTTGACGGATTTACCGAAGGAATTAAGCCTTGATAGTTGGGGGTTTAGAGGAGTAAGTAGTCAGAGGAGAGTGTCTAGGGCAAATGACAACTCGGAGTTCCGGTGTCGCCGATGGGAAGTTTGGATGTAGACCGTTGTTGATGGATCTGAAGATCTGAACAAAGAAAGAAGCGCACACACGCACAACACGCGCGCACAACTAACCCGACAGGCAATTGAATGTAGTGGCGGTGGGGCTCTCGCCCTTCCACCCGGTGGCCTGGTCCCTTACAGCTTTCTTGCTGAGCTCGAGGGAATCTTGACTCACGATACGCAACGCAGAATGCAGCACCTCGTCTGAGAGATAAAAATTCCCAGAAACAGACAGCCCAGTGGATGTCAATGCAATAGCAAACACCCACATATAGGTCGTTGCAGAATAGTCATCGGTGGAACGCGGGAAAAGGAAGAATGGCAAAAGAACCCGATTCGACCCGCCGCAGTAACGGCCCCCGACGGACGAGCGAGACAGACTCTACACAGAGACTCTAAGAGAGAGACATACAGATTTGGGAGTCATTTTGAGACTTACTGGCTTAAGATTCTTACGTAGGATACGACGCTTCGGGCTGCTGTTTACCTCAAGCTGCTGTTAGTTGTAGTCATCGTAATATCTATCTTTGTCTGTTTCTGGCGTCAGTCTTGTTTTTGCACTTTGCATCTTATCAGATCCACTCCAACCACAGCGCAAGCCTTCCTCTGCCCCCCCCCCCCAAAAAAAAAAAAAAAAAAAAAAAAAATCCAGGTGAATCCTTCACTCCTTCAATTTCCTTCGACACCCAACCGTTGCCCATCGGCCCGTGTTCACCTCGTCCCCCGCCAAGCCACAATAGCCGAACAAAACAAGCAAGAGAGATCTCTCGGCATGATAGCTTTGACCACCCGACCTACTACATACCAACCAACCCCCTTCTAGGTACTCTACTCTAGCTAGGGCAAGGAGTTCCGCTGCCGCCCCCAATCCCACCGTTAAATTGTTAAATTGCTTGACCACCCCCAACCCACAAAATGGGTGGAGTACGTATACCTCAGCAGCGGAGTTCAGGGTCAGTCCCTTTTTTTTCTTTCTTTCATTTACGGTACGATAGAGTACGTTACCTACATGCCATTCCAATACCAACCATTCACTCGCGCGCGCACTCACTCTCAATGTCGGCCGAGATTGATTAAACAGAGACAGACAGACACAGACAGACAAAAAAAGGGTAGGGGCGCGGCATGACGAAACTCCGGACCCAGACTGTCGGGTTGAGTGGGTGTGAGACACAGATTGCACCCACCTTGCGACGTCTGTCGTGTGTGTCGTCCCTAAAGCAGCAGAGTGACTAGCGCAGTTGGCTGGAAGTCTTATGTAGACTTAGCGAACAAAATACGAATTAAGCTTCTTCCTTGGCGCAATTTTAAGGCTTTAGAAGGTCTTGGCACTCTACTGCTGAGGTGAGCCAGGCGAGGGTTTTAATTTTTTATTTTATTTTACGAGTTCGTGTCTGCGACGGGGTCCTGAATTAGAGGAGGCTTGAAAATTTCCGCATTTCCGCACTTTTGTTCCGGTGCTGCGGGTTTTGGGTTTTAGGGTTTTGGGGGAAGAGTGACGAAAAAAAAAAGTCGGCTGGATGGCTCAGGTAAAGTAGAGTACAGTCGCTCACCTACTGACGGCGGATCCTGTCTGATGGTTCTGTTTGCAGAAATTTGCCCTTGGCGTCCAAAACCTAACTCTTTTATTGGCCTCAAATCCCTGACCGCCATTAGACAGGATCCGCCTTCGAGTGATTGGTTGAATGGCATCGATCTGCATCAGAAGTTTCCCATACAAGTAATTTTGATCTCTGGAAGCTAGCCAATTTTTCGAGTTATGGCGGTATGTGACTCTTGAGGTTCGTATTCGATGTGTGCGCGGGTTCGTTCGTATTGGATTGGGCAGATGGGCAGGGTAGGGATGAGTCACTCACTCGACGTGCACCGCCTGCTGGGTTCTGGGTTGTGGCGGTCCTGGCGGGGACAGGGGTGGGGTTGGCCATGTATTAGGGTTGCTGTAGGGTAAAGGGTATTAGTAGGGTGGATCATTTATCAGGATGAATACTCGGGCGTTCATTAAATGGTTGCAACTAAGAATTCCGACCATTTAATAAACGCGTGAGTATAATCACCAGGATGAATATCAACTACAACTACAGGTACATAGTAATAGTAGCAGAATTAGGAGGATAAAGTTACTAGTTAGTACGTAGCGGGGAATGGAATTTATCAGGATAATTATAAGAAGCTTACATGTATTTACCAGGTCTAATCAGGATAAATATAAAGTTAGAGTTATTCGGTAACCTCTGCAGTAAGTAAGCTAGATCTATAGCGTAGAACGTACGTCGAGATTATCGGGGTATAAGCTTAATTATTCCCATGAGGAAGAATGGCAATTCTCGGGGTATGCTATTCATGGAGTTGTGAGATCGAGATCTAGCTTATGCATATTGAGTGGAGTATTATACAAGTGGAGTATAACCTCGAGCATGTGCAATTACCAGGAAGAATTATAATCATCTCAGTGAGTAATACCATAACAAGAGCGGAGAAGTATGTATATACATACACCATTATCAGCAATTATCGGGGTAATGTTTCGGGGAGAGTCGGGGATCGAGTAGCTAGACGTAATTATCAAATTGGTCATGCGAGGCCTAGGAATATGTGAAATGATCACAAAGCTACATGTATCACGATAACGCTTATACGCATTCGTCGGAGGGATCAAGCGGGGAGCAGTACCGACATAATTAGGTATCAGGATAATACGAATTCGTCGGTGCTAGAGAGCGGAGAACACATAATTATCGGGGTAAAGCTACATATGAGCTAGTTTTTCCTGCCAGGTTAGACGGAATTATCAGATTCGTGGCCGGAAAACTCATGATCAAGCCTAGGGCGGAGACCATCATTATCGACAGGAAGAACTCAATTACCAGGTCGAAGAATATAATCATCAGAAAGAACACCATGTAATTCCCAGAAAGAACACAACCACCGGCATACCAGGCCGACAAACCCACCCACCTGACCTACCTACTTGTACGGCCTACCCAAGTACAGAAAGACGTACCCAAACCCCCGTCTATGCCACATTTCCTTCATTCCCCCTTCAAGGCCGGCCGCGAAACCCCATTACAAGGCCACGAAACCCACTACCGCGCCCCTAAATTAATCACCAGGCCAAACCTCCTCCCAGCTCCCTCACCACCAGACCCGACCAGGCAAGGCCAGGCAAGGCCAGGCCAGGCAGGCCAGGCAGGACAGCTGAAGAACCAACCTACACACACATGTATGTAACCACCCCCCCCCCCCAAACCAACCAACTACAGTCACTCACTCACGGATCCAGTCAGGGATTTGAGGCCAATAACAGTGTTATGTTATAGATGCCAAAGACAAATTACATTACTGCAGACAGAACCATCAATCCGCCGTCAGTAGGTGGCCAACCAGAAAACCCCGCAGCAGCCCGAAAAAAGTGCAGCCCCCCCCCCCAAAGTGCAAATTTAACAGAAACTGATATGATCTGAGGGATTACTATTCTCGTATTAATATTCACATTCACATTGCACGTCTCAGGCAGAAAGTGCATGCAAGTGCCACCTTCTAGAATTAAGGGAAGGGTGCCGGTTCGTAGTCGCAGTTGTCATTTCGTGCATAAAGTAAGGAGAGGCCAGCTAGGTGGTTGGCTGGTTGGCCGGGTGGCTAGGGCGGGGCGGGGCGAAAATGGGCCGGGTGAGATTGAGAGTGTGTAGGGCCGGGTGAGAGTGAGCCGGGTGATAGTCTATGATCGACAAGAGTGTGGTGTGGTGTGGGGGCTTCTATATAGAGCAGGCTATAGCAATCTCACACTATAAGGATATTATCTATAAGGATAGGATAGCCCGGCCCCGCCAACCTTCTTAACACCTGATTCTTGGCTTTCTACAGCCATGATTCTCTATAAGGATGCAGAATTTCGGTCCCGATCGTATCCTTATAGTGAGAGATTACTGTACATGTACTAGCTGCACATACACTCTGGGAGTGGGTGAAAACAAACCGAGTGAGAGCATACCGGGTCCGGGTGATAATTGGTGATTGCCATGAGTCGGCCCCTTCGTCTGTTCCTGGGATTCACCACCTCAGCTCCGTCGTCGAAAGATATACGATTCTTTCGCCGAGTTGGGCAGTGGAGATGGACAGCCAAATCAACTTGAAGCCAAGTAGTGCCTCGAATGGGTAGCGGGGGTAAGATAAATAGTGGGCTTGTTAACTGCGCACGAAGATTGTGCTTCCGCCACAAAATGCCCCCACAAGGCCACAGGTGCTGATTACAGAGGAAGAGATAGGTAGGGGACTGTCTAATTAAGCTATATGTGTCCTTATAGGCTAGTACTCTATGATACAGTATCGTGGTGCCGGCGGGTATCAATGATCGTAGCGCCAGATAACCACCATCTATCATTAACCAACCTCGAACCCAACCACGCACACCCAATACAGTGACAGAAATGTGGGTGAAACTACTACTACCGTACCGCAGGCCACAGACAGGACAGGACCGCGGTACCACTGCCGCACACCTCATTGAAACACAGCACATCCTCGCAATGCCATACTGATGCGGTATCAGCCCCACCCCCCCATTTCCGGCACTATACACCATCTATCCCTCCGTCCCCACCTCCCCCTCCCCCTCTCCCTCCCTCCCTGTCTCCAACCCCACCCCCTCCAACCTCAACCCCACCACGCCCCCCACCAGCCCCACCCACACCCTAACATACCACTCCTCCGCCCTCATCCCCTTCACCCCCTCCCACAACCCCCTCAGCTCCCCCATCGCCTCCGCCGTGCTACACGGATGCACAAACCACCACACCTCTCCCCCAGCAGCAGGATTATCCGCCTGCGAGACCGCGCCGAGCACGCCGACGCGGCGCAGCGCCTCGGCGGAGGACGTGGGGACGATGCGGTCGTAGATGTCGGCGAGGGAGAGCGGCGTGGGCGTGTGTGGCTGGAAGTAGAGGATGGGGACGTTGTAGGCGGGGGAGTGTTGCAGCTGGTAGGTGATTGTGGGGGCGGGGGCGGCGGTGGGTGGTGGTGGTGGGGGGGGAGGGATTCGGGGTCGGGGGGCTCGAAGCAGCCGGTGGAGGTGGGGGTGGACGGGGTGGTGGTGGGAGTGGTGGGGGTGGTGGGGCGAGAGGGGTGGGCGGGGAGTGGGCGGTGGAAGGTTAGGGTGGTGGTGGGGTGGTGGGTGAGTGTGCAGGTGGAGGCGGGGAGGGAGGCGTGCAGGGCGATGCAGGCGGTGGTGAATTCGGTGGGGGCGAGGTGGGGGAAGGCGGAGAGGTTCATGGTGTGTGGGTGTGTATGAGTATTGAGTACATGTAGTTGGAGGGAGAGCAGAGGTTGATACTGAGTTTCAGTGTCTTGGCACCAGTGACGGTGCCAATCCCTATTTATCTATTTCTATTCTGCTGTTTTCTAATATTAGCATCTCTCCTCCAACTTATAACTGTTTCTTCCCAGGCACAACCCAGGCCCCGGTGTCAAGTATAAACAGCCATCCTGTACATGTGCGAGATTCCCCCCCGCAACGCCCAGCTTGACGCGTCAACCACAGCACACAAACCAACGATATAACCTATGCCCGACAGCAACAGCGACACGAAGAGATCAAAGTTCACGTATCGCCAGCTCGCACAGCTGGCGAAATACTCGGTCGACACTCCGCTGCGTGTCGTTGCGCATATGTGAGTGTTCTCCCTGTCATATTGTGATATTGTGTGCTTCGATGTGGTTTTTGATTAGCTTGTTAACGCCCAATCCCGCAGAGACCTCGATGCCTTCTACGTAAGCCCGCATCCCCGCCCTGCACACCCATACTCACCGCCCTAGGCCCAAGTCGAGACCAAGCGCCTCTCCCTCCCCCCCGACGAGCCTCTCGCCGTCCAACAATGGCAAAGTGCGTCCCTCCTCTCCCCCGCTCTCTCACATACCGACTAACCCCACCCCCCCCCCCCCCCCAGACCTCATAGCCGTCAACTACGCCGCCCGCGCCCACTCCGTCACCCGCCACGAGACCGCCGCCGACGCACTCAAGCACTGCCCACAGCTGCGCCTCGTGCACGTCGCGACCTGGCGCGCAGGCGACATGCACTGGGCCTACCACGACACGCCCAGCATCGCCACGCACAAAGCCTGTCTGGACCCGTACCGGCTCGAGAGCAAGAAGATCCTCGCGCTGTTCCGCAGCGCGTGCCCGCGCGTCGAGAAGGCGAGCATCGATGAGTCGTTCCTGGACCTGTCGGCGATGGTGCATGAGGAGCTGGTGAGGCGGTGGCCGGCGCTGGCGCTGTATGGTGACCCTTTGGAGCAGCTGCCGCTACCGGGGGTGGCGGGGGGGGAGGTGGGGTGGGCGGGGTCGTGTGTGTTGGAGAAAGAGGAGGAGGGGGAGGAGGTGGGGGAGGCGGTTGATTGGGATGATGTGGTGATGGGGGTGGCGGCGGAGATTGTGGCGCGCGTGAGGGAGAGGGTCAGGGTCGAGATTGGCTATACGTGCTCGGCGGGGATCGCGGGGAATAAGATGCTGGCAAAGTTGGGGAGCGGGTATAAAAAGCCAAACTCTCAGGTTATTATCCTCCCCCCTCCCCCCATCGCCGTAATTATTGTATCAACCATAGGGCCAATGGACTAATTGTATATACGCCCATGTAGACCGTCGTCCGCCCCGGCGCAACCCAAAAGTTCCTCAACACTCTCGAGTTTACAAAAAGTACCCCCCCTTCCCCCTCTTCTCCCTTCACAACTAACACCCCCCCCCCCCGCAGTCCGCAACCTCGGCGGCAAACTCGGCACCCACATCTCGACCGCCTTCCACACCTCCTCCCTCTCCGCCCTCTCCGCCCTACCACTCTCGGCCCTCTCCGCAAAGCTCCCACCCGACGACGCAACCTGGCTCCACAACACCCTGCGCGGCATCGACCGCTCCGACGTCAACCCGCGCACGCAGCTCAAGTCCATGCTCTCCGCCAAGTCGTTCCGCCCGCCCATCACGACCGCAGAGCAGGTGCGTATGTGGCTGCGCGTGTTTGTGGCCGATATCCATTCGCGGCTGGTGGACGAGGAGGGGCGGCGGCCGACGGTCATGACGATGATGCATCGTGGGGCGGGGACGGGGGCCGGGACGGGGGCGGGGAAGACAAGGCAGGGGGCGGTACCGGCGAGGGGGGAGGTGACGGGGAGGGGTTGTTGGGTGTTGCGGAGGGGCTGTGGAGGGGGGTGGTGGGTGAGGGGGGCGCGTTGCCGTGTGCGGGGTTGAGTGTGCAGGTGGGGGGGTTTGAGGAGCGGGAGGGGGGGAATAGGGGGATTGCGGGGTTTTTGGTGAAGAGGAGGGTGGGGGAGGTGGTGGGGGAGGAGAGCAGGGGGGTGAAGAGAAGAAGGGGAGAGGGGGAGGTGGAAGGGGATCTTGAAGAGGAATCTTTGGCATTGCCAAAACTATCGCCCCCCCTCGTAGAACACGGATCATCAAATAATGACCAGTCACCACCACCACCCGCACTCCCGTCTCCTACCACACCACCGCCACAACCCTCACCCTCACCCCCACCCCCGCCGGAAGAGACCGATACCTACACCTACACCTGCCCGCACTGCGCAGCCCCCACCCCCCTGCAGGACCAGGCCGAGCACGAGGACTGGCACTTTGCAAAGTCCCTCGCCGAGCAGGACAAGGCCGCCGCACGCAAACGCATCGCCGCTTCCCGCGCCTCCCCTCCTCCACCGCCTAGCAAGAAGGGGCCGAAGAAGAAAGGAGGCGGCGGCGGTGGTGGTGGGGGAGGTCTAGAGAAGGGACAGAGGAGGCTGGCGTTTGGGAAGAGTTAGGGGGGTGTGGGCGGTGGTTGGTTTGGGTTGGGGAGGGGGCGAGTGATGGGGTGTGATGCGGGACTTTTTTCTTTTTTTCTGCTGTTTTTTTTCTTTTGTTTGATTGTATGTATTCTAGATAGGCCCCGTTGTAGTAGTTAGGGCCCGCTTACGCAGTAATGTTTTGCCCCCGGGAGGGGGCGCAGAAATCATGCAATCCACTCTACGCCGTATATATAAAAGCGCACCATGGTACCACCAGCACCCGAGCACGTTGTGCGTGCATCGTGCATCGTCTACATAAATACATGTAGTTTTATATTGTAATCTGATATGATATGATATGCGTGGTCTGTCAGGGTAATTGTGCTTGTATATATGGCTCGAGAAGCTATGGTGGGTAGGTGTGTAAACTTCAGCGTTTGCAGCCAATCAATCTATAGAAATTGGGAGATCTACTCCCCTCACTGTACTAGCGCCTAGCCTAATGGTGGAATTTTTCTCTAATTCCCATACAAAAAAAGTTCCTCTGAAGTTGACACACCCACCCCCTATGCCTTCCCGCGCCATATGCCCGGCCTGATGTCGGGTTGCCGGGTCTTCGGGGGTGACTGCTGGTGTTTGAGCACCCCCCCAGCCGGCGCGGCGCGGGACAATCTTCTTTTCTGGCCTATACACATATCTGTCGCGCCGGCGGGGGCGGGCATGCATGTACATGTACATAGACAGAACAGACATCGGCTGGAATTCGCGGCGCATCGGTACTAGACTGCATACGTTCCTTTTTCTTATGAATCCCCGGCCGCTACACAGGTGTGCGGGATGGATCAGAGAACTTCCCATTTCAATAATATAACTGAAAAAAAACTGCCTGTATAGTGGATCTAAACCCGGTACCCGCTGTCGCCATACGTTTCCTGTATAAAACCGGAGGCATATACCACTATGCAGACAGGGCTTGGGGTGCTGTGTGCTGGGGAAAATTGTAGGCGCATACGTAGACGTGGTCTGTCTGCTTCCATGATTCCAGCGGACGGCCTGGTGCTATACCTTTCCGGCTTGGGGTGAGATCTGTTTGTATAGGGTATCGACGTCGGGATGGCTAACTATTGGGGCCCAAGTCGGCCTTCTATATCACATTGTCAGTCTCTATATCACATTTTCGGGCCTCTATATCACATTGTCGGCCTTTATATATCACAAGTTGGGCTCCTACACCACAATTCACAGCCCGATATCACATTCCAGAGGCCGGCAAGAGTGTCGGGGGCTTTCCCTGACATTTGTTGTAAAGATAATGTTCCAGACCGTACTGCGTAGGTAGCTTGCTGCTACGCATAGGACAGGCACGCACGAGACCAAGACTGAGGTATTCGACGTGGTAGCGGACAAGCGATCGAGCCCATAGGTATATTGCAGTACGCCATCGATATTCGTTGCTACAGCTTAGAGTGTGTGTATACAGTCCGGCGGGCGTGGAAGCCTGCAGAAAGCCACTGATGGGCACCAATCGAACATAGTTACTCAGCTGCACCAGAGGCGGATCAACCGCGGATCTCGATTTTAAAGACGGTCATCCCGACGGTATAAGGCGGTCCAGCTCTATAGCTAGAGGATCCGAAACTACATGTAACTGAATTTTCTCACCCTAGAAAGAACACTAGAGAGGCGCCATATATAACTATAGGCTGGCCCGTCTTTAAACTGGTGCCTGCAGACTACCTGTCGTCGAGACATGATCATGAACAATCACTCGAACCGCTGCCGCCCAGGCCAGACCAGTTACAACCGTAACTCCTCTCTACGGGCTAAATAGCTCCGCACACGCCACAGCCCCAGCTGAGTCTCTAATGTGCCTTTGTCGCTAAATCAATCCACCGATAGACACGGCGTTGGGGGGGATGGCCGTGAGGGCGCATGCTGCGTGGGCTGCGGCATGTACCCCCGCGGTATGGGGGGGGGCGGGTTCAGATACACAACAACCCAGACGCGCATACCAGCAGCCCGAGTCTTGACGCACTCACTAGCCACAGCACTATCATACTAATACGGCCAGACAGGTTAGATGCATGTTGCCTCCGGTCTTACTGAGCAATTAAGGGGGGCCAGTCGGAAGCTTAGAGTTGGGATGCAGTGACGGAGACTGGGCGGTCTATGTATGGACAGTCGTCTAAGGGCATACTGGGATAGCCCAGTAGGCACACGGCTAATTGGGCTTTAAGTGTGTTGCTCCGTGGATTCCTGGGGCGAACTACTTTCATCGAGGAATGTGGTTGGTTTAGTTTAGTGTGTCACGTGATTCATTGACCGAGTGATGGTCTGTGATGAAGCCGAATGAATTAAGCGCGCAAGGCAAATACGAATAGCGCGGCATTGCCTGTCTAGATATTTGGAGCCGACTGAGCGCGGCAAAGGGAGAGCTGGTAAAGAAGAAGATTTGTATATGGTCCGTGGATACAGGTTCTCTTTCCACTGCCAGAGACGCTCATAGCTAGCATTTGCTGTTTACTCCGGCGCGGCAATTGGCGCGTAGATATCTCAATAGGTAATATAGGGGGGGGACCATACATTTATCAGCAATATCAGACATCGAGCAGAGTTATCTAAAAAAAAAAAAAAATGCAAAGACCCATAAGGCCACCGAATAGACCCTCGGCACTACGCGGGTGAGTATTCTGCTTAATTGCATATACCGCATCTTTACCTTTAAATTACTCATCGTTGCATATTGTGCTTCTTTCCAACATCGTTCCAGTTAGGCCCTGGATATGTAGGGAGGTCTTCTCGGATCAGGATTGCGGGTAGGGAATGAAAGGTATCTTTGCGGTATTGAAATATCCTTTCGGTATTTGTATCTTGTCAAGATACCCCTCTGGTATCTCTGCCAGCTTTTCCCGAGTCAAAAAATCAAGCCTCTGGATCCAAACGCGGATATTATTGCTCGACAGCACTCTCATTACAGCCACGATAAGTGCTGCTAATTCGAAAAGGTCTGTTGGTAGATGCCGCAACTCGTATCTCCAGGTGGTAATATGGTGATACGTGTCGGGTGTTGGCATCAAGCCTTGTTTCGCAGCCTGAGTCTATAGATTATATTTTAAACTAGTATCTGGCGGCTGTTTGGATGTTTAGCGCTTTGAGGGCGAGGTATTTAGCACTAGACTGCTTCTACAAGGCGCCCTGCTACTCTGTGTTGAGTTGTCAGCTACAAATTTGTTGCGGGCTATGAGAATACTATGAAGTGCACCGTCATACCACCTCTATTGAAGCTGTAGATGACAAATTGTTATATTTAGTTGGACCTTAAGATCTCTTAATTTTTTCCAGCCAATTTCCCTTCCAAAAAAGGCACTGCGCTTATTTATTTGTGTGAGGTGGTAGTGTATTTCTAGGACAGCGAGGCTCGTAACGATCTATCCTTTGTTTCCCTGGAGGTGGGCGGATCAGGAGTCAGTAAGGAGAATAGACGCAGATATCGATTTGAGAGTTAGCTTTGAAAGTGGTAGAGAAGCCTTGCAACACTAGTTTTGACCACAGTTGTGCTTGCAGAGACGGTTGGCGGGCGGAATGATATCATAGGATACTGATAATGTTAGCTACATGTAGCCTTTAAACTTTAAGGTTAGATTACTGTCTAAAAGACCCGCGGGGAAGTCAACGCTAGCTAGCTAGCTACTACATGTAGCTAGAACCCATAAATCATCAGATCGTTCTCTGCTTCCCCACCAATTTCTTCTTCCCGTGCCTTGTTTCATCTTTCCATCTGATACTTTCTTTACCTGGGATACCGTCTTCGATGAAGCACGCAGACGACCAATGGGACTCGAGATTAGCTATTATATAGCCTACCCAATATATACTGCGATATTTGAACACCGGCGCGTGGCAAGAGAAGGAAGATATCACCACCAATCCGCGACAGCATCATGGCGCCACTGTCTCGAATTGAGACATTGCGCCAAGAATCCCCCCACCAACAATAATACCTACAGTCAACCAGGGCGCTACCAAATGAATACAAGGCGCCTATAGAAATGCCTCATTAGTGATGGAAGAGAAGGGAAGAGAAGCGAAAAAAAACTTCAGTGTCAGGATAAAGATGGCGATGCCATGTAGTTACGCGGTACGCGCAAGCTCAGGTGGAAGGAGGATTTGTCGTGGATTTTGGGTTATTACTCTTTGCAGTATCCATGGTTGTGGGTGAGGCGAACATGTGCGAGTGAGGTTCAGCAGCGCAGGCATACATAAATTTCCCCTCACCTGTGGCAGTGCAGCAGGTCCACGTCCTGCTCTGTCCTGCTCGGATTGTCGTCATCTTTTTTTCGCAAGGTTGTCGGTATTTCTTTTCATTTGACTCCATCTGATCCCCTTTTTTTTTCTGATAGATAGCACCCAGACAATAATTTTCCTATTCATCTCACCCCTCACCCCCCCCCCCCCCCCCTTCCACCTCGACTCCTACCCCCTCTTGCGATTACAACGCTCATCTAACATCCTTTGCGCTAGATATCGGAACTCTTGCTCCCTTACATAGTTCATTCCTTATAATTCAGACAACTCTCGATCCATCTATAGATCTACCCATCCCATCACTCGTTCGATCGTCGTCATGTCTGGTGGGCGCCCGAGACGAGGCACAACCAGCAATGCCGCTCCTCCATCCAACGACGAGCTCTTTCTAGATTCCCCCACCACAGTGCCACCACTACGGATCAACAGGCGCGAAGAATCTCCCGCACAAAACAACAGCCCATTCCCAAACCCACCAGGTGTACAACGCCGTAACTTCACGGGGGGACCCCCGTCCCCGGTACTACCGTATCCCGACAGGCCGGCAGCGGAGCGGGTTCAACAACAACATACATACGATCATGACCAGAATAGTAGCGGACTACCGTATCCCGATCGATCCGGGACTCCGGGTTCATCGTCGGGCTCCCAGCCAAGTAGACATGTCTCCGTTGTGCACAGCGATTCGTACCCTACACCCCCGCCGTTCCGGAACCGCGAAGGACGGAGACCGCAGCATGCTGTACGGCAGGGCTCTGGAAGGACAGAGTCTCCGCCTCCGGCACCTCCTCTCAAGGATGATCCTCCAGAGAGCCCAGAGTTGATTTTGAACCCATTCCCACAGTTTCATCAGCAATACTGGCCACCCCCGAGCCGGATGACGTCGACATCCACTACAGCAGCAAGACGGGGGTCCCCACCTCCTCCGGAAACTCCGGCGACTGCGGCGGCCGAAAACTCACCTCATCAGTTTGGTGGGGCGGCATCGGGGGTGCGACGAGGCTCTGCCCAGGTTGGTAGATCGCAGCCTCAAAGTCGTACGCAAACCCCGCATAACCACAGTGCTCCCCACGCACATGCTATTCCACCTGCGCAACCTCAGCAGGTACCAGTAGAAGCTCCCCCGAGACCATGGACACCTACCGAGGAACCGGGAAGCCATCCGTATGGCGCGTCGGTTATATGGCAAGGCACCGGAGGACAGGAACAAGGCGCGCCCCAACAGCAAGAGCGGTCCAATGGGGAACCAGAACGTCGTGATAACACTCCATCTGTGAATAGCACGGCGCAACAAGCATTGGAGAGCGAGTTTCAGCGCATGAAGATGAACCCTAGCCCTCCACCATCGTACGCAAGCTTGAGCCATGCTGCTCCAGCGGCAACAACTGCACAAGGCTATCCTAATGAGAAGCATACGGTTGTGGTTGGTGCTGCAACGCCGAACAATCATACGAATCACCCAGCTTTTCATAATGATCCTCCTCGACAGCAGCCACAGCCGCAGCAGCCTCGACAACTTACTCCGGCCCAGCGAGAGCTACAGCAACAACACCAGCAGCAGCAACAGCAGCAGCAACTTGCTCAGGAACAACAAGCCCAGGCCCAAGCTCGGTCCGAGGTCGAAGCTCAGGCGCAAGCCCAGGCACAGGCGCAAGCTAAGGCTGCTCAAGCACAAGCCCAGGCTCAAGCCCAGGCTCAAGCTCAGGCTCAAGCTCAAGCCCAGGCTCAGGCTCAGGCCGAGGCTCAAGCACAGGCTCAGGCTCAAGCCCAAGCACAGGCTCAAGCCCAAGCACAGGCTCAAGCCCAAGCTCAAGCCCAAGCTCAACAGCAACAGCAACAGCAACAGCAGCAGCATTATGCCCAGCAGCAGCAATCACCTCATCCTCAAGATACCACTCAATATCAGCAGCAATATGTCCAACAAGAGCAATACATGAATACTCCTCCACCAGGCGCTGGCCCTTCTGCGCCTCCTCCACTTCCTGAAGGATGGATGGCCCACCTAGATCAAAGTTCCGGGTCATACTACTACATTCACATTCCAACATCTCGAACTCAATGGGAATTTCCAGCTCCGGAGCCAACTTCAGCCTCCCCGCAGTTAGCAACCTCTAGCTACGCAAGTATCCCGCCGCTCGGCTCCCCAGGGTTCGGCCAACAGCCAATGACTTTCCCGGACCCTATGACTACATACAACTCAGACCCCGGAATGGTGGGGATGAGCCCATCACCGTTGATGCATACCAACAGTTTTGGCATGCATCCCCCACTCCCGCTTGCTGGTGTAGTCCTCTTTAACCCTACACCAAGCAACCAGGAGTACTTCGGTCCCTACCTCAGGTACACTAATATGGATATTGAACATGGTATCTGGCTTGGCTCAATTATGATCGTCACTTCTTCTCCACAGCCTCCGACAATCCATCTTCATCGTAGCGTAGATCTCTCCCCTAACCCTAGACAACTAAAGGCGAACCCAATCTTTACCCACCGAGCGTGGACCTTTTACCGCTATGATATCGATATTCAGATGTCAGATATCGGAGAGAAGTGGACATACGCTGTCACATCGTTATTGGGGATCTTGAGATACGAATTTCTTGTAGCTGCAAGATCGGATAGGAACTGGAGATTCATTGCGCATAGTTGCAATGGTTTCTCGTTGAGCGTAAAGGAGGAAGAGAGGCAGCGGCTGGGCGGCGTAGGGTATATGTGGAAGGATGTTTTGCAGAAGCATATGGAGATTGGGTTCCATGCGCAGTTGGGCGGAGGAGATCAGATTTATGCGGATAGGTTGTGGAGGGAGATTCCGTTATTGAAGGTTTGAGCTTTCCTCTTCGATCTATGATTTGCGGGTTCTGACTTGGATTTAGGAATGGTTGGCGATCAAAGGAAAGGAAAATAGAAAGGGGGCGCCATGGACAGCTACTCATGAGGAGGAGGTCCAGCATGCGTACTTTCATTACTACTCTTCACATTTCGATCAGCCGCATTTGAAGGAAGCGTGGGCTCAGATTCCACATCTCTTGCAAATTGATGACCATGACATGTAAGCGCATTGACTTACACTCTTCTCTTGGGGGTGTCATACTGATTGGGGTACAGTTTTGATGGCTTTGGGTCCTACCCTGAATATATGCAGTTCTCACACATGTTCAAAAATATCGGTCGTATCGCCGTTCATTGGTATTTACTCTTCCAACACCACACAACCCTTGACATGCTCCACGGAGCCCCCAACGAACGGGATCTCTTCACCGTAACCGGCACTGGTTGGCATTTTATCAAATACCTCGGCCCCGCAATTGCGGTAGTTGGGATCGACACCCGTGCAGAGCGGAATCCACAGCAGGTCATGGCGGGACCAACGTACCAAGGGCTATTTCCAAAGATCGCGACGCTGCCGCCCAGTGTGCAACACTGTATTTTGATGCTGGCTGTGCCCATTATCTACCCACGGATGGATACGGCAGAGCATGTGGTGCAGACAGTAGCAACGGGGAAAAAGGCAATCACGGGGACGTACAATCTGCTAGGAAAGGTTGTAGGGTCGGCGGCGGGAGTCGTTGGTGCGAAGGAGGTGGTTGGAAGCGGCTTCCAGGGGGTCAAGAAGGCTTTTGGAAAGAGCGGGTTGATGAGTGGTGTGGTTAGTATATTTGGTGAAGTCGATTTGTTGGATGATTTGAGGGACCATTGGACCCATGAATCGAAGGTATGTTTACGGATTCGAAGGAATGAATTTTTGATGTTTTTCTAATTTTTATCTAGGACCTTGAGCGAACCTACCTTATCAGGATTCTTCAAGGCATTGCAAAACAACGGAGTCTCCGCATGACTTTCCTCAGTGGTGATGTCCACTGTTGTGGAGCGGGTCTAGTACACGACCCTACAAAGCCTGGCGACCATAAAACAATGTATGTCCCTACTTCCCTTTGCTAGAGTCTATTCCCTAATAACAATTTCTCCCCAAAGGTACCAAATCATCTCTTCCGCAATTGTCAACGTCCCGCCTCCAAACATGGTTATCAAAATGCTACACAACAACAAGCAGCTCTTCATCCCACAAAACGGCATGCGATCCACAGGTGCCCCCAGCGACACGAAAGAAGACATGCTCGAGATATTCCAAACAGATGTCGGCGGCCAATACCGCGAACTGAAACGCCTCATGGGCCGAAGAAACTACTCAATCTTCTGCGGATACGATCCGCTAAATCCGCACGGACTGCCAGTCGCCACCGATTCAAAGCCAAGCGCGCTGAGTATCGCGGTGGACTTCATCGTACAGAGTGAGGGAAATTACTCGGGGACTGTCAAGTACGGGCCGGTGGTTATTCCGAGAGTGGAGCCTGGGTATTAGTTGGCTGGGGGGGGTGCTTTCCCGTTATTTATTAATTTATCTGTTTTTATGATTGATGGGTTCCATTGCATTGGTATGGCGTGGGGTGTGGGTGATGAGACGAATACACTTTTCTTTTCTTTTATTTGGTGGGGCTAAAGAGTTTTTCTTTTCGCTATCTTTTTTTTATTCTTATTATTCTTATATTGGCTGCGTGCAAGGTGCTTCATGTATTTTTTATATTTATGTAGTTAGTTGGATAAAGTGACTTCTTTGGCATAAGTATTTATCTTATCACTCATGCTTTAAATATTACTTCTTACGCCCTTATTTTTTTTTCTGTGTTTAGCATTTGTGAGTAGATCATGAGATATCACTCGGACACTGAGTTTGGGGCAGGGTATTCGGACTCGGCGTTTGCGTTTTACATGATCGATACAGAGGGTAGAAAATACGTACGTCCGGCCAGGTTATCTTACGCATACCTCCTACGAGATGTAAGTGGTTACTCTATGTAGACCCACGCCAATAATGAAATGTACCCGATATGATTCAACCCTTCTGTGCAGGCCTGCTGCGATAGAAACAGAGAGAGGAATCAAGCTTATTGTAATGTACCTTACTTCAGCCATAACTAGAGGATTGATATGTGTGCGGTCAAGCAAAGAAGCCGAGTGATTTTTCATGACGCAGAAGCAGGTTTAATCAGGCGTCGGCAAATGACACCTATGTCGGTACTTCCTGAGCAGTGCGGTCCACGATGGCGAAGCACTTCGTGCCTCGCCTCGAGATGACACAAGGTATACCCTTCAATGAGGCCGAAGCACCTCGATACATGGCATATTCCTCGACTCGAGTTGACTCGAGTCAACTCAATACATGCTTGTCAAGCTGCCAGAATAGAGATACTCGTGTAATATACATCCCAGGCGATCGAACTAGATTAGAACTATTGAGAACACACTGCCAGGACCTACCTCGAGGAGCATCGAGACAGCTCAAGACATTGGTGTATATGGCTCGAGGCAACACAAAGGAGGTCTCCTCAGAGGGAGAGGCAACTCGGTATACCCCGTCTTCCTCGCCTCGATGCGCTTTGTGGACCACACTGTTCCTGAGTAAAATAGACATTATTTCCTTGCGGTACGATGTTGCTTTAGACAGATACGGGCTCACTCAGACTAAGTACGTACACACGTTTCTATAAGAACCAGAACGCATATAAGTGTAATGTGGGGAAATGATCTGGAGAGTAATGTACTGTAGCAATACAGTAGCAATAACGTAGCCTTGCAGTATTCTACTAGGTGTAGTACTGGGTCCACCCGCTTTTTTGGTACTGTATTAACCTCAGTTTTTTCCTCGGCATGCTGGATTCTATCCTTGATTACAATGTCCTAAACGAGCGAAGGGTCGATATCGATATTAGCGCTAAATCCTACTTTACCGTCAAAACCAGTAAAACGAGGGAGAAAAAAAAATGAGGGTTGCGGAAGACTCAGAAGACACTCATATAAGCCTAAAACAAGGGTTTCCCGCGATATAACCCTTTTTATAAATAAGCCTACATGTAAGTATGTAAGAAGTAATGTACTGCATAGAAATAACCTCGGGTGAAAGGACTTATGTCGAAATACATATGATGTAAGCTCTTTTTCCAAAAAATTTTAAGGCTAATATGAGGTTTATTTCTAAATAAGATTATGTTCTTGGTGGTTCAAAACCTAAGTAGAGAATTGTAGATACATGTAGAATATACCTCATGCTACCCACTGATCAGCTATAATGGGAGAATGAAAATTTCTTTGCTTGAGGTAATATATAATCAGAATACATAAGTAGCCGATGAAATGGATGCTAATAAAATCGGAAATTACAAATCTTCTATAAACCTCTAAGCTCTTATTACTCCCCTAGCCCCTGAAGTACCCGGGGGTGCCGGAAAGTGATGCAATGCTTGACCTAGCAACGCCGAAATGTACTCAGAACTTCAACTTTTAATACAGCACAATGCTTGGGCAGGATAGATATTTTAGTCATACCCATGATAAATGAGTCTCTAGAACAGAGTCTGCAATTTTTCAGGCCATTGGTTTGGGGTTTTTAGCCTGGGGAAGGACAACTTGTGACAAGAGACAGTAATAAAAGGAGAAGCAACAGTCAACCACATCAACTCTCACCATAACTATGGTCTCCAGCTTCTAAATTACCATAGATTTGCTCCACATTCTGTTAGCTAGTTTGGTTGTTTAGAAGTATGGCTATTTGACCGTTGCATCACTTTCCGGCACCCCTGGGTACATGAACCTTCAAGAAATTTACAATCTCATCATGACCACCCGAACTAGCTGCCTCCAGAGCCACTGTCCCAACTTGAGCACCGTTCTGTATGAGCAGCCTCACAACATTGATATACCCAACCCCAGCAGCAGTCTCCAACGCTGTCTGATTATATGATAGATTCACATCGGCTCCGCATTCAATGAGTCGAGATACAGTGGTCAAGTGCCCTCGTCCAGCAGCAATTAGTAACGCTTCCGCTTCCGCTTCCGCTTGAGTAGCCTCCTCCACAACCGCTTCCACAACCACCCCCGCAACTACCCCGGGGGCTATTTCTGATAACATTCTGGGCGATATCTCGAGACTAGCCCCGAGCTTTGGCAGATGTGGAATAACGAATTTCTTTCCCTTTAGACTAGCCAGGTAAAGCGCTCCCTGTGCCAGGTGAGCTCTATCTCTTGCGTCTCCCAGCCTGTCAAGCGCCGCCTTAAGTACAGCCGGATTATCTGTTTCCGCCGCCCACAAAACAATATCCCCGTAAAATGACTCTTCCCGAGGGTAGTCTTGATACCATGGAAAATGATTGAATTGTAATTCGCGGCTAAATACTAAACTATCGAATAAATGCCAGTTCTCAAGGTCTTCCTTCGAAAGCCCACGGCAGTGGTGAATCCAATTTTGCCTAACATATTCTAATAAATGAAATTCTTTGAGCAGATCCTCTTCTTTCTTGGTTTTGTCGCCTAATAGGCGGGCGCTGGGTACGTGTGCAATTGAATCGTGGAGTAATAGCCCAGGGTGTATTTTCGATAAAAGTCCCATCTGTCGGTTATGTACCTTTGCTAATTTTCCCCATTCAGTGACTGCGGGTAATGGAGTGTTCTTTGTAGGTTTGGCTATCCTCGCAATAGCGGCTCCAAAATCTAGAAAATTCAAATATGTAAGGCAAACTAAGCCTACATATAAGTTTGCCTTTTGCTCATCAACGAAAAAAGTCACCCATAGACTGAGCCGCTCGCCTTGACTTTAGGAGCTCCAGGACAGTATAATGAGCGAGCTTGATCGTGTCATCACTCTGAACCCGGATGATGAGATTCCCACAATTTCTCAACATGTTAAGTGCAACATTCTGATGGCTCCCTTGACTCCAGTGAGAACACCCTGGCTCAAAAGCAACAGCTTCGTTTAGCTCCGTCAAACGGATAGGACGCCTGGCCACGGCAAGCCACGTGAAAACCTTTTTGGCAATATCTGACTTGTGGTTATCAACGATTCGTTTGAGAATTCGGAGGTAAGTTTCGTCAAGGCCTTTCGGTAACGTTTGCAATACCCGGCGAATATCGTCATCGTTATTTTCTCTACAGATTTCAATGATTTGAAACCTGACCCAAAGAAACCTATAGGATATGTCAATACGTAATTATAACCTAAATATTATATATTGATAAGAGTAACATACATTCCATCAGATCCTTTGATAAGCGCATCGTTAATCTCTTCGACCATTCCCGGGCCGACTTTCAGATTGACGTCTTTCAACTTCTCCTCAATGGTTTCCCGGATATAAATCACAATATCAGAATGATTCACCGCCGAACACAGGGGAATCCCTTTAAAGTCCACCAAATATCTCGATATATCAACCTTCTCACGGCTGGAGATAACGATCTTGATTCTACTTTTGCTATCCTTCATCAGACGGTTCATGCAAGTCATGAAGCGTTTCCGATCGTCCGCTCTACATTCGTCTAGCCCATCGATAACAATATATGACGTATGTGGAATCTGTGTGATATCCAACAACATTGTATATAAATTCTCTATTCCTGGCTCTCAGTGACTACTCAGGAATTGTCTCTCAAAGTTTCGCTCCATCTCTGGAGGAATCTTTTCGAAAACGCTGAGAATTTGTTTTATCAAACTTTTCAAGATCGCGGAAGCCTTCAAAGACTCTTCGGCTGAGAAGTCGCAGAAGAAGTAGTTGATTGATGTTGTCATATTTTGTTGTTTTATAAAGAGGTGATCAATTACCCCAGCCGTAAGTATGGTTTTTCCTGCACCAGCTAATACACAGCATTGTTAGTTCCGAGGTTATATAGATCTTCAAAATATCAGCACCACAACACAACTCAATGGGGGCTTACGAATTCCATAACACCAAAGCCCGCTAGATTTCAAGTCTTCGTTCCACTCCTTATACTCCAGGGTCTCAAAAATCCATAATCCAGTCTTCTTATGCCGCTTCTCGCACGCATTCGATAAACTCAACCGATGATTGTATGTTGATATCGCTTCCAGCAGAGATCTTCTTTTTACCACTAAATCCGAATCAGGATAAGGAACTAAATCCGCAACGCATCACTTTGAGAGATACTCACTTTTTTCCCGTATATTTTTCTGCAGAGATAAATTCTCGATCCCATTTAACCTCTTTATGATGGTCGAATTCGTCGATTGATTTTCGGCATGATTTTGTATCATCAGCAGATGGTGGTTTCTTCCTTCTCTCCTGAATAGACTCATCTCCTGGTGAGCCTTAAACGCCACTTCCTCTCTTGCCAACTCGATTGCATCCTCGACTGATTTTTGCTGCCGAGCAAGCTCCTCTTCGAGGCCTTGAAAGCTCAATTTGAAGGGCTGCCATATCGATTTAAATATTTGCCCGGTTGCTAAGTACGAGATATTAGCTATAACAAATTAGAAGACTGAATAGACATGATAGGATAATCACTAGATTTCTTAAGGAATTGAAGCGCCGATGTGCTGAACCTAATTGACACTGCATAGAAATCTGCGAGTGCCGAGTGAAGTCTAGAGGAGTCGGGGCCGAGGATCTCTAGGAAACGATCGAAGTAGGAAGCGAGATCTCCCAAATTATTGAACGTTTTTGAGATTTGTTCGAAGTAATCGAAGTAATTTAGAGCTACCTACGGGAATATATATACGTTAGTAATCGAAATGAGCACTACAACAGAGAAGATCCGAACTTACAATAATAACAACTGCCCCATACCAATGCTGCTACTTCTGGTTTTGAAGAAACCAGCACATCAATCACTGGCCAAAATTTCAAGACCGATTGAAAAAACGGCTCAATTTTTGAACTTAATCGCCGAAACCTCCGTCTCGCTTTCTCCTCGGTTATATCACGACAAATCTCTACAGTAGTAGATACTCCAGGCTGGTGTGGAGCAGGAGTTTGCGACAATTTTAAAATCTCGTCTGGACTAAGCACTTGGTAGAGGCCAGCGAGGGCTCGAAGAAGGTTATATTGGGCGGGGCTGCAAACCCCCGAATTAGCTGTTGATTAATGCGTAAGGTGTATGATATACAGATATATATTAGATAACCATGTGCATACGTGTTAGCTACCCCAACGAGGCTACATGTAGTAACTCGTAAGCCTTCAGCCAAACTCTTTGAGATTTCTTTCTTAACTCTGGGCATTTTTGTGGTAAGTGATGTTGTGGGCAGCTCGTATATGTAGTTGTAGCTTCGACCGTGAATTTAGAGGAGAAAGAAACAAACCTTAATCAGAATCAAGGCGATAAACTCAGCCTTCCCTTGTGTTGTCCCCATGCGCCATAGGTATTCTGATTGGGTGGGCCATTTCACGTCAATTTTAGAGGCAGTTTCAGCTGCATGAGTACGTTGGCAATTTGGAATTCTTGACAGAAATTCATTGGGCTGAGGGATTTCCTCTTCAGATTGGTCAAACGGACTTAAGCCTACGATGAAATAGTATTCAGTCATCTAATTTGTCTGAGAGTGTAGAGAAGTTATCCATGAGGCCGCCAGGCCCAACCCAATCGTACTAAAGTACTGGGGTGTGCCACCTCGCGACCGCGAGTTGTTGGATTTTGAGTATTGAAAATATTGGAATATTGGTATTCGATGGAGTGGACTCTTTCCATCTACCCCTCCAAACCCCCCCCCCCCCCCCAAAACCATGTCCCACCTCTTCCACCTTCTACACCACCTCCTCCCTCCACCACCCGCTATCCTCCACCCCATCGATCTCCACCTCCACCTATTCTATCTCCTCCTCATCACCTCCTCCACCTCCACCTCATCCTCTTCCACCGCCTTCCACCTCCTCCACTGCCTCCGCCTCCTCTGCCTCCGCCTCCTCCTCCCAGTACTCCCTGTCATACCACATCATATCATATCACATCATTAATTATATTATAATTATATAGACCTTTTTAAACAAATATTAGGGCGTGAACCGTACTAGTAGAGCTTCGTTGCTCAGCAATCTGATGGGGTGGATTGGTTGCCATGCAGGAGTCAGTCAGGGTTAGGGGTCACTGCTCTTGACCAATCAGACAGACAAGATCTGAATACTGCTGCCAGATCACTCGCCACAGTTCTTTGAGCGGCTTCAAACCGTACATAATAGATAATAGACGTTACTCGGGGCAGGTAAAAAGTACCGGACAATGCAAGTTTTTCGTTCACCAATGGGCGCGCGTGCTAGGCGTGAACTACTGCAAAAAAAGCCCAGAGACAAAACTTGCATTGTCCGGTACTTTTTGCCTGCCCCGAGTACCTAGTCATGAAGGCATCTAAGATTCAAGTCCTTAGCTTAAGCGTGCCGCGGCATATGTAAATTTATCAGGAATCGAGAACTTGGCTGTATCAAACCGGCCCCACAGTACAGGGTGTTCACCCTAAATACCGAGAACATCGATTTATTGGTTCGAAATTGTATGGGCGCCACGCGTGGCAACCAAAAGTGACCAACAACCTTCAGAGTTACAATGCATTACAATGGGCTTAGCCACACAATTTGTATGTTGGAAAAAAGTCTGAAGAACTTTCACATAACTTCACTTAAAAAATCGAAATATTTAACTAAAAATACAAAAAAATAACCACAGAATAGGGCTCGCTCCCTGCTTGATCTGAGCAGTGTTTTGATATTTTAAAGAGATTTTGGGGGGAGTTCCAAAAGATCGGAGGTGAGAAAGAGTCAAATTGTGATGGTGGAGGTTACATTGCAAATGCTGGGGCATACACCCTCAAATACCTGCTTGGCCGCCAAGTTGTCACTTTTCGAAAAATTCAACCAATATCGGACCGGTCCAGAATAAAATTTCCTAAATGAGGGTTCTTCACACATACCGTGAACACCCTGTACATCTTTTTATTCCATGCACTACATATATCATAGAAGAATAGGCCTTGGCACAGCAACCACAAAATACTACTTACAATACCTACTCTAGACTGGGTACGAGGTCAGATATTCCAATCAAATAATAATTGGATATAGTCTCAGAGATAGAAACATGGTATCTTAAGCATCAAGGTTAGCTCACTATCAAGAACACGACCGGTATCTACTCTAGTTTATGTTACGATCGAGTAGAGCCTGGCTCCATCAACTCAACTTTATGTGGAATCCGGTTAGATGCGGGGCCGCCCGCCAAGAGCCCCAACATTCGATACGTCACACCACGACCTTTGTAAATACCTCCATGTACCTTAGGAACAAAACTGCCCCATTCCCTTGAATTCAGTCGCCGAACAAACCTCTCAAGCCCTTAGATATCATATCAATCACGATGCCAGTCCTCTCCACACTTACTAACCCTGGCACATGGCACATCCTCGCCTTCGGGACCCTTTTCGGCGCCGAATTCTACCAAGTCAGTCCTCCCCGTCTTCCTCGATGGCGACGTCAACTAGACTAATCTTCAACCCTTAGACCTTTATCAGTGGTGTTGTAGCCTATAGAGCTCTCCCCAAGCCTATGTTCTCCCAACTCCAGCAGAAGGCCCTTCCTGTCTTCTTCACGCTCCAATCGGTTCTCCCAGTAGCCCTGCTAGCCACGCATCCCACCGCATCTGCGGTATCTCTCCTCTCAACATCCTCGCCGTACTTTTACAACACCACGATCCCCATCATGGTTACGCTCTCATCTTCGTTGATGAACCTGTTTTTTGTCGGCCCCGCGACATCAAAGATTATGAAGGAGAGGAGGATCCAGGAGACGAAGGAAGGAAAGAAGTACTACGACGAAGGGCCGAAGAGTGAGGCTATGCAGAAGCTGAATAGCAGGTTTGGAAAGGTTCATGGAATTAGCAGTATGTTGGCATTGGTAGGGGTACTGGCAACGGGCGCGTATGGCGGTGTCTTGGGGACAAGTTTGAGGCTATAAGCTATCTGTGATGTTGAGTTGCCCAACAGGCGAATTGTATATGGGTATCTGTTAGGCATCCTCTAAATATTAGCACATGTATACCTACTGCAATAAATATACCAGTAATGTAAAGTACAGGCTCCTATTCATCACAACACCCAGCAGAGGTATCGATAAAATCAATTTTAAACTAGTTATATTTTTTTTCCTTACACTATCAACATAGTAAGACAATTACTAGCGGGTTCAATTACTAACGGATTCAACCGCAATCACCAATAATCTTACTAATAGCCAGATGAATATATTTACCTTCTATCTCTACTGACCTTATCGCCTCACAAATTATTACACTCAGAACATTGCCCATCCAATCACTCAAACTGATTAACCAACTCCCCAAGACATTATACCCCATGCTGACCAAGACGGGTCTCTATCGGCATCTCTCCCTACTAGTAATTAATCCCAATGCAATGAGATGTTGACTAGAAGTATTTCAACAAGGCTGGCTGAACGATTGACCATTATTCCAAATTTACCTACCAACCAGGCTGGCAGCCACCATATGATAGCTAGACTGTGTGTACTTTTACCGGGAATGTACCTGCAGCGAGTATTTCATCTAAGTCATATAAAAGGTTCTCTGCATGGGTACACACGTCGATCTATATAACTAATCATCAAGATCGGACAGCCGCCCCCACTTTTCCCGGTGAATAAACTTCGACTCATATCATCTGGGAACTTAGTAAAACAGGGAGAGGGAGAGAGTTTTCGCCCAAATCTGACCTGATTAGGGATGCCTCTGATGGGAGGGGGCGTGCGCATAGCGCCCATAGCTATATATATATATATATAGTCTCGTGAAAACGACTCCTAATAAACTTTGGGCCGTGCAGGGTTTCTTCATCCTATATAAACATCACTTCCTAGCTACGATACTATTCTAGCTAGAAGCTTTAGTTTTTACCACTACGCTCTTATCAGTGTCTAAAGGCGTCAGCTCGAGTCCCCCGTTTTCCATCCTACCACACCTACGCGTACGACATCCATACATATGCACCATCTTTCTAGTGATACCCGGACCATCGTAGACTTCAACCCGTTTATGATATCGAGTCAGCGGTATACCGTACCTAAGTTAGAAGAATTTTGAGTACGTAGCACCTGACCTCGTACCCAGTCTAGTATTTTGTGGTTGAGGGTCGAGCTCACGTAGCACCCTAATTCTCCTATTACGCAGGTATATGAGGGTCCATGAACTAGTCAATTAGTACAGATAGACATCCCAGCAACTACATCATAAGACGTTAACCAGTAGTCCTTCACCACTACCTAGATAACCTTCCCGCCAAACATTAGTACTGCACCACCCGGACCCCCCTGTGCAGCCAAGCCGCCAACAGCGATCCAATTCCTTGACCAGGGCACGGGCAAAGAGGCTTGTGAATCGAGTACGGGTATAGGAGTATACACACCTACCAGCCCACACGGCTATACCTACATATACCTTCAGTACACGTGCGGTGACTACTCCAGAGCCGGAAACAGCAGCACCGAGGCCGCTCTCCCCCGCGGCGTTGGATCCCCTATTCTCGGTCACTCAACGGGGAAATCCTGCGGTGGTGCAGTACACTAATATAATTACATGCAGGCCTAGGTGTAGTTATCGAGAAACTCCGGGTAACTGCTTTATCGCGACTCTATTTTGACCACATGCTGTCAGACCCGCCCAACCCTGCTGAATTGCTTGACTCCCCGCCGGAGAAGCACTAAGCCCCGGTACCCGAAAACAGTCACGGGTTTCTTTCTATCCCGTTGTTTATGAGCGAGGTGGCCATTCCATCGAAAAGGAAACCCCGGGTAAAACCGAGTGATAATATATGAGTAGACGGGCACATTCAAATTTTAAAGATTCATAGTATTGTCACATATAGCTAAAACATGTAGTGCCCGCCTACTCCAGGCTTGCCCATTCAAGGTTCTACTAGTGCAACAATCGCGGAGTGCATAAACGCCGTTACAAACCGCACTTGCACAGAAAAAAAGCGCCCACACCCGTGTCCACGCCCACACATCGAGCAAAACACGCACAAGACGTTTTTAAACACAATAATTAATTTGCTCAACAAACATGTAGTTAAAGGAAGGAATCAAACACAGGTAGTAAGCACACAGAGTTACTCTGAAGGGAATAAAATATGAAAGGTAAGGTGTGAAAAGGGCACAAGAAGGATAAAAAAAAAATGGAAATTCCGCATAAACACCATGAACCGCATTTTCAAGTTATTCAATCAACTCAACCCATTATGCAATCAATCAATCATCCATCGGGCGATCCGTCAAGCTTACACCAGGTGACCTTCCCTGATCGTCAGCCCCACTACCGTCAGAGTCATTTCCGTTTTGTGGCGCAGTCATTGAATCCCTCTTCGCGGCCGCCGCTCTCACTAAGCCGCCTCCCGCCTTTCTCGGAAACCTTGAGCCGGAGGCACCAGTTCCTGAGGCATGGCCAGATCGGGATAGTGAATTACTCTTTTCGAGACCGCCGCTACTATGAGAGTTTGTAGCACTTTGTGGGGAGTCGTTCCCCGACGAATCGTGGTGCATGCCATCAGGTTCTTGTGTCATTCTCATGGGGGGGTCAGTCTCATATTCCTTAGCTGTTTCGAGGGATGAAGCGCCTCCAGGCACTTCAAGGGACGAAGGCCTGTAGCGTCCGGAATTACGCGGCGAGCTGGAGGTGGGCGAAGTTTGAATGGGAAAACGGTTCCCTCCATCCGTGGAGACATCCCGCCGATGCCGACCCGTCGGCGCGGGTGAGGAGGGGCGGCTGCGGGCTGCGCCGATCACGGCGCGGTTGCGTGCTTCAACATGGGCACGGCGTTGTGACTCATCAGTAGAGATGGCACGAGCCCGTCCACTGGCAAGGGTTGATGCACGCTTCAGTTCACCAAAGACTTGCTCTTTGTGCGCGAACAGATCGCGGACGAGGCGGTATGAGTGCCGTTCGTGTTGTGTTAGTGGTGACTCGACGCGTGGGCGGAGGATGCAGTAGGAGAGGCTGTGGGCAAGGGCAGTAATGAAGGCTTCATCAGCGGAGGTGAGTTCAATCAGACGGGTAAAGTGTGTTGTTATTGCATCAAGAGTTGCAATGTTTGTCAGTGGGAGACTTCCAAGAGTGTTCTGAACAACTGCTAATCGGGCTTTCTCATCTCCTTCGGAACCGTGGGTTGTATACACTGTCTTAATAATCTCATACTTCTGAGAAGAGACAAGAGAATCCGGAAGCTCAAGGAGGTACAGCTTCAAAACACTGGCAACGATCGGAATTTCGTAGTTGGCAAGAATGTCTTTAGGAATCGCTTTCCCATTGTTCACCGCATTTCTTAAGTGATGTGTAGCCGCAAGAGGGACATCCACAAGCCAGATACCTCGTCTAGCCTCATCGCCCTCGAGATCAGGATAATCTATTATACCAAGTAAGCGAGTGATATTTGGTGCTTCTAAAATCAAATGACTTACGATGATCCAGGTATGTAAGAATGCCAGTTATAATGATTGGCACACGCTTACGATCAGCCCTAGCCCGGGCTTCAAGATCGATACCAAAAGTCTGCTCATCGACAGAATTATAGTAACTCTCATAGGTCACGACCTTCGGGATAAATGACCCGGTCCTATAAGACTCGAGCATGTATCGGAGGTCCCCTTGTGGCTGGATAGTCTCCTGGTAAAGAAGCATGTTATCGACAGTAGACTGAATACTAGGTATCACATTTGAGATCGCTCCGGAGAAATCAAGGATAACTGCGACAAGTTAGGTCCTGCGCGTGCAGTGAAAAAAATCTCCGGAATAAACATACCAGCCTTAATAGCCTTCAAACGATCCAACTCGCATCTTTCCATAAATTTCAGATGCTCCATCATACTCTCCTCCAAGGTGCATCTCATCAAGTCCAGCTTTTTAACACCTAGCTTGTATCTCTCATCCGCTTCATTGGCCTCTCTTCTCAGCTTATCTGAAGACGACTCGTTCGGATGCTGATTAGTCATAAGACCGCCCAAAAAGTCGCCAATCGCCGTGGTCGTGATGGGACTACTAGGGACTACATCTCCATTGATCGTCTCAGCTCTCGTTAAGGCCTTAGTCGGTTGGATTCCTGCGGTTTGAAAGGCCTGGGGACGCCACTGATAGTGCAATTTTGCGCTATTACTAAATGTATTCCCAACATTTCCCACCAGTCTCAGAAACCCATGGCCAACGAAGTCCTGCCCAATTCTCTCGGCATGGGAGACCGACGTTGCGTTAAGGTTCTCCTGAATGAACTTTACAATGTTCTCACCAGTGGATACATTCTCATAAGTCCCTAAGATGGCTACCTTCACATTAGTAAGTGGGATCGTCTCCAGCATGTGCCTCAAGATCTTTTTGACTTCCGCCGGCTGGTAGAAAAGGTCGCCAATTTCAATCGGCTCCTCATCGTCCTCCAAGTCCTCGTCCGTCAACTTAATTTGCGGGGTTCCAGCGGTTGCCGATGCTGGAGTTTCCGGCGCTGCCTGGATAAACTTTGTTTCCTCCTCGAGATCTTCAACAAGACGACATTTATTAAAGTAGTGCGAGCGGAGCTTCTTAACCGCCTCCGCTTGCCTATCGTGAGCTTTGATCCGGGTCTGCAGATCGTCGTGCGAAGAAATGATACGCTCCTCATGCGCTTCACACCAGCGAGAAAATGGATCAATGACAAGCTGCCGGATATTATCTGCGACTTTGCGGTGGTTTTTCCCTGCCTACATAATTGTTTAATTCCGGAAATCTTAACTTGGCGAAAAGGATGGGAAAAAAACTTACATCGTCCATTTCCTTCCTCAGCCCATCATAAGCCTGCCCTGATTGTCAGAAGTCGGAATCTTAAATAGCAGAATGTAAACCATTATCAATCCTCACCTTCCGCACACTAGCACCATCATCTCTCGCAAACCCGCCCGGTCTTTCAGACCCCGCTGAAATGGTCCCAAGCTTCTGTCCGTAAAGGTCTTCCGTATCGGCCCGTAATTTCGCGATTTGAAGCATTTGCTGGTTCTCTATTACGCCCTGCTGAAGCTTCCCGAAAAGAACTCCGAGACCTATTTAATACATGAACCCGATACATCAGCACTACAGTCCTTTGGGCAGGCAGCCAGCCCAGTTCCGAAGTGGGGAAAACAGGGAGCAGCAGCGGGATTTTTGTCTTTGTCCCACAGGCTGAAAAAAACTAACCTCCGGCATAATCGCCCGACCAGAAGGAATCTGCGAAACCAGGCATCTTGTTGATGAAACTACAAAAAAGTACTAAATGGAAAAATAGGGGGATTGGAGAAGGAGACCGCGCGGTTCTCTAATGTTGTGAGTCCTGGAGTTCGTTCAAAAGTGAGCTCGTTTGTCGTAAAGTGCGTAGTGTCGAGTTGTCTCAGCCGGTAACGTGTTCCTGGGGTGGGATGTGGAGATAGGTAGAAAGCAGTGTAGTGAAAGTGGGCGCAGCAGGTGGAGTTGATGGGGCAGATTGGTAGGTTTATAGCACTTTCAACCTCTTAGCCCCCTAAAGCGAAAAAATTATCAGATACTGTAACACAGTAAGCGCTGCAAGGCAATGTGGTTGATATAGGTGATGCAAGTGATGCAAGTGCTAGTGGATGGGAGGGAGATAGAAGATAGGAGAGAAAGACAGACAAGTCGCTGATAGACAGATAGACGAATAGAGCGGTATCGGGGGTAGAGATGGTGTCTAAGGAGAGACGTTGCAGAACAAAGAGGTAAACAGGTAGGGAAGTCTGGGAAGGGTAAGAAGAAATAGAAACAGGCAAATGTTAATTACATGTACCTAGACTAGCAGAGCTGACTTGGATTATTATTGTTGTATCGTACCTTGGGGCAGCTGAATTTTCCTGTCATTAGAATCGCACTACCTTGACACGAGCAAACCCCTTGGATACCCTTGCCCTGGGAAAGAACCCTGGATCCAAATTCAAGACAAGAAAATCCCAGAATTGGAAATACCTATGTCAGCCCCAGTAGACCATATTCAGCAAAAACAGTCTCACCTGCATTCTCTGTTCTGCTAAATAATCGATTCGAAACGAAAAAACACTGTCACTTGATATATGTATTCTTATTGTTACAATACTTCGATCACACCCCTCTCAGTGCCTCTGATCATTGATCTCTCTCATTCCTAACTTCCCCCCCATTTTGCTGCCCCTGTCTCACGCGATGGGCCTTACGTAGGGTTGATAGGTCAAGATGCATGGATCTGTCAGATGGGCCTGTCAGCCATTCGATGTCTCTCCAATTCAGCGAGATGCGAGCCTACATACTCGAGTACCATCCAGCCGGTGAGCCGCTGCCCTCCGTGCGCGCGCGCCGGGACGTACTATTTTTATAAGAAGAGCATGCAAATAAATACTCTACATGTATTCTAGAGTGCTTAAAGTACATGTATGCACTATTCCCCCCATCCACTACCGGCGGCTGGGAAACAGAATAGCAGCTCGGAAACGAAGAAATAGAAAAAAATGTTTGGGTAGCCCGGTCAGATAGGCGACGTTTTTGGGTGCCCAAGCTTTCGGCTCTAATTTGGGTGAAGTCTTGGCTGCCGTTGAATTACGAAGGTGTTCCGTGATGACTCAAGGCGATGGCTTGGCGAAATTCTTACTACATGAAGTCTTGAGGTTGAGGCTCTCCCTAGGTCAGAACTGATATTTGGATTGGACTAAACCACCCAGGATCCATCTATGTATGAGTCTCTGATCATCCTCTAAAGACAAAATTTTGCAGTTTTCTCTATTTATCTTTGGACCTATTGTTCAACATCTTCAATATCAGTGGTTCCACGACATCGGCACAAAGCAAATTATGGCAGAAGTAAAGGAAAGGCTTCTGCAAGTACGCATATTTGAACGAAAAGAAAATTTCTCTTGGGGTGTTTCTCTCCTTATAACTGGAGTGAAATAACGACAGTAGGTACATGTACTATGGGACGAATATGAATCATGAATACATATACATACAGCCGATCTATCCCAGTAGCCTAGAACATTCTTTCTACTCGCAACAACTGCAGACCAAAATACATACATCAACATATATGCGTGTGTCCAGATAAAGAGACCAGCAGCAGGACAAAAAGTGGTTCACAGAACGATTGAATAGGCAACAGCAGCTACCCCGGTGCAGCACCCACAAAAAAGTTTGTACGCAGATCCTTACCCAGTTGCTGTAGCTGAGGGCGGCTGTGTAACGGAGCACCTGGCAGTTCACTTCATAATTCTCCCGTTGACTCGAAAGTTTCGAGGGGTTGATGGAATCCTTTTTGAATGACTTGGTTCCTGCTTGCGATTGAGTTGAGTTATAGAATACACAGCTACAGCCTACCTACAGCTTACAGTCAGTCTACAGGAATCTAGAGAGCCAACTCGAACAGTCATACTACCTAACCTGCATTATCTTTTACTGAGTCCACCAACCCCCAACGCCCTTTTCGACATCACCTGTTCCAAGCACCTGCGATCACTCGAGGTTGTCAGTTTTACCCACAGCTATTGCCTACTCTGCATCCAGCAACCCTCCCTTCTTCCACACTACTCGCCCAACTCCCTTTACGCGTCTCGGGTATTGCACCCACCCACCGCGTGCCCCCCTTCTTTACGCGAAAATAATTTCTCGCGCTTCACCACAAGTCACCGGAGTCTGTTCCTCACTCTGTGTTCATCTGCCACTACACTCAGCAGACACCTCTTGACTTTGCGCACTTCGACTTCTACTATTGAATATCTACATCTCTCATCTCATATCAATCATGAGTCCTCGCAATAATAGAAGCAGCATGAAGCGCAATATGGTACATCCCCCCCCGCCCATCCTCCCTACATGCCATGCCTAGAAGTAGCAGTAGCAGCAGTAGTGCAAGCCCACTAACACTCCTCTCCCACAGTCTCCCGAGTCCCCAGACGTCAACGCCAAAAAACCCCGTCGCTCGCAACGCAACAAAGGCGGTCCGACCGAGGATAAGAGCGAAGAAAAGGTCACTACTACTCCTGGAGCCTCTAAAGAAGAACTCAAAGAAGAAGCCCTCGCAAATCCCCAGGAGCACGCAACTCATACCCCGGCACCGTCACCCCCAACGCGTACACCGGCATCGTCACCCCCACCACACACACAGGATGCCACGCAGGCTGCTTCGCAATTCTACTATCCCCCACTCGCTGATGAGGGGCTGGATAAGAAGGAGGTCGATGAGTCTGTGTGGGGCTATTTGTGGCCCCTCTCGGATAAGAGCGACTCAGCCATAAAGTTAAATAAGCAAGCACCCATTCCCGATAAGAAGAAGAAAAAGAAGGGTCCAGCAACGAAGGGAAAGAAGCTACCACCAAATGGATTCCTGGTGGGAAGGCATGCCGAGTGTGATTTGTTGATTGATGATGCCGTAATCTCAAATAGGCATTGTGTCATCTTCAAAGTATTTCTACTCTATTAGCATACCCGGAAACTAAGATGCTAACGTATATGGCGGAGTCCAGGAAATCAGTGGAAACCAACCCGTGGCGGTTCTGGAAGATCTTTCTTCCAATGGAACATGGGTTGGTGGTGTTATCGTTGGACGTAACAATCGTCGGGTTTTAAACACCGGGGACGAGGTTGAGTTCGCCGGTGGGAAGCAGTACATCTTCAGGTACCCGATCAACATGCGTTCCAGCGCATTCCACGATACCTATGACCTCAGAGAGCAATTGGGAAGCGGTCATTTTGCCACAGTGCACAAAGCAGTCGACAGGAAGAGTGGGCAGGAGTTTGCTGTTAAGATCTTCAGTAAGAGGCGGAATGATGATTCATGGAGGACCTCGGGGGTCAAACAGGAGATAGCTGTGTTAATGAGCGTGAGCCATCCAAATGTTTTGTGTTTACAGGGCAATTACGATGCAGATGATGGTGTCTATCTGGTGCTTGAGTTGGCATCTGAAGGAGAGCTATTTAATCACATCATCAAGAATGGGAAGTTAAGTGAAGAGGATACAAAGAAGATCTTCATTCAACTTTTAAATGGCCTCAAGTATCTGGTAAGTATTTTGTGACACTGCGAATACCATGCCTTGCGACCCATGCTAACATAATCACTACTGTAGCACGACCGCGGTATTGCCCATAGGGATATCAAGCCCGAGAATATCCTTCTTATGGATAAGGACCTTACCGTAAAACTTGCCGACTTCGGTCTCGCCAAGATCATTGGTGAAGACTCTTTCACAACCTCCCTTTGCGGAACCCCAAGCTGTATGTTATGTTCTATTCCCCCGCTATCATTTTCCACATCACTAATCTCTTGGTTACAGACGTCGCCCCAGAAATCCTTCAGAGCAGCAAAAACCGCCGATACGCCCATGCTGTCGACATTTGGTCTCTGGGGGTCGTTCTATATATCTGTCTCTGTGGCTTCCCCCCCTTCTCTGATGAGTTACACACTCCACAAAACCCATACACCCTCTCAGATCAGATCAAGGAAGGGCGATTTGACTTTCCTTCGCCGTACTGGGATTCTATCCCAGATCCTGCTTTGGAGTTAATTGAACAAATGCTCACTGTGGACCCCGCAAAACGGATTACTGTCGATAAAGCACTAAAACATCCATGGATCACGGGTTCTAGTTTTGACCCTAACGATTCCTGCGCTAGCCTGACCGAAACCATGGAAACTCTTCAGTTTACAAGGAGAAGGGTTAACAGAGAGCGGACATTACTTGCTGATGCTCCTGGACTCAAAAGAGTTGCTGATGGTGGAAAGTTGAAGGGAAAAGCGCCGGCGGTAGCTGCGATTTCCGAGGAGGGTCCTGCGGAGAACCCAGCCGAGTTGGCAGTTGGTGAAAAGGCATTTATGAAGGTTGGTGGGAAGGGTGGTGATGAGACCCTCTATGGGAGCGACTACGAGGGGAACGGTAATGAAGAGCCTAGTAGGGAAATGTCGCCGGAGGTTGTCGCGGAGGTGGAGGCCGCGGCGGGTGCTTAACCTTTATGAGCGGATGCTGTATTGGTGCTACCTATGTATTTCTTCTTTTGGTGCAATGTTTGGAGGTTATCTTGTTCTTATCTTTCCATGTGGGCTTCATCGGTTTTTATATCATATAGGCTGTTGAATATTTTTCTTTGTTTCTGGGGGCCTATACTCTTTTTCCCTTCTCGTCCCGACAACCGCAACCAACTTTTGTCTTTCACTGTTACATTATGCCTATATGTGTGAGTGATATGGATACCACTGTTTTAAGGATTGCAGTTTTGTTGCGAGTGAAGGTATGATGGATATCAGGCTCCATCTATCGAATATTTTTGCGTGCTATATGAAGGAAAGGGAACGGGGAAGAGTTCGGTATTTTTAACTGTATATTTATACGCAAGAGGCGCTACGGTGGTGCTGTTGGAGGAAAGTCCAAGAGGACGGGAGATAAATAAATAGTTAAATAAACAAATAAACAAATCAAATTTGTGCTATCACCATCATAAACAAAAATTCAACGCTCATAAATATATACATACATTTATCTTTAGTATGCGGAAAATATCTGGAATAAATTGAGGCAAATTATGACCGTCGCCCATGTACCAAAATACCGATATTGTGCTTCTCGATTGGCAGTATACGTAAACGGATTAATATTCTTCAATATGAAAATGAATTCTTCAAAAGGGCAGGATGACTTATATATGCGATTACGATATATCTTGAGACAGTCATAAAGGATTACTTTCTAGCGCTTCACATCCCCCGTGCTCGATACTATCAATGCGGAGTTTGGTTTCGAATGCTTCGTCTATCATGTATTTGTATGTATTTGTATGTATTTCAATACTACATGTAATACATACATGTATTGATTGCTACGCCGCTGCTTCATACATTATAATAATGTAAATACACGTAACCATTACCATTATCATTATCATTGTCAATACTCAAGTACCACAGTAATTCGTCTCAGCAAACACTCACATTAACGTTAAAATTACTTGTTCTGGTCATTTGTCTTGAAAACGCCCCCCCTAATCTTTCTTCATACACGTTGTAAAGGCAACTTCGACGTCTGTGTAACCGTCCGCCGAGAAGAATTACTGCGCCGGTACAGTCGTTCACAGGGTAAGGACGAACACTGGGTGAAGACGAACCAGGGTTCTCAATATGGCAAGAAACAGCCAAGCTGCCCAAGTGATCTTTCTATTTGTCCAAAAATCCTTGTTCGTCTACACCCAGTGTTCGTCCTCACCCTGTGGACGACTGTAGTGTAGCCAAGTAAGCAAGGCAATATATTATGCCGGTTTGTTCTAGGGTAGAAACGGTGAGTGAGCGGCGGTGAAGTAGGTCGAGTGAGGTGTTCTGTATGATTGTATCTACACTCTTATTTCCGTATCTAAAAGATATACGTGCCCCTGAGATACCTACATTTATTTTATGCCGGGTAATATTTGAATTTATGTATGGGGCCATAAGCCCGCTGTGTGTGTTGCGTGTTCGTAAAGACCCGTACAGTACCTCAGAGTTCATGATAATGATACGAGAGAAAACACAGACTTCAATTATTACTAGTACGAATTACCCCTTCCCCCATAGGCTGTGATCGAACGACAGCGGACGATTCGTGGGGCGGTAGTAGCAGGGTGAGGCTCGTTCGGAGTCGTTCCTGCTTCTTTGCGGACATCCCCATGCAGCTAGGGTAGTGCACACCCGCGTTCCGGGAGCGAATACGAAACTAGCAACATGCCATTGTTCGGCGAAAGGGGCAGCCGAGCAGGATCCAAAGACAACAGAGAAGGGTTGGAAGGAAAAGCTAATCTCATAAATCAATCTGCAGTTTAGGATCCCTGCCGGCTGGCCTTGGGAGGGGGAAAAAAACCTCTCCCCTATTTTGTGGTCGGTAGTTAGGCGCGTCTCCTATCTGTACTTATTATCGTGTCCTTCCCTCCCTTCCCTCTTCCCATTTCCTTCATCAATTCCATCAATCTTCTTGGACACCTGAAGGTTTGACAACATAATGGGTTTGTTAGCTACACTTTTGGAGCCCCTAGGGCCCTACTACGCCGAGCTTCAGAAGCTGGGAACCCCCGTTATCGTGGTCGTGGGTGTCTTGACGTTTATTGTCCTGAGTGTCGTTATCAATGTTTTGAACCAGCTCTTATTCAAAGACCCGACGAAGCCTCCCGTGGTATTCCATTACTTTCCGTTCTTTGGAAGCACTGTCCGGTATGGAATGGACCCGTATGCGTTCTTCAACTCTTGCCAGGAACAAGTATGTCATCCCAGCTTCCCCATATATATCCGAATTGAAGATTAACATATAATAGTATGGCGATGTTTTTACCTATGTTATGCTCGGGAGGAAGATGACTGCTTGTTTGGGGCCCAAGGGAAACGACTTTGTGTTTAATGGAAAACTTTCGGAAGTTAGCGCTGAAGAGGCCTACACCCATCTCACCACCCCCGTCTTTGGTGATGGCGTCGTCTACGATGTTCCTAACAACATTCTCATGGAGCAGAAGAGGGTGCGTAGTTATTGTCAATTGAGCTGTAGGATTGTATTGACAGTTTGTTCTAGTTTATGAAATTCGGTCTTACTGCGGAAACCTTCAAATCATACGTCCCCTTGATTGTGGAGCAAGTCGAAGACTACACCAAGAAATCCAAATTCTTCAAAGGTCCTAAGGGAACTGTTTCTCTCTCTGCGATTATCCCGGAACTTACTATCTTCACCGCTGCTCGTTCCCTCCAGGGTAAAGAGGTTCGCGATGCTCTGGATGGCTCCTTCGCCAAGCTGTTCCATGATCTCGATATGGGCTTCACACCAATGAACTTCCTCTTTCCTTGGTTCCCGTTCCCATCCAACAAACGTCGTGACAATGCCCAGCGCACTATGGCCAAATTTTACATGAGCATCATCGAGAAGCGTCGCAAGGAAGAGGCTAGTGGTGTCGACCACTCCGATATGATCTGGAACTTGATGGGGCGCAGTTACAAGGACGGAACACCTGTTACTGACCGCAATGTCGCACACATGATGATCGCCCTTCTTATGGCTGGACAGCACACTTCTATGGCTACCATCACTTGGATGCTTCTCCACGTCGCCGATCAGCCTAAGCTCGTCAAGGATCTTTATGATGAACAAGTCCGCGTTTTTGGAAATGGAAAGGGCGGCATTGAGCCTCTCTCATATGAGAAGCTATCTGAGTGCACTATTCTTAACCATACTATCCGCGAGACTCTTCGCACCCACCCCCCACTTCACTCCATCATGCGCAAAGTTAAGGCCCCCATGCACGTTGACGGTACCAACTACGTTATTCCCAAGGGCCACTACATTCTTGGCGCTCCTGGTGTCTCTGCCATGGATGAGAAGTACTTCAAGAACCCCCATGTGTTCGACGTTTCTCGATGGGAAGGCCAGAAGACCGAGGAAGAAGGTGAAAAGATGGACTTCGGTTTCGGAATGGTTTCAAAGGGAACTGCATCTCCATACCTCCCATTCGGTGCCGGAAGACACAGGTGTATCGGCGAGCAATTTGCCAACGTCCAACTTTCCTCCATCATGGCTACCTTTATCAGGAATTTTGAATTGGGCTACCCCGAAGGATGTGGTGTGCCCAAGCCGGACTACTCCTCCATGATTGCACTACCTACACCGCCGTGTACCATTTCATGGGTCAAGAGGGATCCTTAATTGGATCATTATGGTTTTGTCTTTTATTATGGCGCTATAGCATGTACAGAAAGCAGGGATCGTGAAATGTATGGTAAGGGTTATGACGTTGATGCTTTCGAATTTTAGTATTGGTATATTCTTTTAGATTCTCGGATTGTATCAGACATTACCGAAAAATACTCTAGGGTCGGGGGATGGGGAAATATAATAGTTAATATCCAAATACAAAATCATAATTTTGTAATTGGTTTGTGCGAGTGATCTTTTGTGATTGTCTAATTTTCAATATTCCGTAACCACTAGGCTTACTTGGGCTGATACATATGTACATGTACTCCATGGAGCTAAGTTTTTGCGGAGTAATAGGTGCTTAAGACGTACTATACTAAAGCAGAGGATGTGCAAGATAGGTATCTCTGTTTCTCACAGTTGCTTGCCCTAGGCCTTTGGATGGGTGTTGTATGTGTATGCCGGCGTGATCCCCGCACTCCCAAATTATCTATCTTTTCGAGGGATTAAGATTCTCTTCACTGATATGTATCCTCTTGGTGATAACCCTCTTTCAATAGTCGCGAGAAATAAATGCCCGTTGAAATTACATACAGTATGTATCTACATGTAGGTATTCCAAAGGTTGCTTTCGCCATCATGCCCGTTACCTATTTTGGAATCGATCATCCACCGAGTGACAGCCTATGAGCATCAAGCTAGACCCAATTCGAAGAGCTAAATATCTAGACGGCTGAGATAGAATTCTAGCATTCAATCGTCATAATCCGATGTGGTGTAACGGTTAGCATCGCTCGCTTTCAAATATGGGCCGAGCAGATCGGGGTTCGATTCCCCGCATCGGAGTGCATGGTATCTTGAAATATTTTTAAACGGATGCTCGGTGGTGGTTTAAGTCTATTATAGGGTTTGGTTCAATGCTTGAACAAATTTTCGGTGTCACCAGTTCTCGAATCGGTGGTTGAACGTGTACCTACATGGCAGGGATATTATCTTAAATCTGCGGACGAAGGTTGGTGATAGCTCCGGAATAAATCGATCTCGAATGTGACTAGGACTAAGAATGACCATTGTCGGTGGTTAGGCGGGTATACCTGCCTAATAGTTCACAAATACCAGCGAGGTACTAAGTCCGGTGTGTTTGGAAATTGGGAGGTATCGGTTCCCTTGCGGCCGAGCTCGCTCAAGGCTCTTGCAGCAACGACACGACTTCAAGAAGTCGGGAACCCTTGTTAGCGTGCCCAAACTAGATATACAGAGCTGGTTCCATTGGACTTGCCCCCTCCCCTCTTTCCTTTCCCTTTTTCTGGGAGGTGTTCAAGGATAGTATTTTTTTTTGATTAGGGGAGAATTACATGTATGTATGTGTACCTGTATCAGATAGGTTTTTGAAGAATTTAATTCTACGAAAATCAGGGGTCGTAGAGAAAAGATCGAAGTTTTCAGAAGAGGCCCTCATACTAACATATACGTATCCTTGGTGTTTAGGGTCAATGACTGTAATTCGGATGGCTATATATAGCTATAGGATTTGGTTTGAGCGGCGTATGGTCCATGCAACCTAGTTGCATATTTACACCTGCTTTGAAATCACGCCACATCATTGGCATAAGTTAGCTCATAGTTTTGGTTTTGCACATGGTGAGCGTGAGCTTAGATTTGGAAAATTCGATCAGTGCCAGGAATGTCCGATTGGCTATAATCCGTGGGACCACTGACAGTCAGATCGAGTAAGAGAGATCTTGCATCTTTGAGGAATTCGAGAATTTGCTGTCCTTTTCCCTATTGGATTTTTTTTATCTTATCATTGTCATCACTTGACTAAATCAGGTCCATATGCGGTAACCCCTCACCCTCCGCGTATCATACACATCTTCTAAACCCTTATTCGACTTCTGTTTCCTCCTCAGTATCACTTCCATTATTCAAATCCTTACAGATAATAATCCCATCGTCGGTTTCCACAGACCGTGGAATCATTAGCGCGGATTTTGGTGGTACCAATACTGGGCCTGAAGGCCTCATCAGCCTTTCTGCAAGTTGCTCGGGCGTCAAAGTTGGGTTGATAGTAGCTTCACAACGGTTCAACATTTCCTGTGATAACTGTTAGTGGTGATCATTCATGCATAATGGAGTAGAAGGGAGCGGACTCGAGTTTTCCAGAGAAACCCCAATAACTCCAGGAGAGACGAGATGTTCTCGACGCTGGTGGGAATTTTGCGTACGTCGTCAGTGGAAAGGAGACATATATAGCCTTTTCCATAGACCATGCGAAGGAACTGGCATCGCCATCCTATTACGAGTTGAGTTAGGCTCGCCTACATGTGAGGGGAGGGAAGACTTACCAGCTGTAACCATTCCTACAACATGAAGTCCGCCCAGTCCGTCAGGCGAGTCTGAGTGAACATGCATTTGTAGATGGTATAACATGTCGTGGAGGACTTTGACAACTTTTAGCGTGTCTGCGACCCATTTCTTTTCCTTTTCGCCTGCAAAGTATCGGGCATGTTCTGCAACGCCAACCTCATGACCGTTTAGTTGAAGGATTCCGTCATAAAGGTGGCCAATACGTTTGCGTTTTTTGTGTTCTGGGTGCATGTTCTTTCGATCGGTTGTGCATAAGGATTTGGACTCCCCACTAAGAGAGAGTTAATTAACTGTATTTGGGAAGAAGAAGCTAGAATCGTACCGGCTCATGTAGCTACCTGGGATCGTAGACATGCATTGGTCAAAGACGGCCCCCCAGAAGTTACTTATGTACCAGAACTCTCGGTGATTCTGTTCGAATACATTGGGAGTTTGACAAAGATCTGACCTTTTGTGGCTGTTAGCTAGAATCCACCATAGTTCCATATACGGGAAGAATATACCAGCGGCGGAGAACGGCATTGACCCAGCGGCGTCCAAGGCGCTCCTCCGGGGTGAGATTTGGTAATTCCTCTGGTTTGAAAGCTGGAGTAATGTCCAAATAGTCACGCAGTTGATCGGCGGTTCTTAACTGTTATAGTTAGCATGTATATATAGCGGGAAAACCGAGAGCACTCACTGTGGCGAACTGCAGCATAGAGCGTACGAAACTCGGATTTGGATCTGGCATTGGTGGTATCGCAGCGCAGATGGCTTCCCAGTCTTCTTCTCTAGGGAAGCATTCCCGTACTGAAGTGTCACGTATATCAATTACCCAAGAGTGCACTGCGCACTCCTTGGGAGCGTCTTTGAAGCAGTTATAGAGCCGATCCTCGACATAGATACCGGAGGGGAGAAGCCATTTTCGGGATTTATCCATGCACCTGAATGATTCGGCGAAATGCTTGATAAATCTGGTGGAAGAGTTAGCTGACGTAGGATAGTGTTGTGTTTTATGTGTGTATGTACCCTGGAGCTGCGGCGGGTCTTTTGCCCTCCCGTTTCCGTTTCCGCTTCCGTGTGCTGGATGCTGGCCCTGGTTCGGGGGAGGATGAAGGCGGCAGTGATGCATTCACAGAGACGGTAGCATTAGTGAACGTATTACTACCCTTAATCACGATTTGAGGCTGCCCGCTTCTTTCAATCTTCGCGAGATCGTAGGCTACACGGGCTGCACGGTGGTCTTCGCCCTACACAGTTGATTAGTGTAAGTGTTCATTTAGGCTCCGACCTGCTCCGCTTTTCATTTCTCTCCCTACTCCCACTCCTCTCTCACCAGGTCAGCCAACGTTGCTTGCCTTGATGAGCAAGCAACAGGCCTTGAGCAGCAAACCGACCCGGAGGTCATCTGTGCCCCGGTGAGACTAGTGCCGGATCGGGACGTACCCTTAACATCAAGTTGACTCTGACGAGCCATCTAATGCACCGACAACTAGTGGTAGGGAAGCAGGGAAATCAAAGCAAAGGCAAGCAGGTGAGCCTGAGTTGCTGGTAGGAAGCAGAAAGATTGGTTAGGGCGTATACGTCCTAGGGTATGTGCTAATAGTCGCAGTATGTGTCGGGGGAGAAACTCACAGCGACTTTATATCTATTGAGAAGCTTGGTGGCAGCCTTCCGTTTTCGATCTGAGATTGTGGTATCATCTATAACGCGTGCCAACTCTCGGAGCCATGAATCACAGAGAATTGAGAACCCTTTTTTGGTGCCCAAGAGCTCGCGGTTGGCATTTAAATAATTCATGATAGACCATTTACCCACTGGATAGGCTTTAAGGAAGTGACGAGCAGGGTCCTCGGGGTCGGGCGAGTAGCTGGTCTCGGCATCTGACATCTCGAAACAAATGGCGGCGGTAGACTAGGAGTGATACTTGTTTCCCACTGTGTTCGCGTTGTTGATATCGTTGACAGTATGTACTATTCCGGATCGCCTTTACCCTCTTATTCTGTCTTCCTATCAGCGATGAAAAGGTAAGGCACATGTATTCAAGAAAATACGGGTTATCATATGGGCATATTATACAAGAAACGAGGAGGATGTTTTGCCAGATGCGGTGCAGTGGAAAGGTTTACTGACTCATCAGCTCTGTTTATTGATCCTGGCACTATTGTGGCTGGGAAATTGCAGCCCGACACGCGCAGCCCGACACTCAACAGCCCGTCTGAATATGTCCGAAAATTGTTTGTAGAGATCACCGCAACCTGGGAAATATATCGCCTGCTGCCAAAGCCGGAAGGGTAGAATCGCTCGAACTGCCTCGGTAACGCCGACAGCCTTTCTGCTGGTATCGCTAAGGGTCTCGCCTGGCTATGGGTTATGATGGAAACAGAAGGAGAGGGCTCATGACGCGTATCCAAGGAAGGCCGAAGACTACTGAGATCATTTAGGGACGTGGTATAGAAGGCTTCCTTGGCGGTTGGCGGGCGCAGGTACTGTATGTAGAGTATCCAGGGCCGTGGTTCAACAAGCGGCGATGGGTTGAGGTTGGTGTTGGCGATGAAGTAACAGAGCCCACGTGTTGCCAAGGATTATTTTAAACACAATTATTAAGAAAATAAAGCCAGTCACAACAATCCGATGTGGTGTAACGGTTAGCATCGCTCGCTTTCAAGTCCTTCTAACAAGAAGAGCTGATCCGAGCAGATCGGGGTTCGATTCCCCGCATCGGAGTAAAGTTTAATTTTTAGTTTAAATTCTTTTAGGTATGGGATAATGCAAGTACTTTTTTTTTTGTACTCTAGCACTTGACGCGCACCTATTGATGAGATAAAACTTCCGGTAAGCTGAATACGTACAAATTGTTTTCTTAAGAATTCATTACTCTTTATTCTTTGACATAGTTACAGTACATGAGTTAGGTATAAATAAAAAGAAACCCCCCTTTTGACCACGCCCTTACTGACCATTTCACAAAAACACCATCATACAAGTACCCAAAACACACCATACAAGGAAATCCATCACAATCATCGAAACCCTCTAGCATATAGTGCTCGCTCGCTGAAAACCATTATGGGAAAGGGAAAAAAAGGGAAAAAATACAGGCCGAATACTACCCAACTCCATATGTGAACCCTCCCATAACGGCCATAGGCCCTCCAAACAAACACATACAAAAAGAAAAAAGTCCCCTGGTATACCGTACGAAGCCATGTCACACTTAAGCATCAAAAAGCCTTGTCAGGATAGGTCCCACATCTGCCACTGCTGTCAACAAATCCATCTCTCTCACGCATGCTCCGATCCTGCATTCCTCTGCAATTCCGGCCTTCTTCTTCTTGCTTGGTGTGCCTCCCACGGCACCACCGCCGACTGCACTGACAACCCCAGCTACATCCAGCAAGTTTACTACATCCCTAAACTCCGTATTGGTCAATGGATGCAGCAATCGCTCCCGCTTGCATACGGCCGCATACGCCTCGAACAATTGTCGTACTGTGACACTTCCACGGGTCTTCTCGGCGGTCACAAGGACACATAGAACGGCTTTCTGCTGAAGATTGAGAGTCTTAACACGAGAGATTGTTGAACCTCCAAAAGAGGCGGCTGAGACTTTGGCGATATGCGAAAGCATGACACGAGGAGCAGTCTGGATGGTAAGGGATGTGAGGGCGGCAGGGGGGCAGTGGAAGAGAGCTTGCGCGGGGTGTTGAGGCTTAGAGCTTCGACGAGGGGCACACGGGGCCCCCCTAGTGATGTGACGCCATTTCTGTGCTGTTCATTCGATAATCGGTTCTCATTCTCCAATTCACAAACAGTTTCAAGCTGCTTTTGTTGGATCTCTTTGGCTCGAGTTTCGGACTCGACGAGCTCCACGGCTCGACGGCAGAGGTCAAACGCTTTCCGTAGGTCCCCGGTTGCGGCCGCAACTTTGCGAGAAGCGAGTTGGATGGCGGCGGGGTGCATGAAAGGGACGAAATCGCCTGGGGTAGAGGTACCGTTGGGAAGGAGGGAGCGCAGACGATTGGTAATTACTGATGCGATTTGCTCCGCTGTATACGGCAGAAATGGAAGGAGCTGGGGCGTGAGGTTACGAGCTTTCAGACGTGGGAGGAAGCGGTCTGTTAGGTCAAGTGCATTTGCAATTCCAAGAAGGATAAGGCGAGAGCTGCGGACGAGAGACCACTCAAAGATACTATAGAGGACTTCTTGGTCTTTTGTGAGAAGGTGATCAATCTCATCAAGAACAACCACAAAAACCTCGCCAGGCTGTTTTTTTAAGCTTTTCTTGGGTATGAACAAGGCTTCAAGCTCAGCCATACCGGTGGGCGATGATAGTTCCTCCCCTTTATAGAACTCCTCGAGAAGCTTGACATAGATGCTCGTTGGAGACTGCATGGTCATACAGTTCACATATGCTCGCTTCACATTCACCGCTTTGTCGGCACCTAGGTCCCCCATCACCTCTGTTAAAAGCGCAGACTTTCCGCACCCCGGTGGGCCAGATACATACAGACACCCGCCGGAGCATGCCTCCAATCTTGGCTCCAGGAATGCCGCCAACTTCCTCTTCTCCTCATCACGTCCAACTAATCTCCCCGGCTCCCCACTCCTCGAGAACAATACTTTGGCCGTTGTCATAATCGTCGGTGTCATCGCAGCCTTGGTAGGTGTCCCAAATAATTTTCCAGATCGAGGAGTGAGCGGTTTTCCAATGGCTGAGACTCTGTGGCGTGGGGTGATGGGCTTCTTAACACTGTGTTTGTGGCGGGGCGTACTCGGAGACGAAAGGTTTTTTGAATCAATGGACATCGATAATGCCTCCACTCCTCTAAATACCGTGGGCGACAACACTCCTCGTGAAGAAGGCGTAACCTGCGCCTCTAGTAGGTCTCGTCGCAATTTCTTTGGTGTCCTTGGAATACTATCATCGATCCGAGGGATGGCGACATGGATCGTATCTTCAAAGTCATCATCGTCATCATGGATTTTGACCGTTTTCCTCTCTTTTTTTGAGGAGGTATTTTTTCGAGCTGGAAGCTTTGTACGTATGGGTGAATCCACGACGACTAAAAAGAAAGTGGTCAGTATAAAAACGAAAAGGGGATAGTCAAAATATCTTACCGGCAAAGGAAGGAGAGGTGGGCCTTGCACGTTTACCAAGGACAGACATAGTACCCAGTGTATGGTTTTTCCTTGGTATTAATGAGAGTAAGAACAAGAGTGAGTTGATTATTATTATTATTGACCGATGAAAAGAATGATAAACGATTCTCTAATGAAGGTGGTGGTTGATGCAGATGAGGTTGAGTCCCAAAGTTGGGGGCTGGTGGTTGAGACGCTAGGGAGAAAAAACGCGTTCCGAAATGGGAAATGTCGCGTCAGGTCACGTAAATTGGAAAATTGGATACGAAAAAGGAATCTACGCGTCTTAATACAAGAAGAACCAAATTGAATAGTATGGTATGTACCAACCCCTAGTATCTAAAACCCAAACCCGAAACCTAGATGAAAAATATATTTTTTACGTGTGAAACCATGTAGACAAAAGCTGGCACATGGCACATGAGTTTGTTAAGGACGGAACATCCACCCTTAAGCACATTGCAGCACTGGCGCAGGCCATGATTTCTTCCCAGTAGGTACATAGACATGCCAAGCGGGCCAAGTAATTGCGCACTCTCTGTTCCTGGTACATACCTAGCCTGTTAGTTGAGTAAGGAAGGTATGATATTAAAACCCCGAGATGTTACTTGATGTCATGTCACTCTTTTTAGGCTCGATACAGTTGACAGAGATTATTGCATTTGCTTAGAAATTCTCACAGGTTCGCATTCGATTTAATATTACAATACTATATATGTACATGCATTTACAACCATCACCGGCGCCCACGACCCCACTACACATGCTGGGAAGAAATCCCTTTGTGACCTCCACTGGGGCCATATACGTAGGGATTTTGCTTTCATATTATGAAAATATCAGGAATCTCATGAAGAAGCAGGAGGCGAGCGAAGCTAGCCTTTGTTCTCACAGTGATGATATGTGCCAGATAAAACTTAACATCGACAGTCAATATTAGAATTCAAGAACCTTGATCCATAGTTAGAGGTCGGGCATAGCTATGGAAGAAATAATATCATGCACCTTGACTGTGATACTATATGTATGCTAGTGGTAGTAGTGGTGGTAGTGGTGGTAGTGGTGGTAGTGGTGATCTATATAAATTCATGATCTAGATTTGTTTAAAGGGATCACTTGAATTGATATTAACATGAGCGAGAGAGTTCTCATGGATCGTTATTGTTAATGTATTTTCAAGAAGGTAAGGTCTTATTTTCTTTGTTTACCACCTGGACCGCATTCTGCCATGAACTTCAAGCCCTTGCTTGTCTACCTGCAGCTGAAATCACTGAGTACTTCAACGACTTTGTTTTGGGAAGTCAGATCTTGCTTATTGTTGATCCTTCGTTCTATCTAGACAGTTACTGCTCTAATATAATATGGCTTCGAACTCATGTTACCATAGTGCACTGTGATTGATCTGCTATTCCCAAAAATTACTAATCCCGAGACAGTATTTCACTCTAGATACATGTTGACCAGCTTGATCATGTACAGATACCCCTCAACCCCTGGGATCTTGAGAATCTTGTTGACGTCGACTGCAGTGCGCAGCCTTTGGCGACTTAACGCCTACTTAATTCTATACTTTTAGGCTCAAAAAGCTCTTTCAATTACTCGTTTGAAATGAACGTTTGAATCCGGTTCTCTTGGTGCCACTAAAAACCATACCTCCTGAAGCACTCTTCCTGCTCAGTACCGCGGTATTTCTCCTAACGACATCACCCCTAACTCCCTAATCTTGAAAACTGTGGATATGTAGCATGACGTAAGAACAATTGATACATACATAGGGATAGATTTAACTTGAAATCTCTAATATATAGTTGAATGTGTACTGAGATGAAGCCTACCCTTCAGTGATTGTAAATCTCAATCATAAAAACAGTGACCCTGGCGTCAGACTGGTATGTATTGACACATCTAGAACCCTTTAGATCTTGTAAACGTCGTTTCTTGGGATAAAAAGTATACATACACTTGATTGCACGTCGCTCAGAACCGTCCATCATGGCCACTAGTAGCTACACGTATCCTTTAACGGTTCCCCTCAAGTCGTGCACACGAACCAAGGTTGCATATTTCTCCGCTACTCTTCATTCCGCTGGGGATTAGCTAAAATGCCTGGCGTTCTGGCATCGGGGGGGGGGGGGGGGGCGGGCGCCATTTCGCAGCTACTTACCACCGAAAAAACCAAACTATATGGTCTTTGTTACTCACTACTTGTGCCCCCAGGATCATGGAAGCTAGCCTAAGGTGAGTTCAGAGCATACGTGTAGCTATATATGCCTATCTCATTGTATCCCGTAGAGCCTGAGTTACTCTGGCTTTTAGCAAACGGTTTTAGGACGAGCTCGAGGCTGGTGCCGGGTTATACGATAGTCTCATGGATCACTTACCACCATTTGCTATTACCTCGAAGCCCTTCGATCATGTATCCCGGAATTTTGAGCCCGGCTTCTCGTTTCTCTTAAAATCCATTGAGGACTACACCTGAAGCCCATTTAGCCCCCATTGTGCCGCGGATGTTCGATTAGTGAAGCTAATACATACATTTCATCTCCATAAAATGCTCGCCTAGGTTATAAATAGACGAGTCGAAAATTTGCCTGATCGTCTTTTTTTCAAGTTTCTCTGCGTCCCGAGAATTCAATTGATGTCATGAATGTTAACGCCAGCACTTTACAACAATTCCCAATTCTATGATTTTGGAGAGTAGTCCCACAGGAAAGACCACCCTCCTCTTTGAACAGTATAAAAGTCATCGTCGCTGCCTACCGACTCATAGAAGTTTCATTTCCCCCCATACTTTTTTTTACCTCAAATCAAGAAAACCATCGATCTATCCGCCAATTTCCTTTTGATAATATCGATATCACAACCTCCAAACACGCTCAATTTCCTTTAAACATAAACAACCTATCTCGAAATGCCTAAAGCTACAAGAAAAACAAGCTCTGGCATAAAAAAGGCAGCTACCACCGTGCCTGCTGCCACGCCGGTAGTGACTAGACGACAGGCAAGACTCGCACGTGAGCGTGCGAGGGATAATTCTGGTGGTGGTGCTGAGCTCGAGTCAGCCACCAATGCCTTTGATATGGATCGTTACGTTACGATCATATTGGAAGAGGTTATGAAGGCGCTTGGTGCTGAAAGGCCTAGAAAAACATCGATGGAGCGCCCGTTGTTTTTCGAACGAGGGAAGCTTTACCTAGATGTAAAGTCACTCGAAGCTTCGGCTAGCTGGGAAGGAGAGTTGCCGATGGAAGAGCAGCTGCAGAAGGCAGCCCGCAAGCCGAGAACGAGATTGATGAAGCCAGCGCGGGCGGTGAAGGGGATATCGATTCTGAATATCCAGAGGGTGGAATTGACGACTTGATGTTGGAGTTTATGGTCGGGGCATGGTTTCTTTGGCGTTTGGGTTTTCATAAACATGTATAAATGGGTAGACATTGGTCTGGAGTTTCTTGGACCTATGGAGGTTAATTTGATTCGTTAATTCTTGTATTGACTCTGCAGTGATGTTCTCTTTAATTTAGCGTTTAGATCGTTTTGGTATACGGTACATGATATATAAAGTACGCGGCGCGCGCCCGAAGTTACATGTACTTATATGCATTATATAGATGTGATTATTTCTCTTGTTTAAGTTACATCTCCTTTTTCTTTTCTTTGAAAGAGTCTTCGTTTAATTCAGAGGTTTCGTTGATTGCCTTTTGTCATGTTCTTTTGTTCGTCATTGTGACTAGTGCATTGAAGCACATGTACTTTATTCTATGCTCATTTCGCATAGCTTGTCACTTGTAGACCAGAGTAGCTGGGAAACTTTGTAAAATACGAGGACAAGAGGTCCAATCGCCTACTAACGATATTACATACGGTAGCGGGCTGGTATATGCCGGGTTGATCAAGTTCCTGGGCACGCCCAGAATCTGGCTACAGTGCATCATGCATGTGAGCTTGAAACGAGCAACCGACAAGACATGCATCTTCCTTAGAACAGCAGCTTATATTTATAATTCATTTTTCTTTCTTTACAACTCCTCGCTCTCTTGTGAAAATATATACTGTCCATCCTGAATACCCATACTCTGACGAGAATACATTACTATCGTCCTGAAACGCAGGTGGAAATGAACGCATCTATAGAAACAACGAAGGATTCTTCCCAGATACATGCGGGAGACCTCGAGGTTTGTGTCGAGAGGTCACCTAAAATCATCGTACTTTATTAATTCAGGGCACTGGCTGGCTCTTTTTTTTTTTTTTTTTTGTTTAATTCATTGATTGCATGAAGACCTTAGTCTATGGCAATGGCACTGACTGGCTCAGCGAGAATAGAAAGATGAAAGTATTAATACAGCACGTTACGTTACTAGTACTACAATCCATATATATATATCACAAGTATTTGGGCGACGAAATGAAAATTTCCCGGAACTTCGAAAGGCGCCCATTCATTAAATAGTCATTTGCTAGTATATATGTATCTCTTAGAGCAGGCCATTGGTACCGGTGTTGTGATTGTTTTTAGACCCGAAAGATATATTACAGAGAAACTAGACATAATGAATATCTGTTTTCAAACATGCATATATCAGGAAGCTTAATGGCAATGAGAACGAGAACGAGAACCCCGTAGACCCCATGTGCTGAGATGCAACAGAGGCCTTACTGATTTGATTAGCTCACTAATATAAGACCCAATGGAGCTTTAGGGACACCAGGCCGCCGCACCGTCCACCCTCACGAGTGAGTCCTGTCTGCCGTCTAGTCACTACCGTGACAGTGGTAGCTGCCCTTTTATGTCAGAGTTTATTTTTCTTGTAGCTTTAGGCATTTCTCCAATTCAATTCTCGTCTTAGGGAGCATCTAAAGAGTAAGCAGGTATGCCCGGAGAATAAGAACAAACTGTGAATCTAAGAGCGAGCGAGAGATTATCACGTCAGGTAATTAAGGAGTCTTAGACAGTGTCGATAACAAGGTGCGTTATCGTGGCTGAGAGCAGAGCATAGAGACACTCACTTGGTCCTAGACCAGGAGGAGAGATAATGGTTATGGATGTTGCGTGGTGGGAGTCCATGGTATGAAGATGAGGGAAGGAAGGAAAGAGACGGAGAGGACCTGGGTTTATCTACTCTTTCATATATATTTGTTCTTTTTGGTGGGATTATTAGCTGCGTTACCGCTATGTACTTCTTGTGAAGTTTAGGCTAACTCACTGAACACGATTAAATTTCTTGTTATCTGTTTGTAGCACCGTACGGAGGTCTGAGAAGGTGACGGGAAAGTCTTGATATGTAACTGTTCAGACTAGCTATATGTATGCGTCGATCTTTACCGCCAAGTATAGAATCGATTGCTACTGCAGCCGGCTTTCCTTATCGCACCACCTGTACTTAATTAGTACAGGCTCCATTTATATATCTTAAAGATGGCCGCTGTAGCGAGTGATCTCTTATGACACAGTCCCGAGGAAGGAAAGTTTTTAAGCGACCAGTAGAGTAGTCAGACAAGGCTACTGCAGCACATGCAGCTATATGTATATGTGCAGATCATATAGAGTAGGGGGGAAGCGTGGGGTGCAGTATATGCAGCATGATTGGCCGGCGCCGGAATAACTATATCTGGGCGCTTGAATACGAGGGAGGGGCTTATCACATGGTTGGTTCGGTTGGTTGGGCGGTGAAATTTAGACTTGCAGTATCAAAATTTATGCGTGCGGCCACTTGGTGGGGTTAATTTAATCTATGTTGAAGAGGGTTAAAAAATCCTCAAAGCCACTCTGAATGTTGATACGGGCTGGGTTGAAAACTCGCCAAAGACAGTTCGAAGAGGCTTTGCAAATTTGTCTGCCTGTGCAAAGCCACATGTCTGCTTCATGGCTTTTCAAGAAGGCTCTAGCGGGGACCAAGGCACAGCATGTTTTTGAGACCAACGCCAAAGGCGGGTAAAATATATGTACTTATCATCATATGTAAGTACATGTAATAGTATATCGCTAGACTATACTATTCCATAGCATCTAGAGGGTATTTTTTAAAAAATATTAGCCACGAGAAAATAGTGTTTAATCGCCGAATCACCACGATACCTTTTATACCCCCCCCCCCCCCTGTCCAATGCTATGATATGATTCCAGTAAAAGGGCCCCATCAAACATCAACACGAATACCGGCTCCAAAAAAAACCATACATACCCCGCCTCTAGCTGTTCGATCAGCGCTAGCCTAGCTAGGGCCAAGAAACAGACACGAGTGATGTCGCATGAAGAAAGCTGCAGTCCGGCTGATCCTAATCCCCCCTCAAAAAGCAAAACCTTATCCTGCGCCATGAGCTTGTCCACGTTCCAAGGCAGACATTGAATAATTGGCAATATCAACATCGTCATCCCCCAGTAGTCTTGAGACAAGATGCTCCAGCCAATCCAGCGAATATAAGAGAGCATCGATCGGCAATGTCATAATGAAACGGTATTATCAATATCACCCCCGATGCTCTAATACGACAGGTAAGATGCTTCTACACGGCGTTGTGATAAATACCGAGTGTTATACAGAGGGACTCCTCTTGGCGTATGGTTCGGATCCGTTGGTCCCAAACAGACAGCCTGCCAGTCCCATCAGCCCGTGAACTACTTTGGAGCGTTGGATTTATGCTTTACCAAACTCTGGAGTTGATCAGGAGTTTACCTGCGTATCTACCTAGAGACGTATGGCCCTGTCGACATGGTGGTACAAGGCCGTACACATATACAATCCAGGCTAGGCAGGCGTATTAGTCCTCGCTTTTTTGCTTTTTGCTAGATTCGAGTAGAGCCTTCGTGGGCGGTGCAAATCATATAGCCATATCAGGTTCTATAATATATATTAATGGATTGAGAATTGTGTGCTTATAAAAACCTCACCACCCACGACTGGAATCCGTAAACCAGCTCTGTGCCCAAAGTCAGCACTCTCAGGATGTCCAAATCTACCTCCCCCCAAGAAGCTCTAGGCTCCGTAAACAATGCTCCTGCTACTGCTCCTGCGAGTGGGGGTGGTTTTTGGTGCAGTTTCATGCGCTGTCTGGGGTTCAACAAACGTTACAACCTCATCTTATGTCTGTATACCTCTTCTTTTTTATATATTTTTTAGCGGTATATGCATTTATCTAACCGTGCATATAAACACAGGGATATTCTTCGGCGCCGTAATGTTAGGATTCGCTACCGCGAGGCTCGGATTCCTGGATTTGGGGCCGAACGGAATGTTCTGTAGACAGGCTGGGCCCGGCGAATGTTTTTGGCTAGGAGATAAACTTTATAAGAGTATTTCCTCCTATTGATATCAGTATCTAAGTGCCGCTATCTAACAGCCGAACGTAGTCGGAATGTACCTACATCTAGCCTGTATTCTACGTTAGTATACCAACCCATGTGCCCATTTCACGAAGAGTAATAAGCTTATCAGTCTCGGGAATCTTTAGCATGCAGCATCATCGCCGTATTCCAATTTCTGCCAAAAATTCGACATCAAGCTCTCATCGTACACCGTATCAACGGCTACCTCGTTCTCCTCCTCCTAATCGGCGGTGTCACCGGCGCCCTAATCATCACCCGCCATGCCTTTGGCGGTGAGGTTAGCACCCAGGTTGTCTCCGGGACCGTCTCTGTAGTCACGCTCGTGTCTGCGTTTCTCGCATACTACAACATCAAGAGACTCCAGATCGACCAGCACCGCAAGTGGATGCTGCGCACCATGTTCTACATGGGGAGCATCATCACCACGCGGCTTTTCATGGGGATCAGCCTACCGATTATCGGGGGTTCTCAGAAATACGACACAGTAGGTGCAATATTGTAGATGTGCGGTCTGGTGGAGGTTGGACTAACTCGATCGTGTGCTGTAGGTGTGGGATTGTGATCAGCTGATGTGGACAGCGAAGGCGGAGGATGTGGCCGCGTTCTATCCAGAGTGTCTGGGCAATGAAACTATGAGAGTTGTGGTGCCGGCGAGCTTTGATAGGGCGGAAACTGTCGGAAGTATACTGAGGTTGTCTTTTGGGGTCGGTTTTTGGCTGGCGTTCGTGGTACATGCGTTTGGAGTTGAGATTTATGTATGTCGTCCCCGTTTGTTCTCGGTGCCGGGTTTAAGGCGGAGAAGCTAATGCGGTGTGTGCGGGTTACAGATCAGGTTGACAGCGGGCGAGTCGGAGAGGTTGAGACGTGTGTCGTATGAGAAGCAGGTTGAGGCAGGAATCTCGCCGGCTGGGAGCGCAGGGACTACAAGTGACCGGTTTGGAGATGGGAGGAAGTGGACGCCGCTCGCTACAGCTGATGGAGACTTTTGAGGGTGGTGTTTGAGGGATCTTTTTTTTTATATTTGTTTTGAGAGGATGATAGAAATTTTTGTACACACGGCAGCACCGTTTTTGTTTAATGTTTATTTTATTCGACAGTTTTTGGTTTTTAAATCGAAGTTAACACTACGTCATGTACATGTATGTACGCAGGTACAGACGGGTGCATGTACTCTATCCTGGCCCTGCCGCTTGGTAAACTTAAAACCTACATGTACGCTCCATGATCTGGGAAAGGATATATACGCGTACACGTAGCTGGCTGGCCACATTGCCCTCTACATACATGTGTACTTTTCGTCAAAGCCAACCATGTGAGATCTAGAACCGTGCACTAAATGCAGTAAAGCCACAGTCCAACGGCAGATTCCACACGCAATATCAGGTTCACCCATCTTCCTATCCATTGTTGCCTTTTCAACAAGCCATGGCTACATATAATGTGTGGTGTAAAAAAAAAAAAAAAAAAAAAAAAAACACTTGAAGACACAAACATTCCAATATTCTCTCTCCTCCCTCGATCGATCCTGCTTATACTTGTTCCAGATTTCAACAATTTGTATCCCTGCAGGAATACCACCAGGGCGAGTGATAATTCATGAACACACAATCAGCACTCAGCAGCGAGGCCTTGAGGGTCCCCCTCTCTGGCATGGCCATTAACGTCGCCATAAGCTATGTTCCTCGCCATTACTTGCGTGCAAAACCATTTCAGTTTTGAATTCAAGTAAAACTACATCTTATTCTTAATCGATTTAGAGCTGAGCGAGCACAGACCAGGACTCGAACCACAATTTCAATCGAAACCCACCATTTGGTCTGTCTGTTCGCATCAGACGTACCATCTAAAGTGTCCACTGCCAACATATACCCCACAGAGAACGATTGACAACAAAACCAACGGATACATGCTATTTCGAGTCCCAAACCACCAATTCGACAAGGAGGCTTGCCTACTCCATCTACCTTCAAACCGATACTTCAGCGCTCCCTTCATCCCTCTAACATTTTCTTATAAAAACTACTGTAGTAGTCCTCTCTGTCAACTCTAGAATGTCGATATCTTAGTCCGATTCAAAACCGAACCATCAAATTCTAAACTGGCCTGCTCCGACACTTGACTGCAAAAAAATCATTGATCCTGCCTTAGGAAAGCCTTGGTAACTACCTGTCCTGTAGGCACACATCTATAAAGTAGGTCTTTGATACGGAGCTGCCTAGTTACCAGTGAGCCTAGTTATCTAAGCATCTCCCAAGTCTATCTCGATTTCGAAATAGGTTTATGAGCTACGGGTACACAAACACTTGGAGCACTGAGCTTAACCCATTGCTTCATCCTGGATTTACAGAAACCTATCCCAAACCAAATTAAGGGCGCAGACAGGCCGGGCGCGTAGCAAACATCACCACGGCCCATCCCAACCAAGCCAATAACGCCATCATGCCAACCCAGCAAGCCCATACAAGCACCGGTCTATTGCATCCTCTGCACCGGCACACAACGTCGGTAGTATCCATAATTTATATCTAGAGGCGGATTCTTAAGGTTATAATGTGTATATAAACCGACTGGTGAGAAGTAGAGCAGAAGACAGGCTCGTAATTAAGCTTTTATCTACATACTTAGATCTCTGAAATCCGGGCCCGGCGCCATCTTGAAAGTTTGGATACTTAGTCGGGCGAGACCTTGAATCCGAAACATATCGAAATTGGTCCTTGACGAAACAAGGAGTTACTGGGCGTATTTGACTGATAGATATTTCTTTATGATTTCAACAGACCAGATGAAGTCGCATCGATATCCATGACATTGTCGAGACGAAGGCTTGGCAAACACTGCATTTCAAGAGCCGATTTTTCAAGCAATGAAACTATGAAAGTATCCAGCCCAAACCGCATCCCAATCCAAAACGGCTTTCGGTAACCGTACTCCAATCCGTCCAAATTCTCCAATGGCGTCGGTCCTAGAAAACCCCCACACCCAACGTCAACGTCGACGCCGACCCAGTTCATGAAGTCCGGGACCATTAATAATCCCCGCCCAGCCCGCGCGCCCACACCCCAAGCCCTAAATCCGCCAAGAAACCGTCGCTCAAAAAAAATTTCACCGCCGCCGCGCCTATAAAAAGCGCATTTCCCCCACACCCCTCTTTCGCCCGGTATCAAAAAGTTTACGAGGACAGCCACGTCTAGCACTAGCAGCTCTCCGCAGTGTAAAAGATGCCAGGAACCACGCGTTCTAAGCTCCTCCAGATTATAGTGGATCTATCCTCCCGGATAGGAAGTTTGCTTTCCGTTGGGTCCTATTCGATTAGGGCGATGGATTGTGAATGTCGATAGATGGGAGACATGCCTTTTCCCCCTTTCCCTTTTTTTTTCTTTGTAAATATTTTTGTATTTAAATAGTATAAATTGAACCATTTTTTAAGCATTTTTATAGCAATTTTGACATCTTTTGGTGAATCTTTAACAAGATACATGTATGTAGTGGCCATAATAACTATCCTCTTCTTCCGTTTATGCTCGGTCGGCTTTACTTGACAGACGAGCAAACTTATCTCCGCCATTGAAAACAGTGACTTAGTAATATGTAGCATAGAATCCTTTTATCGTGAAGTTTATAGTCTACATATGATAGACTACTGAAAGTTTCAATAGAAGGAGCCGGGTTTACTGTCACCCCGAAAATATGGTTCGATATGCGCAAAAACTCGACATCTCACCCGCGGCACAAGCGATTACAACAGTGAACAATCTTCAATTCATACTGCTGCTATGCTAAAGATACATGCCCAGTGATATACTGTATCTAATATTAACTACATATATGGAACTATAGTTTCTCTGCCGAGTAGTACTTGTTCTTTTTCAACCATGCCTTCACATCTTCAGCATCCCTCTTAACCCATGATGCCTTAGCCCTAATCCCATCCAAGCTCTGAGCCAAGCTCATATCGAAACCTGTTAGACTCTTGTTCTTGAAGAATTCGTTGATGTCCTCGATAGCCTTATCAGAGGTAAACCCTCCTGTGCAGGTAACGACAATGCTTCCGAGCATCGACAAGCCCGGAGGAAGCTTCTTGACGAGAAGGTCCCAGTTTTGTTGGGTCCATTCCCAAAGAGCCTCAGTACCAGCGACATGAGAACGGAGGCCACCGATAGGTTGGTAGATCTAGAACCATGTCAATGGTGGTCTTGTGTTTAGGAAGGCAGGGCTAAATTACGTCTTGCTCTTTCACTTCACCGTTAATAGCGATTTCAAGTGACTTCTTGATGTTCGCTGGGTTCTCGGAGCGACCTAAGCAGCGGAGTGCGACGTTGCGCTCATCACTGGTACGCCCGTTCTTGTAGGCATCGAAGACTTGGTCCCACTAAATATTTGTAAGTAAAGCTTACAATAAAGTTGGAAGAAGGATAGTCAGCCATACCTCCTTTTCGCCGTTGTTTTCGCCATATTGGAGAACAATGTTGTAGACAGGCCCACGAATGTTGGGGTTGATAGCATCAAGCTCTCCCTCAACAAACTTCTTGAACATTTCCTTCGCCGCAGCAACGACCTTCTCATCGCCGCTGTATCCAGCCTGCGAGAAAGCAAGCGCCTTGAGCTGTTGAAGGATATCATCATCCGTTGACTTGAATTCCCAGCCGACCTTGTGGGCAAGCGGTGAGAACAAATCTCGCTGGAAATCCTTAAGTCCTTCATTCTGATCCTTGGGCTCAAAGAGCCAAGCCGCCTTGATGTTTCCAATTCTTGCCGCAATTTCGGACCAGACAATATATTCAGTCTCATCCTTAAATCCGGCAAGCAGGTCCAAAAGACCAGAGGTTTTCTGGTAGCCACTGGTAGCAAGAGCACCAGCATCTCCGAGCAACCCGGCTCTGTCCTGTACAGTAAGAAGCTTCGACTCCTTCCCAAGTGTCGCAAGACGCTCAGGAGAGTACAATGTTCGGTAAACACCAGTTTGATCAGCATTAAGCTTGAAGAAATCGGTGTCTGGAACCTTGATTGTGGTTTCACGTGTGTTGAATGTGAGTTTTGAATCAACCCCATCTTTAGTGCGGAGGCCAATGAAAATAGGCCACAATGTTTCATCCTCCTCTGGCTTCACATCAGCTGTTCTAAGATAGCGGTTTTGTGTGAGATGTAGTTCGTTTCCGTTTTCCTTGACAGTAATCACAGGGTAACCAGTCTTCTTAGTCCATGTAGCCATGTCCTTCTCGACATCCTTCCCACTGGCATCGCTCAGAGCAGCCCAAAGATCACCAGTCTTTACAAATTAGCCTTCGATTAATGGAATTTAAAGAAAGATCGCTTACGTGAGTGTTGCCATAGGCGTGCTTCTTCAAGTACCGTCTGATACCTTCGAGGAAGACGTCCTCGCCAAGATATACTGAAATCATTCGCAAGATCGAACTTCCCTTCAGGTATGAGATGCTGTCGAAAATCTGGTTGATCTCAGAGACCTTCTTCACTGGCACCTCAATAGGATGACTGCTTCTCAATCCATCCAAGCTGAGGGCACCAGCATAACTGTCTGTGACATATGATTCCCACACTTTCCATTGAGGGTAGAAAACGTTCGAGGAGTACCAGGACATCCAAGTAGCAAAACCTTCGTTGAGCCACAGACCTTCCCAGAAATCCATCGTGACCAAGTTACCAAACCATTGATGAGCAAGCTCATGCTGGACAACCTCCGCAATTCTTTGCTTTCGGTCAAGGGAAGCAGTCTTCTCATCGTAAAGCAAATCGACGACTCTGTATGTAACCAAACCCCAGTTCTCCATAGCACCGGCCGAGAAATCCGGAATAGCAACCATGTCCATCTTCGGCAAAGGATATTCGGAACCAAATGTTTCCTCGTAGAACTTGAGAGTCTTTGCGGCAAGATCCGCGGAGAATTGACCCTGGTGCTCATTTCCGGGGGTGGCGTATACTCGAATGGGCACACGGAAATCATTGTTCTCAACATATTTGAAGTCACCAACAATGAACGCCAAGAGCTATAGATTTCTTGTTAACTCTACCCTTGTACCCCTGTAGTAAATGCAATAGATGGTGACTTACGTATGTTGACATCTTTGGAGACTTGTTGAATGACACTGACTTCTTTCCATTGCCTAAACTCTTGGTGTCCTTGACGTCCATATTGGACAAACAAGTCAACTTCTCGTCGGCAACCAAAGTCACCTCCCAAGTAGCCTTGAGATCCGGCTGGTCGAAACAGGGAAGAGCCTAAATTATAAAACGGTTGTCAATTGATGCCCCCCACTCATACACTGACAAGATCCCATACCCTACGAGCGTCAGTAGGCTCCATCTGTGTAGTTGCCATGTACTTGGTTGATCCATCCTGATCCTTGTATGACGAACGGTAGAATCCTAATAATATCAGTCAATGCCGCATGAGTAAACCAGGGCGAGGAACATACCAGCCATGTTATTGTTAAGGATACCGGTGTATTTGATGGTCAAGGTTGCCGTGGTCCCAGCTGGAATGACGTCCTTGAAAGTCCATGTAGTAGTCTGGATATCATCAGTGTGTCTAAAAGGATCATTATAAGCATCAAGACTCCCCATTGAGTGCTGCCATTGAGGAACTCACTCAACATTGACAGGAGTGTACTCCTGTCCATTGTACTCGAGCTTTGCAGACTGAATCTCGATATCGACATCGTTAACAGCAACTGTTGTACTATCCTTAACTACATCAAGCCTATACCACACAATTCATCAGCTTTCAATCCCTTCAAAGGAAGTAGAGGCACCGACGCAATTGCTACAGTTCCCTCGAAGGTAAACTTCTCGAGGTCAGGCTCGAGCTCCAACGCATAATTGGTTGGCTTCACGTTATCAGGGAGCACCTCTCTACCCTGGTTGATAGTGCTCCCAGACGCGTCGAGATCATGACGACGACACATTCTTTGGCAGGAGCAATTTCTTGCGAAATTCTTGGATCTAAGTTTTAGGGAGGCTGGAGCTGTAGCTGGTCTAAACCGTGATGATAGTAAAGATGGTTTATCAAGATTGGGGATGATAGAAGAAGAGGTAGTAGTGGTTGAGGATGATGGGGGGTGGGAGAAGGCCGAGATGGTGTAGGGTCTAAGTCGAAGCTTAGATGGGATAGTGCGGGGTTGCTGAGATATAGACAACAGGACACGGTTGGATCGCGTGATCTGCGGCCTGCAAGCGAAGGTCCTCATGGGAGCTGGGGAGTTGGGATTTGTCTGTGCTGAGGGGTAGCTACCGTGCGGCGAATCTCTTAGAGCGGGGAAGAATTTTGTCACCGAAAAAGGTGGGATATACGTAGGTTATCCGAACGAATGTGTAGATTACGCTATGTCCGAGTACGGCAGGAGTAAGCGACGGGCATCTCCGGCATTGATTTACGTCCATTGAAACAAAAGTTTTGGTTTTAGATGCTTCTGTCGTAGTAATGGATATTGGAAAGAGGATGATGTTCGGGTTCTGCAAAAGGCGCCTTGCACCGAATGCGTCGGTTATATCCAACCAACTTTCGTCCAAACTCCCGTTCCAACTACAGTAAACATTATTGGAAGGCCAGGAAAGAGATATCAACTTAGAACCGTAATATTCTGCAGGTAACCGGTTATCGTCGGATTGATACGCAATATGTACCTACAGTGTGTCTTGATCTAGATGGTAGTACAAGGCCGGTTGGAAACGAGATTGGGTATGAAGATTAGGGCAATCATTTTACTAAGGTGTGTTTATTGTCCCTTATCCCATACCGCCAACCCAAAGCTCATCAGAAGTTCTAACGCATGAGTATGGTGCTTTTTCTGTTACGGGGAACTGGGAGAGTTGTGCGGTTGGCCGCGGCAGACACTTGAAGTGATCGCTGTTATTCACGGAACCACTTGCACCTAGCACCTGAGTGAATTCCTCTAACGGTTCATAACTTAATAGCTTTACATGATAGAGATTTTGAGGGGTTTGATACAAGTGGATATTGTTCATGCCAAATGATGTTTATCAAACCCGTAGGGATGGCATGAGAGTCTAGAGTAGGGTTAGGGGAACACAAGTTCACAGATTATCACTCGTCTGTATTCTACCCATGTGATTTTATCCCGCCCCAAGAAAAGAAGGAAAGAACAAAAACATTCTCCAAATCTACAAAAGATACTGCAGCGTCTTATTGAGAAATTTGCGACTGCTATCCCCACCCCTGGTTTGAACCCAGGACCTTATGTGTGTGTGGTTGTATCCTGGGTACGCTCGGTGTCTTGCCTGACGAGCAGTCTATCCACTAGACCACCCGCCCATAGTGAATGCTGTACTGGAAGTGATATCTAACCTTGGCAGTATGCCAAGGCCTTTCCTATTCTATTCCTCAGGAAACCATCAACCAAACTTTCACCATTAAGCACACAAAACAGCAGCCACAAAAGTCGTGCTTCATCCGTCCGCGATACTTCTACACGGGCTGGAACTCAATAAAATGCGTAAACACACCATAGCTACAAATCTCAAAAAAAAAAAAAAAAACAGAACAAAAAGAAACCCCGCCGTTTCAAGGCCCAGAGCAGATAAATCTCTAGATCTATTCCCCACCCCAAAGCCACAAACGCGCGCAACTCTCTGACTCCCATCTCCCTCTCGAGAAAACACCACACCCCACGTACAATCTTCCAAAGTTAAGCTGCGCTGCGCCAATAAAGGTGTCAATGATCAAACCCCACCCGCTAAGCCTCCCCACTCCCACTCCCAAACTCTTCTCTAAAGCAAGCATAAACCAGACGCCCAGTCGCCGGCACTTCAAGTAATGAATGGCAGTACTTTTAGGATATCGATATTACTAACCGCCGCTCTGGAACCCTTTCCCCCACTGCAAAGCAAACCCCCCGTCCTGCAAGCACCATCAAAGCGACCACCGCACTGAATCATAGAATATCACTCGCACTGACCGCCGCCCGTCTCTCGAGAACAGTCACGTTTAAATCTATATATTTTGATTTTTTTCCTCATGAATGCATGCACGCAAAGTCGAATAAACCTACAGAACGGTATATGGGGCCCACTACAAAAAAAGAAGAAAAGAAAATAACCCTTTTAAAGACAACAGAAAGAAAGAAGAAAGTGAAAGAAAAAAAAGAAAAAAAAGAAAGAAAAAGATACATAAAAAAGCTCGGAAAAATAAAAGAACGCCGCCTAACTCCACATGCCCACCCACCCATCCACGACATCTACTGCGGCCCCATCCCACCCAAACCCCCATCTGCGGCCCCCGGCCCCGCCCCACCACCGAAACCCCCCATCGGTCCCAAATCCACCACCGGTCCCAAATCCACCACGGGACCCACCGCCGCCACCGGATCCCCCTCGCCCTCCCCGCCCTCCTCTCCGCCTCCGGCACCTCCGCACAACAATGCTGCAACTTCTGCGCATGCGCTGCATTATGATACTGCGTTCTGCACCTCCACCCATACCAGCACCTCGGCCTCGCATCCAGATACAGCCTCACGCGCTCGGCGCACCACCACGCCATAAACCGCTCCTGCAGCACCGGCGCCACACACCCCTTACACACATACGCATCGGTCCCCACGCTCCTTCTCAGCGCGTGGAACTCCCCGCCGTTCCCCGCAACAACCCACTCGTAGATCATCTGCGCGATCTGCAGATAGGACGTGTTTGTCGCGCCGCGCCAGCTCTCAAAGTGGTAAAGCTCGGTCAGGTTGTTGTGGAACGCTAAGTTGGGCGGCCCGATGGGCTGCACCTGTGCAGCGGGCGGGGCGAGCACGCCGGGGACAGCGCAGCCAAAGAGTGCCCCGCAGTTGAGCAGGCCGCAGGACTCGCATTTGTACTCGGACTTCCAGGTGGTCGGGATGGTGTTGGGGCAGTGGTGGCAGTGCACATGGTTGCGGAAGGTGTAGGTGTCGGCGCGGTGCGGGGGGTTCGTGTCGGGGAGGGCGTCGGGGCAGGTGTGCCCGTGGGGGTTGTCGGGGATGCAGCAGGGGCACGGGGGCCAGGCGATGTGGGCGTCGTCGTCGCCGTCAGAGCCGGAGTCGGAGTGGTGGTCGTCGTCGTCGTCGTCGGGGGAGGCTTCTTCGATGTAGACTTTTTGGCCGGGCTTGTAGACCTTTTCGAGCTCCTTGAGCTCGGCGGGGTCCCGGCGCTTGTCGGGGAAACGTGTGAGGAGCGTTTCGATGAGGCCTGCGGTGCTGTGGTTGTCGCGGATCTTTTTGACAACCTGCCGGCAGGTCGGGCAGGTGTTTATGCGCTCGAGCCAGGGGACGAGGCAGGATCCTGGGTGCCGGGGCGGGCTCTGTTAGCTTCTGTCCTATCCTCACATCTTGGTCGGACAAGGAAGAAAGAGAAAGCTCACCACAAAAGTTATGCAAACAATCAATACACGCCACAGGGTTATTCAGCACCTCCGAGCAGATGGCACAGCTCAGGTCCCTCTCCAGCGTGTCTGCAATATCGTCATCATCCGACTTCCGGACTGGCTGGGCGTACCGGGAGGCCTTGGCCTTGCGGACAAGCTCCGAGATGATGTCGTTTTCGGGGGCGGGGCGCTTGGTGGATGAGCCAGCGGACGAGGGCCGCGAGGAGGAGGAGGAGGCGGCGGGGTGCTCTATGGGCTGGTGATGCTGCTGCTGGGAGCTGCTGGAGGGGTGGGGGTGGGGGAGCTGTGGCTCGTCGTCGGGGTGGGGGGGATGCTGGTGCTCCTGCTGTGATTGAGACATTGGGAGTGGAGTGATTGGGATTGGTATGGGGGGATGTGGAGGGGTCTTCTCTCTCTCTCTCTCTCTCTCTCTCTCTTCCTCTCTTTCCCTTTCTCTGTCTCTTTCTCTGTCTCTTTCTCTGTCTCTGTCTCTCTCTTTCCCCTCTCTATTTATTTATTTGCTGAGAAAAGAGGGACTTTACACGGTCGCGGTGGGGGACTGCGGGGGGTGTCGCGTTGGGAAGACGCGAACACAGGTGACTCGGGGGGGGTGCAGCTTAAGTAGTCGTGTTCTGCCTCGTGGGGATGCAGAGAGATAAAGATTGATAGAGGTGATAAGATAGCTCGACGGGGATGTTGGCTGTGTTGGGCGTGGTTCGGTCTTGGTCTTGGTGGGGTGAGTCACAGGGAAAGAGAAGCAGAAGCGAGGAGAGAGGAGTCATGGTGCTCAGAGCGGCAGTGGTGACTCTTTGTGTAACGCGAGAGCCGCATGACTGATTCTCTTCTACTCTACTCTACTCTAAGCTTAAGACGAACATAAACTTGTCTCCATCCATCCAGTGCTCTAGTGCGTGCACGGTGCCAGTGGGTATAGGTATGGAGATTACATATAAATATCAAGACGTGGTGGTTGAGCACTGGGACGTCGCGGTGCAATGTGCGTAGCAATTAATGGCCTTGTGCCTTTGGTGTTCAAGCCTGTTTGGAGAGTTTATGCGCAGCCGAGTGATGGTCTGTGAACAAGACTACAAGTAGCTTACAAGGCGGGCAATCATGTCCCGTTCTCTGCTAGCTGTCGGTCGGTCGCGTGGTCTGAGGACACATAGGGAGACATGCAACTACATGTATCGAACAAAATAGAGAACACCATGGCAGAAGAACATCAGTATATATATAGTGGTGGAGTACGCGGTCACTCGAATACAATCATCATCCTGCTTTCCATACAAAAATCCTTCCATCATCTTGATCCACTCGGGCACCGTTCCATCATTCTATTTGCTCTGCTCCGCCTTCTAATTCTTCCCACAACGACCGTGCTTGAAAAGAAACACCCGATTGGAGTCAATTTCATGTCAACTGGCCGCGGCTGACCTCGGTTCCTATCAACATTAATTTGCCAATCTGAACTGCATGGCTCGAGATGGCATCACACTCTGCAACTGCATACCAATGATTAACACCACCAAACAATTTGTCAAGCGGAATAGCTATCCGCAGTATAACTCAAAGCCTGGTCGATAAATATATGGATCGGGTCAGCCTCCCCTCCCACACGGAATATCAGAATCTTGAACTAACGTATCATGCATTATCACTCGGACAAATCACCACTATTCCATTTGTGTCCAAGATCACCATCCTGGTCTGGAGGAGTTCAGGTTCTTGAATGATCCCAACCTCGACCTGTCAAACATAATTACAGGGTGACTGGATAGGATATCCTGGCAGGCAAGAAAGCAGGAGAGAAGCCCCAAGAAATTCAGAATCAATTACAATAGAAAAAACTCCAGTCAAGAAACGGTCAGAAAAGGTAGCTAACCAGAGAGCCGACTAAAAAGCTAGGAGAAAAAAAAAAAAACACAAAAAAACGACATAAAAACACCATCCCTCGAAAAAAAGAAAAAGAAAGAAAGAAAAACGCAGGAAACAAAAACCCATCATACGGCCACTCCCACGACCTCTACCCCCATCCCCATCTCCACATCCTCCACCACCTGGTCCACCATCTCATTCCCCAACCACTCCACGCCTTTCACACACCTCCCCACCACACTGCTCACGCCCTGACCATTCTCCTCATCACGCTGCCCGGGCGCCAGTCTCGGCCCCCACCCCACAGGCAGCACCATCCTCCTCAACGAGTCCCGATCCAGCACCACAATCGCATCCAGCGCCTGCCGCCCCCCGCCCAGCGGATGCAGCAGCCCCAGTGCCAGCGTCAGCGCCCTTGTCGTATCATGAATAATCGGTAACGTCGACGTACCCGGCGGCGGCGCACTCAACGAAACACCAAACACGTCCGCCCCACCACTCGCCAGCAGCGCCGTGACATGCCTATTCTCGCCCCGTTAGCTCACCATTCCCGGAACCTACACCCCCTAGAAAAGAAGCACTCACCCAAGTCCCACCAAATGCTCCAGCGTACACCCCAGAAATGCCAACACCGTAACCCTCCCTCTCCCTCTCAGCCCCCCTACCCTCCTATCCACGTCCATCTGGTCCGCCCCGGGCCACAGCACGTCAACCAACACATCCCCCATGCGCTCCGCCAGCCCAATACTGCCCTCCTTCTCCGTGACCCATGGGGGCCGCTCGGCCGCGCGCTTGGCGCGCACCCGCCGCGCTGTGTGTGACCGCGACGGCGGGCGGGAGGACGGCGGGGAGGCACCGGCGAAGGCGAGGGTCGGGGACCGTTTCCGTGACGCTGCTGCTGGGGGAGGCGGAGGTGTTGGGGATTGCGACTGCTGCTGCTTAGGGTGTTTGGGGAATTGGCTATGGTCTTGATTCATCCTTGTGGTGGTGGAGGTGGTTGCGGCGGTGTTTTTGAGCGCGAGGAAGAGCGATTCAGGACAAGGCACGATGGGTAGGTTACTGCTGCTGCTGCGGAGGAAGGGGGGGAGGTTCTTTTTAGGGACGGGGTGGTGCAGGACTGGGTGTGAGTGTGAGTGCGAAGGGGAGAGGAGGCCCGGGGGAGGTTGTTGTTGCGCAAAGCTTAGATTGAGACCCCCCATGTTTGATTTCTTACGTTTTTTTCTTTCTTTTTTTTTTTGCTAGATTTAGATTGGCCCTACTTTAGACTCTACGAGAGTGTCTGAGCTCCTTGCGTGAATTTGCGGGGAGGCAGGGACAAGGACAAGGGGCCGGGGGGTGAAGAGTCGATCTGCGACACACGGACGGAAGGGATGCGTAGTTGTTCCGGACGGTGCAAGAGAAACCGTACAAGAGCTGATCAGGCCAGTCTCGATTCTTCAGTAATCTTCGGTAAGGGGGGGGGGGGGGTGAGTGAGTAGGTGAGGAGAAAATTAAAAAAAGAGAGAGTGGCAACCCCGATTTTGATATAAGAGTTCAAAAGGTGGGGGGGATGACTGAGATTTGTTTTTACTCGGACCTTCTTTTTTTTGTTCTGCCTCTGCTCTGCTCTATATAGCTTCCTCCGCTCCATACGTACTACGTAAACAGCACCTCTCTTCTCTTTTCTTCTGCAGTGCGTGCTGTGCATTCCCCGCTGCTGATGTTCACTTGTTCTCACCGTCACCGTCACCATGCAGGATGCGCGCAACACATGAAAAAACAAAAAATAGGTTGTCCATTGTTTACATCTGGCGGCGGTAAACGGCCTCTCGGAAGGGACCCGAGAAAACCGTAGCGCGGTGCGGGGTATGGGTGCGCTTGGCTCGTTGTGGGATGGGACAGGACAGAACAGCTTTGTCAGTAGGCAGGGTCGGATTCTCGGGTGCATGGATTCGCACTCGATTGCAGGAGCTCTGCTAGAGAGATTACGGTAGTGAAGAGCAATCAAAAAGCGGAGGGCAAGTGGGGGGGGGGGGGGGGAGAGGGGGTCGCTTGGATAAGACGTCTGTCTTCAATGCACTTGTAGACAATTATCCGGGTGCGATTGTTACAGATATTGTCAGTGCTCAGATCTAGATGATGTGAAGGCACGAAGTAAATGTCAATGTCTATGGATTGGACACGGTTGTTGAAGATTGGCACCAGGGAATAGTGGGGCATGGGCATGGGCATGGGATTATTTAGCTGTGCGTAAACGTTCACCCGGGAATGGGACCTAGCTCGACTCAGTTCAACAACCGGCAAAGAAACCCAATCCTGGCCCACGAAGGAAGCTTCGCGGAATATGCATCTCAACATTACTACCAATATCACCTCTACCTTCTATCTGCGAGAACGAAAAAATGTATATTTTTCTATCCGCGCTGCAAGTGTAGTAGTAGTAGTAGGTGTATAGCCTCTAGCCTCTCTCTATAAGCCTCTACAGTGATCTATGCCTTCCAGCCAACCATGACCAATTTTTGCAAAATCTACCTTGCATTACTTATCCTCCATCTCCTCGTCACTATCATCATCGTCGTCGTCGTCATCATCATCATCGTCATCATCATCACCATCCTCGTCCCCATTCTCGTCGTCGTCCTCTTCGCCTTCGGCGAGGCCGTACTTGAGCCCGTAGTCGTCCTGGAAGAACTTCAGCGGGTGCACGGTGACGTTGAAATTCTCCTTTTCAAGCGCCGCTTTGATGGACTACATATGCGGGGTGTTTCGTCAGTCAATCAATGCCCGTGGCTCCGGGGTTTTTGAGGGGGGGGGTTGCAAAAACTCACATCAGACTTCACCGGCGCCGTCACCACCACAGTATTACTCCTCTCGGGATCAAACACGGGCAACAACACATCTCTCACCACGTCCTTCAGGTCCTGCACCGTGACCGCACGGATCTTCTTCAGCAGCTGCATGTTGTAGTCCTTGCTCTGCCCGTGGATGACCTGGTTGATGAAGGACACCGACGCGGCCGACGCCATGGACGACTCCTCGTCTGCGAACTGGACGACGATGGATGAGAGCGCGCCTTCGAGCGAGAGGTGGTCGAACTCGACGGTGCCGTCCATGTGGTCGCGCAGGACCTTGCGGGACGCTTCCCACGCTTTGTAGGCGTCGGGGGAGCGGTAGACGGTGAACTGAACGTGGCCTGAGTCGATGTTCTTGGAGAAGCCAGTACCGTAGGCGAGACCTGTGCCGCGGACTGCTCGCCAGAGGGGACCCTCAACGGCATCAAGATATGAGATTGCCAAGAGCATAGCCGGCAGTTTGGGGTGAGTGGGGCTGTCGGGGCCGAGAGCGACGTGGACGGAGAAGGATGAGTCAATTGTTGGGAGCGGGACCAGGTGGGCTACGCCGCCGGGCTTCTGGCCTTGCGGGGTGAGGCGTTGGATCCGCTTGTCGATAGGTGCCAGTTTGCCGGTGAAGGAGTGGCCAGTGATGAAGTCTTTCCATGCGGATACGGGGTTCTTGAGCTTCGTTATGTCTGCAATGACAAGGATGCGGAAGTTCTCGAGCTTGCAGAAGGTTTTGCGGAGCTCCTCGAACTGGGCGATTACATCGTCGGGCTTCTCTTCTAGTTGCTTGCTGATTCGTTTTAGGTAGAGGGCCTTGACGAGGGTGTCTTGTGCGCGTCCAATTGATTCACGGGAGTAGGAAATCATGCTGTTGACGGACATGCTCATCTAGACGGGCATGGCGTTAAAATCTTGGATTGAAAACGAGGTTGGGGTTTACTTACTGTTTTAACCGCCTCTCTTCTCATCGGGAATATCACTCCTCATCTTGGTAATTGTAGTAGCAAGGCGTGAGGCATCAAAGATGCTGCTCCAAAAGAACTCCTTGATCCATTTGATGGAAACCTCATACTTCTCGGGCTCAACTTGGAACCTGATCCCGAGACTCTCAGGTGTGTCCATATATGTTCCGGATCCGATGTTGTAGTTAACGGTATCCTTCTCCAACTTTGCTACAACCTGTTCGTACTCTAGACGTACTCCATCTTGCATAATGGGTGTGTTGAAGAAGTTTTCAAGGTATATTGGGATCAAGGGTCGTCTTTCAACCGGGATGGACGCAGTTGAGACAAGAATCGTTATCCGTACAAAGTTTGATGGGATGTGCTCATAATGGAGGTAAAGTGGTAGATCGACATGGTCTTTATCAATGATATCCTGTATTTCCTTATCACTATGGAGGGTCAGCAACTTGCGAAGGGTACGAGGTGGATCATGAAAAATCACTCACCCCTTTCCATCTTCCACTGCCAATCCGGCCCGTGCGGTCTCAGTCTTGATGAAATGAATGCTCTCAACCCCTGGAACTGGAAACTTTCCGAGCTCCTCTTTCGGGATCTCTCTGTCGTTGTCCGCTTTAGCCTTATCGAGCTTTTCCTGGAGCTTTTTAAGGCCCTCTTCCCCGAACTTAGCTTTCTGGGCAGCCACACGCTTCTTCTCATCTTCTTCAATCTTCTTAGCAAGCTTTGCAGAAGGCTTTCCGAGAATCGAGACGTGCTCGTTGTCCGCAACCCATTTACGGAGGAAGTCTCGCCAGTCAGTCTCGGTCCACTTCTCGAGCTCATCAAATGCGTTTAGGTTTTCAAATGACTTGAGAGTGCTGCCATCCCTCTCCCCAAAGATAAAGTCCGTAATGAGAGGGTTGGAGAAGTAGTACCCAGAGCTCTCCACCGAGAACTTGCGCTGCCTCTTTGTGCGTCGGAGACATTCCTGGACGTACGCGAGGTCAATTGGCTCGCTGACGGTCTTTTTCAGCACCTCGAAGAGACGCTTCTCGACTTCAGCAAGCTTCTTGGTGGGGACACTGGTTAGTTGGAGCCAGATGAGTGAGTTGGGGCGCTCCTCGACGTAAAACTGGACAGAAGATGCGAGTGGCTCTTTGATTTCCACGAGCTGGTTCTCTAGGATCGACACCGAGGAACCGGCAAGGAAGGTACCAAGAGTTTCGAGAGCTGCCATCGCCTTTGCATCATTGCAATTGGGACCGAGGAAGCCAATTGAGATCTCGCCCATAGATTCATCCTTTTCGGGGAACTCGACGGTATCAATCGTAGACTCCTTCAATAACGGAACGGGTTTAGAATCGATCCAAGGCCTATAAAATTGGTTAAAACCAGTATTACCAAAACAATTTTGGAATTTACCTTTTCATGGGCAAGCTCGGGTCTGGGATATCTTTCAAAATACTCCCTTCAAAATCGTCCAGGATTTTCAAGAGGTTGTCATGGTCCACTTCGCCAATGATCACCAAGCACAGATTTTTTGGCTGGTACATGTCCCTGTGAAACTGCCTAATCCTCTCCGCCGTAAGGACTCTCAAAGCTTCCATCATACCACCTGTCTCGTATCTGAAGCCGACACCCTCAGGGTAGAGTTTCTGGACTGCTTTCATGTTCATGATTGTGCTTGGGGTGTTCTGAACCCCTTGCATCTCAGAGTATACAACACCTGCATCTTGTCCCTCTCCGTCAATGTGGTGGACCTCAGTGTAGCAGCCACTGTCGGTAAGGGTAGGAAGTAGGATGTGTTCGAGGTATACAGGAAGAATCTGGGCGAATCCCTCCCAACCGGCGGTATCGAGGGTGTATGCAGTATGGTCGGTAGCTGTCCATGCGTTCGTACCAGAGTAGGCTCTGCATTTAGTCAGTTATCTTCGAGGTCACTCTACAGTTTAACCAGGTGGAATTCTACCTGTTTGCCATCCGATCTAACACGCCCTTGTACTGGTAGTTCTTGCTGCCCATGAAACATAAATGCTCTAGAGTGTGGGGGCTGCCCGAATCATCCAGAATCTCTGTGGCAAGGGCAAAGAATCCCAAGACCTTAGGTCCCTCGCGATCTACTACTACCGCCGACATTCCCGTGCGTTTAGATTCATATTTTGTGATGGTGCTCGGCGAATAGTCAGTCTTGAACTGTATCTCCTTCTTGAAATAGCTTGACCCCGTCATCGTGAGGATGGTGCGATACTGGGGGGTTCTGGGATTTGTTAGAGCGAGAAGTGTAATAACCACACTCCTCCGAATCGACGACGAAAAGAGTATATTGTGGAGCGGAAAGGTGCGAAGTAGGCGCACCTGAGCCAGAATGATATCCTTCGATGGTGGGGGGAAATATCAAATAGATGATAGATGGAGAAAATGACGGGGGTCTGTGGATATTGCGGGGTCACAATGCAGGCAAGGCTTGCGGCGAGGTTTGATGTACCAGCGGAATACCTAAGGATCTACAGGCTACTGCTGCTGACGTATGAAAAAGAGCCGCAGGGATCCCTGCATAAGAGTTCTTCACAGGTCAACTGATTGTACTTATCGTTACTTTTAAGCTACGATATTGGCTCTGTAGCTATCGACGTGTCCTCACGAGGTGCCTGGACTGTCAGTATGCTAAAATTCAACTTGAAAGCCATTGCAGAGGTACGTATTGAGGGCTTGGAAGCTTGAGCTTACTAGTACTACTGTTACCTTTTATCTTGGCACTCTTGGCATATGTCCACTTGGTGGTAGTTGGTAGCTATAGTTCAATAGTTATTAGTAACTATATGTAATTAATACTGGCTGAGGATTATGAATCGTGTGGTCCTATATTAGCATGAATATCCAGCGCGTAGCTTTTAGAATTATAGGTAAAATAGCCATAGAAATATTGTCGAAATTGCCATTAATTTATTGATTCTGATTTAGTGCTAATTTATAGGTTAGAAAGTAGATACAAGTTTCAGGCCCTGGCGAGCTACATACCTAGAATGTGTCTCCACAACAACGGCCCAAATAAATCCTATTTTATAATGTTGTAATTGGTGGAGTAAGTAGGTTTTCTCCCCCTTGATCGATTGAAGTACAGGCCACTTTATTCCAAAGGGTTTCTTTAGCATAGGGGGGTGAAGTAGAAAAGCTTCATACGCTTAATGAATAAATCAATCGATCAGAATATGGTCAAGCAAAGCTCGAGTGATTTCCCATGACTCTGATAGCTAGGAGCATGCATAAAGTACGTATAGTTTATATGACGTAGACCTATAAAGTGTCAGGAAGGTAACGTTAATTCAGGACCAAGGCAGAGTACATGGCGTGATCAAAGGAAAGACTCGAGTTTATTCTGGGAGCTTTGTTATTCAGGTGGTCTATATAGGCATCGGATGTGGGTGCGGTAATCAGAAATGGCCTCCCTGAATTATATTACATAAAATGATACCATAAAGAAAGTTTGTTTATTATATATGAACGAAGGAATTTCTGTTGAGGGATAGTTACATACAAATGAAATGTTTTCTGGAGTTGAAACAGTGAAGGAAACAATGAAATAACAGCATCACTACTCTATCGTAATACTTTCCAAAGAAATCATGTTCACTGTGTTCAAATATGCGGCCAATAGTTGCTCCAGGTAGGGGTTGAATAGGATCCTTTAGGAAGACTGCGCACACTGATGATCGACTCCACCAAAATGAACATGAAACCAAAGAAGTTAAGTGTGGCCATAGCTCCCGAAAGAGCAACGATAAGTATTGCCAATGAATATCCATAAGCCATCTGCTTACTGGACCTCTCGGCAACTTCCTCGAGAGTTGTGCAACACCGACGACATACTCTAGCAAGGTGTCTGAAGATTGTTGTATCCTTATCTTCAAAGCTCAGTTCCCAAAAATCACGCAAGACTTCCTCATCAAACCCAAAAAGTTTGACCGACGCCAAGCACACCGGCATAGTGAACACTAATATAAGAGATGAGATTCGCCAGAGCCAACATTCTGAAACGGTTGGAAACTGGGAGTTCCATGCAAACATGTGGAGGCTACCGTTGGCAGCTGCCGATATTGATCCTGCGAGAGTACCCTCCCCAGTCCCGAGAATAGTTTCTATCATATCATACCAGGCCTTCCAAGCCTGGCATATACAGAGCGACCGCGGAGATTCAGTACGGAAGTGAGCGTCGGCTTGATATGTTGTACTGTCTTCATCAGGAAAATCCGAGGAATGAGAGAATCCCATTAGAGTTGTGGCTGCCGTATATTCAGATGAAGATATTTCAAGGCGCCTCTTGTCCCCCCATGAGCTTCCCTGGTCGCGGCGTATATCAATTCGTAAGGGTTCATCGACATCCAAGGGTTTGTACCACCAGAATGCATAAGTTATCAGGGCAAAGAAAATTTGGATGACAACATGAATCTCAATCAAGGTAAGTGGTAAGCCAGCTACCTTCCGCCCAATGCACTGAACAGTCATCCAAGAGGCCTGAGTGAAGACCAGTATTTTGGTAATTATAGAGGCATTTCCCTTGTCAATGATGAATTTCTTATCAAGAGCGTCCTCAGGTATTTTGCCCGATAGTGTATATTCCCTGAATCCCGAAGGTGTCAAGGTGGTCATACGTCCGGTGTTCTTGTTTTCGTGTACGGCAATTCCCCCCATAACCACAAAGAATCCTCCCTGCATTCCCATACGATCCCGATCACTCCCGGGTGTGATCCCAAAGTGCTCGCACCACATATCATAAACCGATTTTGCCTCACGCATCTGTACATATGCGTAGAACGCGATGGCCTCAGGAAATATTGCGCAAATCCACATAATTGTTATCTTGTATACGTACTTCCTCCAACCCACTTTGTTTGGAACAATATCTGGATGCACTGCAGTCCAAACGCAGAGAATGAAGGTGGTGAGACAACTCCAGAAAAATCTGATCGTGCCGCGCTGAGAAATTTCCGGTACCCATCCGGGATCAACATTTGTGCTATTCGAAACGTTTATTGCCGATGCAGGGGGAATCATGGATGCAAGAAGCACCATAAACACAAAGGAGATATGTGATATACACAAAAGTACCATTTTGTGGCCGTAAATTAACGTAAGATGATAAGGGCTTCACTAATTACATATGTCAGCACTACTAGGATTTAGTCTAGGCCTTGTAAAAATCTCTCGTGGCTCACATGTAGTTCTGCGAAGGACGACTATGTTGTTAAAGTTAATTAAAGCTATATAAATTGATAATAAATGTCATATATAACTCTGTAACTAGAAGAATATCAGCTCTCGGATCTTAATAGCATAATTTGTATGCAATATACGGATAATACTCACACCATTTGAAGGCGAAGAAGCAGCTGTTCATAAAGCTTTATAAATGCAGTCGAATCGATGCTAATTAGTAGCGAATGCCGTGCCCTACCTTAGCCAATTAGTGTTAAGATTATATATGAGAGTACTATTATGAAATATTTACGTACCTTTCTCTCGTAGAGAATCTCTACCTACACACTCAGCGTAGTTCCACGATATGCTACAGGGCGGGGCGGTTCATCTTATGAGGAGTGACTTCGAATTGTTAGTCCGGCCGAAACATATGTAGTTCTCGTGTCACATATCCCTTCGTCTGTTTTCAGCACTCACTCGCGCAGACCAGTCAGTCGCGCATCGCAACAAGATAAACCTGGTATATTCCTTTCGGCCAATGACTGTTGATCGTTTTCTATGGTGCGCGACTGACGGGTCTGCGCGAGTGAGTGTTCACGCGCAGTATGTCCGCTATCCATTTAGCAACCGAGGTATGTACCTGGTATGTGCCGCCTGCAGATCAAGTCCATTATCCTCGTCTTCATCGTCGCTTGAAAAACCCACCAGACGAAGGGATACCCGTGATTATTGGTATGAATACAGCTTCCAGTAGTTGGGGGATCGCCCTGCTCTCGGCGTGATTGTTGTCCTTGTTTTCCACAATAATTCTACCGGAAGCTGTAGAGTACCACAATATTTTTATTGGTTCATGCTAGCGGACGGGGGTTAGCTGAATTAACTAATCGAACTTTGACTAGCGTGAAATGCCGCGTCGATCCTTGCATTCTGACCCAGCTAGAGACAGCTCTTTCTTATCCAGAGACAGCCATTATCTTATCCAGGGACGTCTCTGGCTGGTATATACCAGTCATGGACGTCCTTGGATAGCATAGCCAAAGGCGATGTCCCTGTATGGTGTGAGCTAAGTATACCAGCCAGGGACGTCCCTGGATAAGCCCCATCCTTGGTTGAGCCGTAACACATATTCAGACAACCATTTGAGCCGAAAAGCTTTTGTTTCTTTTATGTGTCCTCAAGAGGGTACATACATGCAGGTACTCTTGATGGGCCTCCCTAGCCTCCACTGTGTCTTAGATACCAACAAGATGTTCTGGGGCCCGGGAGATGCGCGCATCCTAATCGACATCGAACAATTCAAGCCTATCAGAACCATTGACTGTGAACTCGATCCGACTAGTATGTGTATAGCGAGTACAGCCTTACGTTATGAGCTTCCTATAGGCCACATGCTTCACTTGCCAGATAGCTTTTCACGATCTCGAGAGGTTTCTCGAGGTCATATATGATCGAACCTATTAGAATCTTATGCGAGCCTTAGACCTCGCGGAAGCTGATTCTGGCTAGAGGGAGGAAGAACGCGGGTTCTACGGATCTGCACGTGTTCCTAGGATCGATTGATTTGATACACGAGACGGGTGCCGGGAGGAATGCCGACAGGAATTTGAGCACCAGTCAGTAGTAGGCCTTTCAGACTCAACAGACATGTTGTGCATGAGGTTTGATTCTTACTCCTTCAAAGCTCGAAAGCTAAAATGAGTTGCTTAGAAATTCTCGCTAAGAGGTGATGACAGGGATATTTGATCTCCTCAAGGATGGGGAGGTGGAATAAAATATTTGGAGCAGTGCGTGTGTAAATTAGCCAGTGCTACTACATCTCAACGAATCAGCAAATGAGACGTTGCATCAAATTTGCCGATTAACGGAAAATTGGCAATACCGAATTATATAGGGCTGCTGTGTGGACTCGCGTGACGTTTCAGAGATAAAGTTTGGTATGCGTGTTATGGCCGAGTGAGCAGCTGTGAGCCAAGCCCGGTGGCTTCTGTGAGATACATGTATATTGTAAAAGCACGTACCGTACATATTAGACATACGAAGCAACAGCCAGCTTTGTTTCAGGAATAAAAACGAAATTGGGATACAATAAAAAAATTCGGCAAGTAAGAGGTGTGAAAGAAGAAGAGTGTCCTCCTTAATCAGGATCTTATCAGGCATAGTCGGAATCACTTGCTATCACTCGAAGGGCACATCCCTGCTACAACCACCAGTCTCAGTTTTGCAAGATAGTTTTGCAGATAAGATTTCCAACAATTCATCCAGAAATCTTATTTTCGCGATCACCCATAAAGTAGGGGCGTTATATAAGACACGGAAATTGCCAAACAAGACTTGGTAAAATGTTTCGAGAGGTCTCGTCGATTTCGAACGAAGAATCGAGGTCCCCAAATCGATATCTACCCAGATATTATCAGTAGATATAATTAACCCTTCCCCACTTTCTGCGCAAACAAATAATACTGATGATTTCAAGATGATTCACTTTTTGGGCTGGTTCTATGGCGTAAAAATGGCGCAGAAAAACACAATCCAATATTGGGTGATCCATGGACCAAAATCTTGAACTTTACGGATCACGTGATTATACTTCTGTCTAAATTCAAATACTCTCTCAATTGGAGCCATTTAGTACTATTGAATACGAGACCACAATTATCTCGCGATACCCTATCCCTCGCCAACAGGATACGAGACGAAACAACTGTCAATCTGGTCTCGTCTTATCTCGTGGCCATCACTACGTTCAGCATAAAGACTCAATCCCTACTTAGGATGGGATACTTTACTCCGAAAGATTTTTTGTGGCAACAAAAGAAAAGGAGTATGTAAACTTTTATTTGCTCCGTGCCTCAAGGGGGGACATGAGGCACCTATAGCCTCGCCTGTGAGCTCCTTGGCACTCCGATTCTTGGCTTGCCAATCCACAGGCTACACACAGAACCCCGGTGCCAGATAATTACAGACCCCCGCATATATGTATACAAAGCCCTTAGTTCAAATTTATATCACCTGAAGGGACATGTAAGTACAGTTGCAACTCGATATGCCGGATCTCAATACGCCGGATCTCTTGCTGTCCCGTGTATACGAAATCTTCTGAGATTTTAATCTTATTACTGCAAAATCAATTTGCTATCCCGGATTTTTTGCTATCCCGTACGAAATCCCTCGAATCTTGGCAATCCGGCATATCGAGTTGCGACTGTACCCCGGTTCTGAATAAATGGTGTGTGATCGGAATCATAAATTCTCACTCGGCTAGGTTCAACAATAGTTGTCACCAGAGTCAACCCGTTCGGCTATCGTCGGCGCCCTAGGCCTCCCTATCAAGAAACAACTTCCAAACCTAGATCCAACTGCTCATCCACCTCTGGGCAATCATTGTCAGCTTCCCTTTCTACTACTAGTTACTTGGCAGTACTCCCTGTGTAACAACTTGGCATGCCAGGCGGCCAGGTCCGCAGAGCCCGTATTGTTAATGACAACGGCGCCCGCGACTGCTTATCATGCGCAGAGTGCAATTGCAATCTTGCTCGAATAAGATGCTAGAGATCGATTTAAAGTTAAACTCTAAACCCAGCACTATGGATATACTAGGTTCGGAGATACCTCCGCAGCACGGAAGGATATCCTTATTAGGAAGGCACATCTCCAGCGTGAGGAAGGTCGCGATGCTGGTACCCACAATAGTAAGTGATGAGCGGGGATATAGTTTATGATAGGCTTTCATCTGCCTGTAGTTTTTCAATGCTCCGTCCCGCGCGATGCCGTACTCTCTGATAAACAAACAGTACATAATTAAAACGGGCATCTGATAAATCCACATGGAGTGATAAGGCAAACATTTAAATACCCCCAAGTCAGACATGAGGCAGAAAATTTGTCTTCAGCCAGCTCTTCAAGCCCACGATGAAGCTCTTCCTTCCATCTCTCCTCCTCATTGCCCCCGCCTGCCTTGCGCGTGAGAAGGCCGTCGATGAGGCTACTCATGCTCAATATGCCTCCGGTGAGGTAATGGCAGAAATAATGGCCCAGAAGGAGGCGACCTGGCAGCACTACCGTGACGAGGGCTACTTTAAACCCGGCCGTTACAGGTCCAGTAATGGTTACTATCCCTGCGTTGATGGCTCTGTCACCGTCGGTGACGGTGCGAATAGCACCTTCCAGTGCCTAAACCTCGATGTGACGGGGTACCTGACACATGAGGACCTTGGATCGACGAATGCTACAGAGCGGATTGGTATGTAGATTTGCACGCTGGTTGGTAGTTCGGCTTGCTAAGGATGTTTGGTTTTCCTGATAGGTAGTTCGATCTGGGGGATCACTCTCGAGGGGCGCGAGTTTGCGATTATCGGGCAGGCGGACGGTGCGGCGTTTGCGGAGGTTGTGGGGAAGGGGTGGTGGAACTATGTCCCGTATATTGGGAAGAAGGAGGGGACGCTGGATTATATTGGGAGACTGCCGCAGCATAGTGTTCCCATTATCTGGCGCGAGATTAAGACCTATAAGCACTATGCCATCATTGGCTCTGAGGCGGTTGGACATGGTATCCAGATTTTCGATTTGAGAAAGGTGGGTATCCGATCAGTGTTTGTCTGCTTTTATAGTACTCACAGTTTGTATAGCTCCTCGAGGTCAGGACTTGGTGGAACCGGCTGTCAACGGCAACAAAGACATTCGATATCGTAAAGGATGTTACTGGCCACTTTGATAAACTCCCGGTCGGCCGCTCCCATAACGTTGTCATCGCCGAAGCCAGTCAGCACATCATCGCCGTCGGCGCCCAGTAAGTACCTTTCCATTCACTTATTGACCTTCCGGACATCCTCTTCTAACCACCCCCACAGACCCCGCAACGACACCTGCAGATCCGGCCTCATCTTCATCGACGTCTCCGACCCCAGCAACCCCACACAAACCGGCTGCGCCGCATCCGACGGCTACGTCCATGACGCCCAATGCCTCATCTACCGCGGGCCCGACACGCGCTACAACGGCGTCGAGATCTGCTACGGCTACAACGAGGACTCGCTCACCATCTACAACATCACCGATAAAGCGGACGCCCAGATCATCTCGCGCATCTCGTACGAGGGTGCGTCGTACACGCACCAGGGGTGGGTGCTGGACCCGGAGAACCAGGAGTTCCTGTTGATGGACGATGAGCTGGATGAGCAGAAGAAGGCCGGGGCAGCCGCGGACCAGAGGGCGACGACATATATTTGGAATATTGCGAATCTGGAGAAGCCGATATTGACGGGCACGTATAAGTCGGATGTGGTGTCGATCGATCATAATCAGTATGTACATAGGGGGTACTCGTATCAGAGTAATTATGGCGCGGGTATGCGTATTTTAGACGTGCAGGGAATTCCGAGTGACCCGACGGGGGGAAACATAAAAGAGGTGGCGTTTATCGACAGTAAGTACCCTATCCTTTTTTAAGTGAAGATATATCGGGGTAGTTGACTGATGATGAATAAAGTTTCCCTGATGACGATGCGGCACCGGCAGCGACATTTATGGGTACGTGGGGCTCGTACGGGTACTTCGAGTCGGGCCATATCATCATCAATACCTATGACCGGGGCGTGTTTGTCGTCAGGAGAAGTAGAGAAGTTGTTGGCGGGTTCCGGGCGGAGTTTTGAGAGCTTATGTTTTTGTGGGTTCGCCTAATAGTATGGCTTGCATTCACCGAGTGAGCGGATATGATAGACGCGATCATGTATGATCACTCGGTTTTGCGATATAACGAATTTTCGTTGTTGACGCACATCCCGAATATGATGCTACTTAAGTTAGATAGGATGTATAAGTACATGTAAATAGACATGGGCGGGGCTTTGCGTGTCTATGGCCAGTCTTGCTGTCTGTCATGAACATTACGAGAGATTCACAATGCGGGCTTAAATATCGACCACATTTGAGACGCTTATGAATGCGTATGCTAGGCCTCTTGCCTATGCGAAAGTGATATCATCTCCTTAAGCGTTGTACCCCATCATTTTGAGTGGATTAGCCATTATTAACAGCATGTTGTTTTATCATTGACAAGATGGCACATGCTATGACAGGGCCAACCGGCACGAGTGATAAATCATGACCAAAGCTCAAATGCCATGTACCTCACCCACACAAGGCATCCCAGTTTCACCGCCCTATCACTATCCCAGGATCTGAATTATTGACCCTAGGGTTAAAAACCTCACAACCCCAAGGTCGACTAAAACCATCCTTGGCGTTATCCACCCCAAGCTATATAAACCCCACATCCTCCATCCTTCCCTAAAGAACATAATGTCCGCTACTGATCCTCCTCCCTCTTCCTCCCTCACTCGCGTGCGGAGGCGGGTGATGATCTGTTCACCTTCTTACGACTGGCGTAAAGCTTGTCACCTAAGAAGGTGGTCAGACCAACACTCGTCTGCGGGACGCTTTGAGTGGGCGGGGGAGAGCAACGTCCTTTCCGGCCCCGAGCGGGGTAATGGGGCGGAGCGGGTTTGTCATTCTCTTCCTTCCTCTTTTGCCTCCCCCTCGAGCGGGAGGTCATGGAGCAGGCTTTTGCTCTTCCCCTTGAGGGAGAGTTGTGACCGCCCCTTCCCCTCCCTTCCTTCCCCCTCTCCCAGTGCCCCGCTCTTTGCCCCCCCCCCCCCCCCATCGAACCTTGGGCGCGGCCGAGGGTTCGAGGTGGGTTTTTTCCTTCTCCCCGCCCCCATTCCCCTCTTCCCTCTTTCCCGCTTCCTTCCCCGCCCCCTCCTCCTATCAGACTCTGGGCGCCGCCGAGGGTCTAACAGGGTTTTTTTCCTTTCGCTAAATTCATCGACCCCAATCCTCCAGTCTTCCCCACTCCTCCCCAGTCCCCAGTTCTCCAAGCTCCCAGCCCTCTAACCCGATTTATCAGGCAAGGGCCCAAGGGGATGTCTGAAAACCGAGTGATATTTGATGACCTAAATAAATGTAGTTTTAGAGCAAAAAGTCACTACTGCGGCGCTGTATGAAAATGCTGCAGTAGTGAATATTTCTAGTTGTGCTCTGTAGCCGTAGTTTGCGGGGATGTATCGAGGTGCCCCTCGGGCCTTGATTAGTCTCGTTGAGGTTTGGTGGTAGGTTTCCTCAATAATTATAAAATACCCACAACTTTGCTTCGCACTTGTGATGGTTAGTTGTTCCTAACTTTCAGCCTGATCGGGTATTATGTGACTAGCCAAATAGATTGTAATTCTCCATAACAGCCCAACCTTTCTATCAGTATACTCACGTGTTCATTAAGTCAGATGTGGGAGCGAGTGCAGGCCCTTCGACGGTATCCGAGTCTTCAACAGCAAATTTCAAGGCATGGAGGCCCTTTGCCTGTAAAACAAATAAGTAAATTTTTCAATCATGTCCATATGCGATATCAATCCCTTTTAATTTTCCAGGTATGTAGAAAACACGATCAAAGAGGTAGGTAGGAAGGATTAATTACATATACACCTCCTCGAACCACCACCTCCGTCCTGTGGACCGCACCACAATAGTGCACCAGGAAGAGACGTAATCTTGTATCCAACTCGAGCACCGCGAAAAAAAAGGAGAAAAAACCGCACCATGAACCATTGAGACAGAGCAATCAAAGAATTTTTTTTATGAAACCAGAACACCCCACCCGACACGAAGGAAGATAAGAGATATAACAGGCCAGAAGGGTAGTAGATGCACATGAAAAGAGAGAGCACTTATGTGAAGGAGAGATATAGGAGAAAGATACGTAAGGGAATTATAGATGCAGTAAGTGTAAGATCCGTGAAGGTAAAATTTACATAGGCGTGCTTTTTATGAAATTATTTTTTATGCAGCGAGATACCCATGTTGCATTCTCCACCTAGTTTTGGAACAAAAACTGCATATCAGCAGGCGTCAATTTGTCCATTGCGCCCTGATCACCGCCTACAGTGGCGTGGATCATCCTCGCCTTCTTTTCCTGTAAGTCTAGGATACGGGACTCGATGCTGTCCTCGATGATCAACCTAGTGACCTTGCAGGCTCTGGTTTGGCCAATACGATGAATTCTGTCGGCAGCCTGCCACTCCACCGACGGATTCCACCACGGATCCATGATGAACACCTGGGACGCCTCAATGAGATTGAGTGCGACACCTCCAGCTTTGAGAGAAACGAGGAAGACCGTGGTCTCCACATTCTCCATAAAGTGCTGAATGGTTGCATTGCGCTGACTGGGTGTCATGCTGCCTTCCAACATTGCAGTCTGGAAACCGGCCTTACGCAGCCTCCATTCTACCAATTGTAACATGGATGTAAACTGGGAGAATACGATCGATTTGATCGTATGGTTCTGGCTTCTAAGCTTATAAAGCTCTTCAACGAGAGCCTCGATCTTGGTCGAACTATGCCACTGGCTCATGTCGATACGATTAATGATAGAATTCTTTTTGACAATTGTGCCTTGGTCAACCTCAATGGCAGGCGCAGTAAGGTCGATATTCAGCGTGATATGACACTTAGGGCAGTCTGGATTGGACTCGCCATCGAAACCAGAAATATACTCCTGTACACACATTCGGCAGAACGTGTGATGACATTTACTCTTGATGGCGTCCTCGGCTTCATCGTCGCAGAGAGAACAAACCAAAGTGTTCTGGCCGTCAAGAGCTTCCTTTTTAAGGACAAGATCCGGATGGTCCGCAAGTTGGCGCATACGAGTGATGAGAGTGAAGATATTCGCATAATTGTTCTGCGGTAGGAAGTTAGAATGCTGTGTGGGAAATGCAATTTATATAGAGCTTACCAAGACGACACCATGCGCAACGTATGTGTTGAACTTCCTCTTTGAATCGCCGTATATCGAATCATAAACATCAAGTTCCTCCTCATTGAAGTAATCCCTTCTGACCTTCACGATTTTTGGTGGTAGCCCAAGATCATCAGCGCGCTCCTCCTTGGTACGTCGGAGCATGATATGCTTCAGCAAGATCTGCAACTTCCCGAAAGCAGCCTTGCCAGGTCCCTCATTCCCGTGATTCTGGATAGGCTTGAGCAACTCGTGATTGAAAAGACAGAGATGGTGCATTGGACTATGCCCACAGTCATCGCAACCACGATTAGCCTTAAACTTCCAGTTCAGCGACTTGCAAGGACAGTTGCGGCAATAGTAGTAACTGAATGGATCTGCTTCAAGAAAACGGAGAAGAGAGAAAAGCTCTCCAATGCGGTTCTGGAGCGGTGTTCCAGAAAGACAAAGCTTGTATTTTGTCTGCAGAGCAAACGCCGCCTTCGCAGATTTGCTCGATCGATCCTATTATGGTTAGTTATGCACTCGCAGTAGGAAATGTTTGTCAAACCTTGATGTTGTGCGCTTCGTCGAGAATCACTCTGTTAAATTTCAACATGTGTAGAGGGCTATCCTGCTTGTAGATCCCATCCTTTCTCTTAAAACCGGTCGTCTGCTTCCTATAAATACTTTCCAGAACACTATAGGTAGTCATGATCACATCGGCCTGGGCCAATACCCCGGGGTCCTCCTCCCTGTTCGCACCATGGTAGGAGATCACGCTCAACGCGTTATTAGTGTGTTTCTTGATCTCATTTTCCCACTGAACCAGTGCAACAGTTGGAGCTATAACCAAGTTCGGCTTTGCACGAGGCTCGGACATGAGTAGACCAATTGTCTGAATTGTCTTACCCATGCCCATTTCATCAGCAAGGATGCCACCTCTGAAGATAGTTTGTTCTTGGGCGCGAAGCCAATTAAGACCCTCCAACTGGAAGGGCAACATAGTCAATGATAAACCGTCGGGCTGCGTGGCTTTCTCAACAGGAATCTTGGGACGCTGGTCAAGCTCATCCCAAACAGTCGCAAGCTCTGGATGCCGATTTAGAAGCTGATAGCGGATAGTTTCATCCCTAGATCTACCAGGGAATCTTCTTCTAGGAGCTCTAGGAGCACGATTTCTCCGGCGATGTGTTGTTGAAACTTCCAAACGAGGCATATCATCCTCATCAACAACCCTGCGGTCAACCCACAAGCTTGCCCCTTCTCCACCGGAATCTTCACCAGCTGTCTCGATTTCTGAAAGATCGCTACCAGCGAAGCTAGACTCTGTCATGTCACTTGCTTCATCTTCTGTGATGTCTGGAACCTCCGTCAGAACTGCTGGCAGTTCGATGTCTGAAGATATATTAATCGGAGCCCTCGCCCTGCTCCCCGCCCCGCTCCCAGAGAAGCGAGCGGGTTTGGCTGAAGGTTTGGCTGGAGGTTTGGCCTTAGCTTTGCCTTTACTTTTTGCTTTTCCTTTAGCTTTACTTTTGCCTTTACCTCGAACGGGAGCGGGTTCGTCGAAATCCTCATCTAGGTTATCATCTTCATCATCTTCGGGCTCAGAGAGCTCACTTTCTTCCGGGCTATCCTTGGCTGCTTCATCATCCGCTGTATCTTCATTTTCGTCTTGAGGGTCTGCAACCTCAAGACTAGCAGCAGAATATCTGGTTCTTCTAGCGGCAACAGAAATTGCTACCTCCTTCCCTTTCCCCTTCGAGGGTCTAGATGAAACGGTGCTGCTCCTAGAGCTTGGAGCGGTAGGAGGCGTATCTACATCTCCCTCGTCAAGAGAATTGGCGTATGAATTGGCGGCCGTGGATGTTGATGAGCTCG